AGGTCCTTGGGGTCCTTCGGGGGAGGAGCATCACCACGCTTGTGCTGGTCGTGGTCGTCCTTGGGATCCTTCGGGGGAGGAGCATCACCACGCTTGTGGTGGTCGTCCTTCGGGGGATTCTTGGGGTCCTTCGGAGGAGGGGGGATGTCGCCACGCTTGTGGTGGTCATCCTTGGGCGGGTTCTTGAGGTCCTTCGGGGGAGGAGGGTTATCACCGCGCTTGTGGTGGTCATCCTTGGGCGGGTTCTTGGGGTCCTTCGGAGGAGGAGGGACATCGCCACGCTTGTGCTTGTCGTCCTTGGGAGGGTTCTTGGGGTCCTTCGGGGGAGGAGGGATGTCACCGCGCTTGTGGTGGTCGTGGTCGTCCTTGGGAGGAGGGGGGAACTGAGGGACATCGCCACGCTTGTCATGCGGCAAGGCAGCGTCGGCGGGACCCCGCTGCCCGTGGTGCTGAAGGTCGGCTGGGCCTTGAAAATGTCAGTAAAGATACGAATAACCAACTCTGCAGAGCATAAACGTACGAGGGGCCGGAGGAGCAGCGGACACAAGTCCGGCGACCATCAAAGTGGAAAGAACGGCAGACACCTTCATGTTGGCGAGTTGGGGATTGTTATTGTTGAAAAAGAGAGTTCGAAGTGACTTCGAGTTTGAGAGAGAATTCTTGTGAAGAGAGTGTAGGAGATTGGATTGGTGATGATGAGAAAGAAGAATCGAAGACTGACAGCCCTCTTTATAGTTTCCTGGCAGCCCATATCCCAGCCATCATGACTCCTTTTTGGTATCATTACACTCCTTCATGACAAGCCATTTGACGTAACGGTGCCTACGGCCGTCGTCAGCCATTCTCCTAGCGATACTAGGTGCAGCTGAGGTGGAGCACGTGCGAGCAAATTGCTTTAGTCCATTGGGCTGAATTGACGCGATTGTGACCTGTACTGAGAGCATCTAACATCCGAGAATCGTGGGACTACGAGACCGGTGGATCTGGATCTGGACGGATGATTCTTCGGCATTATTCGATTGGGACATCTACCAACTCCTATTCTTGGGACAGACGTCTGTTTAGTGCTCGCGCCGTGGCATCCACTATTGGACTTAGCCCATGACTAGGTCGACGTTCGGTCCATCTGAAAGGAGCTAAGCCCCGTCCTCAAGACGAGTCAATGCTTGCGGAGGATTGATCTTTTTCGACAAAGGCAGCATTCCACATCGTGCTTGATCATTACGATATCCCCCATGCTCATGCCGCGATTCCATACATGTACGAAACGTGTAGTACGCATTGCAAAACATTAAAGTCATCTGTTCAATGCTATGAGTCCTCGACTTTCCAATGTCTTTGGTATTTCCATTATGATCGGCCTCTTCCAGAACGCTAGACTAGTGCCATAGCTTAATGCTGGCTCAGTAGTTCTCACTCCACAGGCCCCACTGGCTGCGTCGCCCTACGCCCCGTCAAATGTCCGGATCCGCATGTTTAATTGGGCCTTAGTTTGGCCTAAATTTAACCGGCCGGAAACTGGACACGCGGCAACCGCCGATCTTCCCATCCCGAGCCAGTCTTTTTGCAATGCCGACGACAAATCAGAAATGACCGTTGACGGGATTTCAAACAGGCACGGGCAGTCACTGGCTATGAATCACGCTAGTTGGTTTCGTCACCGGAAACTTAGCAGGTTGGCACGCCGATCACTTGCTGACGAATCGGAAGATGGCTATGATTCTCTCTCCGAATCTCCGGGGTTGGAACTCTGGATATTGTTAAGTCCGTTGTGCCTATACATCTCGGGGGAAACTTCGAAAAGGGGAAGGAAAGGGGGGGATTCATTGCTACGGAGTACAAGTACTTTAGGCAAGTCACTACGATCGTCGCACACAGCTGCCCTCGCTGTTGCTATGATTCGATCCTCGAATTCCTTTCCTTGTACAGTACTTATGGGCGAGCATTTATTCGGAAATCTAGCGTAGTATCAGTTCTTCATTGAACGTTTGTTGCGATCTTATAGAAAATCCAGACCGCAACCGACTAGCTTATTCAAACTGACTAGCTTTCCGACTCATGTTCACATTTGTTATCCCCGAGACAGTGATGTCCAATTGATAGTTATCCCCGAGTGTAGCCAAAGCCAAAATGGGAAATAACTCGAGCATAATCACGTTCACACCCGGTTACTGTAGCCTATCACCAGCGGGATTGTGACGAGGTTCAGAAGGACGGGGAAAAAAGTCTCATAATTGTGGCCGGAATTCGATCGGAGGAATAAGGAGCGGGATCTTTGCATCCTTGGGTTGTTGGTTGGCACTCACTCGTAGCTTGGCATTGGCCGACTACAGCTTCTAACAGCAGTGATGAATTGACAATGGCTGAAATCATTCACGGCAACTAAACGAGCGCACTCGAAGCAACTTCGATTGAGTGTGAGATTATAAGCGCGGACGTTGTTGCGCGTCTTGTGGAATCTCTGCTGTTTGACACGGTAGCGAATCTTTTTTTGCGGTCTTGGATCTAGTAGATGTGTACATTCGCATGTTTCTCGCTATTGCCATCCTTCTCATCCCGAATCTTAGATTTTCCATTCCTCCTACCGCCGTCCGAGTCGTAGTTAGCCGATAAAAACCTCCATAGGTGTATGCAGTAGCAATATACTCGTATCAATGGCGTAGAAAGATCACCGAGTTGACATGCCGTCTGGAGTTCTCTCGACGGAACGCGTTCTGGGATACTCAGCGGTAGCAAAATACATAGCGCCTTGCAACCCATCGCAGCTGGACTCCCAGATACATTCTCTGGAATCGAAAGTAAAAAAAAGAAAGGTATCTCAATCTTACACGACTCTAATGACTCCGTCCGTTCAAAGTGAACATGTTCCATGTCAAATTAATACGTCGTAGCGGCTATGTAATGAGCGATGAATGTCTGCAAGCCTTCACCAAGATGGTATCAAGGAGCTGAACCTCTTATCAACCGTCGCGCATTATGGTTTTGCTTCGATACTAATACATGACGCTTGCATAGCTATTCGAGCATGTGCACTTCAGATATATATTTTGGCCGCAATGACGATGGATGTATGCAACGAGATACAAAGCCCACGAAAAGACAGCGCAAGGCAAATCAAATAGAATCGCTACGTGAGATATAGTTATATCTATCAGACTAATGTGAAGGGTATGTCGAAAAACAAGAACGAAACTAGACAGGTATTGGCCACTTTCCAAGTCGGGCAGTTGCATAAATCTATGTAAATGCATAATTCGATACGGTAACGGTCGAGGATATTCGCATATCAACATAACATTTATATTTACCACCATGGACAGAGAACAAGGCCAGAGGCCAAAAGAAAATTATGCCGCGACTTGTTGCCTTGAAGTCGGCACAGAAGCAAGATTGTCTTCTTCGGGCGTCTTGTTTAAAGTAGGAATCGGAATAGCATTGGTGCGGATCGGACCAGGGCCGCCGCCGGCAGCTTGTGCAGATTCATTGTTGTCCAGAGCATTCTGGATTGGCTTGCTCCGTGCGATGTCTTCGTCTTTGAAGATGGATTTGTGCGCCAGGTTCATAAACTCATCGACTCGAATTGCAGCAGGGATGAGGTCATCAAATTTGAGCGAATGGCACCAATCATAGTATGACTTGGACGATCTTGAGTGCTCAAACTCTTTGTTTCTGCCCGGGACGAGGATGTTCAAGAGATATTTGGCATTGCCGTATCGGTTCTCCGTTTCCAAGCAGGCTTGCAGATAAGCATGAGCAACATCTCTCCAAGGAAGCAAGCCGCCTTCCGCCTCTGAGCGGAAGCACGAGGGGTTGGCCTCGGCCGATGTGGCAATCATCGCTCCGTCTACATTGTATTCTTTCATCAATGCGAGGCCCCCGTCACGCGAGGTAACATCTCCATTCATAAGGCATGCAACGCCGGCCTCATGGCAAATATCAGCAATCATCCGCAATTGATCACGGATTGCTCGTTCACGGGGCCGCATTGGAGTTGTACGGCAATGGACTGTCAGCCCTGTAATTCCTGTCCTGACTAGTCGCGAAACTAGCTCCTTGGTTTCTTCGGGTGATCCTAGAATGCGGATTTTGACTGAAATCCCAATTTGAAACGGATGACCAACTTCCCTAACCAGCGCCTCAAGAATAGAGACTAATCTATCAGGTGTCCGCAACAGAGCTGCACCCATGCCGCCACATGTGCTAAATGGTTTTGGACATCCTGAGTTGACATCAATACCTGCCACATCCCCCGCTATAGACTTGGCTGCTTTCACAGCAAGCTCAGGGGAAGCAGTACCAATCTGAAAAATCAATTTGCCTTTTTCACGGGCCGGGTCGATGCGATAGATGATGGATTCCTTAGTAGATTTGGTGGTGCGTCCACCATTCGAAGGAAAACGGGTAAACTCAATGTTTCCGTTGCGAGGATTCACACGGCGTAACGCACCGATGAGCGCCTGGTCGATCGTCTCCGGGCCCCATACGAGATCCGCGCCGTATTTGAGAGCGAGAAGACGAGATGGCAATTCTCCAGAACGAACCATCGGGGCCAGAACGATTTTGCCACGGTAGTCTACCCCGTTGGCGGGGATAGGGACTCGAGCGGGAGAAGTCATGGCAGTCATAGTCATTGCGGAACGAAGGAATTTGAACATATCATTCTCTGATTTGCCGGAAGAGGCGAGAGAGGAAACGACTGTGATCGTCGACTTTTTTCTGGCTGCTTCGGAGGTGCGGCCTATTTTTGTGGCGGTGGTGTGTGTGTGTGTGGCTGTGCTGTGTGGCTGCACGTCCGATATTATTATTATCTATAAAGCCCAAATATATGACTGGTTGTGTATTGGATTATCGCTGGGGTGGATGCATATATACACGTCTAAGCATGGTTGGACATGTTAAAAACACCGGAGCGACTGATGTTCGCTCCATGCCCAAGAATCCGGGCAATCTCCTCTTTGTCGAGCCCCGGGCCATCGACAGACTCTACGAACAAGATAGCTTCCCCAGGAGTTTCCACAGGACCACCACCCGATACCGTTTGTCCACGATGCTCAAGTTCACCCCGCAGTCTTTTGACCGCTGCAGCAAACTGCCCCAATGACCCTCCCTCCGGAGTTCGCAGCCATAGAATTGTTGTCAATTGATTGGCAGACTGTGGACCAGTCAAAGTCACGTCCAGAAAAGACGACGATGGTGGAAGGTGTTTGATCTCAAGGAAGCCTTTGCGCTCTGTGTCACACATCGAAAGAAGGACATCGACCATTTTCGAGTACGGCTCCGATTTGGCCATGAATGCCTCGTGGTCGAGGAGGTCGTTCCAATCTGAAAAGTACGTTAGAGCGTTTGATCGTTCCATGACAGAGGCACTTTCCCTTCATACCGATCAACCAGACTAATAATTCCTCTTCAATCATTGACCGACCTTCCTGCAGTAGCCGAAACCCAGGCTGACTGGTCAAAGTCTTGATGCCGGTGATGTATTTGTCATGATTCTCTGGGGTTGAAAGATCAGTTCCCGGCTTCAGGTACAGGACCGTAACTTCACAGCTTTTCGTCATCGCAGCGAACCGGCAAAGAGTAAGATATGCGTAGTCTGGCACGGTGTTGTGTATATTTCCTGTTGGAACTTGGGCGGATATGTCGCTTGGATTCTCCGAAATTCTCCGCATTTTTCTCTATGCCCACTTTCTGATAAGGGACTGGTGTACAGCTGATGCTCCGGCTTTCGCTCCATGGCACCCGCGCTCCAATAGCCATATCGCAGGTAGACAGTAGTTCGAAACAACGCTAAATAAGCCATGGTTTGTAGGAATAGCAATTATCAAGCACTGATGGTGCCGAGTACTTTACATCCGCATAACCATTTCAGCGCCCGGCAAATGTCCACGAAGGTCCCTGTGGCTTATGATATAAATTCTGTTCTCTCTCGCGTCCAGATCTGCTTGCTCCATTTACTTGACAAGCCGATGAATTTGTCCGTTCATTTCTAGCAAGAGCTTTCTTGATCAGGGAAATGTTTATTTACCTCCGCCATGAATGTGCTGCTTCTCCACCTAACCCTTTACTCTCTTTAATAAGAAATATTTTGCAGAATGAGGATATATCCAGCTGCGCGAAGAGCTAAATGTCTATGAGTGCTGTATTCCATCATCACAGTCAGTGTTCAGCGCTCGGAGATTACTACGGACAGGCTTGCTAACCCGTTTCAGGGGCACAGAAAGTGGGGATGCCGTTTTACATGCATTTATGCAGCGTCAATGCTGTGCGTACAGTCAAGTTTGAAGCATGGTCAAAGTACATCAGGCCGACTTTTGCTGCCGAACAGTATGCTATTACCTCGGATGGCCTCTGCATGCGGCGAGAAACACTGTCGACAAAACATGACGAAGATCCCGAACCATACGCTGCAGTCCGTGGACTTGACTATCGGAGTATTTAGTATGTGTTTTGCTCGAGTCCAGTAACCGACAGAACTCCCGAAAAGCAGATAAGCTTCCTTCTGCGAACCAATCACCGTTCCAACCATTCAATCGGATGACCGGATCTGCTCGTAATGGTGTTTAAACTTCCCCGCAGAACCAGATCACGGGCACTGATGGACTTCTGTTTCCTTTTTGTGTTTGCCATTCCCCACGGCGGCAGCGGGGTAACAGCCAGGGAGAGGGCGGGGGTTTATATAGGAGTTGAGCGTTGAGAGGATATAAAATCCAGTACTTGAACCACGGAATTCGTTTCTATCATTCATTCATATACTTACTCGTTTATTCATTCATCATGACTCGTTCCACCGAAGCTTTGGTTGTCCACTCTCTCGGGGCGGACCCCGAATTCACCCCCGTCACGCTGGACAATTTGCAGCCAGGAGAGGCCCTTGTGGAGGTTCATGCCACGGGTATCTGCCATACGGACATTGCCTGTATGGAAGGGAAGCTTCCAGCACAGTTTCCTAATGTGCTTGGCCACGAAGGTAGGCGCCAACCCCCCATACTCTTTTGGGAAACAATAGCTAAGTAAAATGTGCAGGCGGCGGTGTGGTTCTCGAAGTCGGTTCGGCAGTGAAAGATGTCAAGAAGGGAGACAAGGTCCTCCTCAGTTACAACTTCTGCGGCGACTGCCCACACTGCACAGAGGGTCATCCGGCATACTGTGAGAGTATGATCCCGTTGAACTTTGGTGGTAAACGACTGGACGGAACGCAGACGGTTTCTCTGGCCAAGGACCCCTCGACTCCGCTGTTCGCGAACTTCTTCGGTCAAAGTACATTTTCCCGCGTCGCCCTCGTTAGTGGATCGTCTCTCGTCCGCGTTCCCGACTCGACATCGTTGGAGCTCTTTGCGCCCCTCGGATGCGGCCTGCAAACTGGAGCCGGCTCCATCTTCAAATCCCTCAACGTCAAACCCGCAAGCAAGGTGGCCATCTTTGGCGCCGGGTGCGTCGGGCTGAGTGCAATCATGGCAGCCAAGATCCGCGGCGCTGCTATGATCATTGCAGTGGACATCCAACCGGACCGTCTGGAAATGGCTCGTGAACTTGGCGCAACACACCTCCTCAACGGAAAGGACGAGGATCTCCTGCAGCAGATCCAGGAACTGTGTAAGCCGGGCAAGGGCGTGGATTATGCGTTGGACTGCTCGGGTGTGCTCAGTGTGATTGAGACGATGATCCAATCGCTGGGGATGCGAGGACGAGCAACAAGTGCGGGTGCTCCTGCGCCAGGGCAACGAGTCGCGGTGGATGTGTTTTCGCATCTTGTCACAGGACGAGAGTACGTCGGTTGCCATCAGGGAGGAAGTGTTGCGGCTGAGGTATGAAATTTCTTGTGCATATATGTTTCCGGTACAATTGACTGACGAGAAATCCAGATGGTCCCGTTTCTGATCGAGCAACACAACCAGGGGAAATACCCGCTTGAGAGGTTGATTCGGTATTACAACGTGAAGGACGCACAACAGGCATTTGAAGACATGAAGGCTGGAAAGGTCCTGAAGCCTGTACTCGTTTGGACCGAATCTGGTCTACAGAACTAGGATACTAAGAGCGTAATGCATATTCATACTCATTTTTTTGTAATTCTTGAAGAATTTATGATCATTTTTAATGATATCGAAAGACAATGAGATCCCTCTTATATTGTATTGTAGGATGTCACATAGTCTCTCTTACATATCCAAGAGATCTCAAAAGAGACTCTATCGTATAGGATTAACCGAGTCAAAGTCAACTACGTATAAAACGAATTGCTGGTATCAGGAGGTATTGAATGCGGTTATGCAACTAGCAAGTGAAGGTCCCGAAAGTATCACCGTTCTGATACTAGAGTAGTCATCGTGTCGTAGCTTTTCATTCTATGAGACTCAATAGAATGAAGCCAAAGAGTTGGAATAAGAGCAAAACTTGCGATCGCATCTCCAAAAATGCTTTTGGTTTGCAATTGAGTTATATTGAGCAGATCTGTTGTCGATTCCTACGCTATGGAGGAAAAACGGACCATGTGTCAAGTAGTCCGTCATCTGCTGTATTGGAACTGAACATCTCGGAATAATACGCGTTACCATTTCGCCCTTGAAGTCCAATCAGAACTTTTTCTACCTGGACAGTGTTACTGGTAGACCTCAACATGTTGTCAGGGAGAAGCGTCCGCATCCGGATCAGCGAGACGACCTCAAAGGATGATGTCGAGACTGTGATTGTCGGCGATGGACTCCGGCATCGCCCTTGGATCAAGCTAGTGCGCACTAATGCTTACAGAATAATATAGTCCATGGTTTGGGTATCCGTCCATTACCGGTGCAAATACGGCAGACATGACGACGAAATTTTAAATAGAGGGAGATCATTCAAAATTTCAAGAAAAAGAGTATTTTGACGGTGTTGTCATTGCTTCTACAGAGAAAATATCTCAGCAGAGAGACCAGATTTACTGACGAAGGTGGCTGGCTGACTATGACGGCCAATGTAACAATTGACCGCAGAAACGGAAACATGTTATGCTAGATGATGAGGAGATTACAGAGCTCAGTTCTGCTGTAACCATAGATCTAGACTAACCCAAGCTGATGCAAAAGTACCATTGTTTAAATGCCTCGGTATGTAAGTTGGTATGCTTTCACTTTCAGCCAGCCCCGATTTCATTATCCCGGCTGGACATAGTCTTCGACGTAATAGATACCATCTAGCCAACGAGCAGAATATCCTCAGTCCGGTTTCAGACATCAACTCGCCGACGAGAGAGTGTGGTACAGTACGTTCCAATTGCTTTGCGATCAGAATGCAACATAGCAATATGATAATTTGTACTAAGTGGCCAACAGCTACCGTTTAAAACGTGTATAAGGTCTTGCTTTCGGATAAGACAAAAGATCAACAGTTGCACTGGTTATTCTGAGCTTCTCGAGATTGTGTTCTATGTTCGACATGAAATATTCATGCCTGGGCGCCATCGCCCTGCTTGCCTCCACGGCGCTCTCCCAACATGCCCAGGTCCCGTTTGACGCCGAGAAGACCAAGCAATCCCCCCATCAGCAAAAGTCCATAACCCCTGGAGTCATCAGAGATCCCTTTTTGGTGGCCAACACGACATATGACTATGTGATTGCCGGAGGTGGCCTCACCGGTCTGACCGTCGCCGCTAAACTGCTAGAGAACCCAAGCACGAACTTCACCGTCTTGGTCATCGAAAACGGCTTCTACGGATCCGAGTATGGCCCAATCATCGATGATCTCAACACCTACGGTCAGATCTTCGGTAGCAGCGTGGACCATGCCTATGAGACGAGTCCGCAAAAGGTCAACAACCGCGTCGAAATCGTCCGATCTGGCAACGGCCTGGGAGGATCAACTCTGATCAACGGAGGAACATGGACCCGCCCACACAGGGTCCAAGTTGACTCGTGGAGTAAGGTCTTTGGAAACTCAGGGTGGACATATGCAGAGCTCGATCGCTATATGAAAGACATTGAGAAGCCCCGAGACCCTACCAAAGACACCCACGGCGCTTGGCATACTTATGACCCCAAATGTCATAACGCAGAAAATGGGACCGGTCGAGTGTCGGTCGGCGCTCGTGACCGAGGATACAATTGGTCCCAGGTCATCCCGGCTCTCATGCGCACTGTCAATCACACCTATCCCGATGCACCGACCCAGCGAGATCTTTGTTGCGGGGATCCCCGAGGCGTCTCGATGTTTATGAATACTCTGACCTCGAAACAGGTACGAACAGATGCGGCCAGATCGTGGCTGGGTCCGGTTCTGAAAAACGACACGACGAGGAATCGCATCACTGTCTTAACTGGTCAAATTGCCGGGAAGGTGAACCTCGAAAAGAACCAACAGAAGGACACGAAGGGCTTGTACAAAGCCACGGGTGTGGAATATGGTGTTCATAACAAGGAGGACTGGCGGTGGAACGTGACGGCCAAACAGGAAGTGCTTCTTGCTGCCGGTTCAACTATCTCTCCCTTGATCCTCCAGTATTCCGGAATCGGGCCCAAGCAAGTGCTCCAACAGGCCAATGTAACACAGAAACTCGATCTCCCCGTGGGGTTGAATCTCCAAGACCAAACTACCACCAACGTTCGATCCGAAGTGACTGCCCAGGGAAACGGTCAGGGGCAAGCGGCCTTCTTCGCTACATTTGCTGAGATCTTCGGCCCCGATGCAAAGGAATACGAGGGTCTCTTGAACGACGACGATAACCTGAATAAATGGGCGGATGAAACCGTTGCTGGTGGCGGTTTCCACAACGGAACAGCACTCCTCGAGCAGTATCGGAACTACAAGAAGTGGCTTCTCCAGGACAATGTCACCTACGCCGAACTCTTCTTAGATACTGACAACCGCATCAACTTTGACCTCTGGGATCTTATCCCCTTCACTCGTGGATATGTGAAGATTCTCGACAAAGACCCGTACCTCCGCAGCTTTGAATATAACCCCCGATACTTCGAGAATGAGTTGGATGTTGCTGGCCAGGCCGCGGCTTCGAGGCTAGCACGGACGTTGTCTCGAACCCACGAGATGGCCAAGTACACTGGGAATGAGCTTATCCCAGGTCATCTCCTGCCGCTGGATGCTACACTGAGCGAATGGAAGCATTATGTCAAACAGAACTACCGTGCCAACTACCACGGCGTTGGTACTTGTTCGATGATGTCGAGGGAACAAGGTGGGGTGGTCAATCACAAGGCCCAAGTGTACGATGTCGATGGACTCCGTGTTGTCGACGGCTCGATCCCGCCCACGCAAGTTTCTTCGCATGTTATGACGGTGTTCTACGGCATGGCCGTCAAGATTGCAAACGCAATTCTCGATGACTACAAACACAAACCCTAGAACAAGAGCGGAGATCTAATTCTATGGCAGGACATTGGTGCCGTCCTTTGCTGTATCTATCATGAATCCCTCTATGTAGTTGTAGGCCATTGTGTGTGCGAGGCTGGAGGTTAGCGCAGTTGTATGCGAATCTTGCGAATACGACGTTGAGTCGCTCTAAATGAAATCAGATCTTCAAAAACAATGTGTAGTCCGTATTGATATGTGTAGATACAAGATACTATGCTCACCGTCCGCGCCGGTATAGAACAGATCGGGAATAAAGGAGCATTCTGCAGAGGACATTATTCCACGGGGTACTTGCCATGCAGCCCCTGACCCGCCACTGCGTTAATCCCTCTGTCGAGGCTAATTAATTCGTGATTCGCCATGCGGCCCGATGAAAAATCTTCCGCCCGCTACCGGAGAATGTCGCGCTGCATTATAGAGTAAGGAAGTCTCGGTTTTCGTTTCAAGCACTCCTTTCCATCTGCACAATTGAGAAAAAGAGTACAGGCGTAATGACAGTCCTGCCGAATTAGGCAAAGACTTCTAGAACGTTGAACCGCGGACCTTCTCCGCGGCCGGGAGGCGACCGATTCTGTTAAGATTCTTACAGCGGAGCCGCTAATGCTACCCACATGGCTCCCCCGGTGCAGTGATTTGTCGGGGGTTTCGGGATCAACGCTTTAGGGCTAAGGGCTTGGGCCGGACTTCGGCCTCAAAAGGGTTTTTTTCCCCGCAAGCCCCCGTTTAAAAGTTGCTTTTTGCTCCCCCCGCCCCCGCGAGGTGGTTCCATTGGGGTTGTTTTTATTTTATTATTCTGTTTGTTTTCTTTGTTCTGTGTGGACTATGATGCGCGTGCTTCCCGACGATGTTTTGCTGTTGATTGGGGACTTCCTTGAGGATCACCGGGATCGCTACAACCTGGTGTTTGTCTGCCGCCGCTTCCACGACCTGTTCTTGCGGCTAGCTTATCGGGCGGCGTCGTTGAAATCTTGTCAGCATCTTCGATCTTTTCTCGGTTCCATCCTACGACGACCTGAGCTGGCTTGGGCCGTGCGAGTTCTGCATTTCGACCACTGGCAGGACAAGCAATCTACAGGCCATGTGAATATCGCCAACGAGGAACGCCCGCTATTGACTGACTGGACCCGGGACATCAGTCAATCGGACGAGGAGCACGCACAGTGGGAGCAAGATCTCCAGTACGGTGTGTCAGATGCATGGATCGCGCTGCTGCTGCCGCTTGTCAGCAATCTCCGCCAGCTTCGTCTGATTTATCCCAGGCACAACACCTATCTCGACCGGACTCTGTACCGCGCCGTCAACGGAGAATGTCCAGCCTTCCGATCGCTACAAGAAGTGTCGTTGAGCCATCTGGAAGACGATGCTGATGACACCAAAGGCAACTACCTGCCGTCGCAGATTCTGCCCTTTTTCCAACTGCCGCTAATGCACACCCTCTCCGCCGACATGGTGTTGGAATCCGATTCCGCTCAGGAAGCCCGGGGGTCACCCCCGAGCAACCCGCTAACTGACTCGCCCTCATCCATCTCGGAGATTACACTCAACGCCAGCAACGGCTCGAAGGGCATGCAGAGCCTAATCGCTTCCTGTTCGTCGCTCAAGTCATTCAAATACCAACACTCAGATTCGCACCTCCACGCCGAGGGGTATCAACCTTCCGCCTTCTACCACTCCCTGGCCGGCAAAAGGAACACGCTGGAGACGCTCTGGCTCGACAACTGCGGCCAACACCTGCCCTTCACTATCGCGGGTGCCAACGAGACCCACGACGAATGGTTCGGTTCTCTGACCGAGTTTACCGCGTTGAAAGACATGCGAATTCGCCTCCCGAACCTCCTCGATGTCCGCTACCAGCTCGATCCCTCCACCCCGCTCCCAGATATCCTCCCACACTCCCTCGAGTCGCTCTATATCGAAGGTTGCAAGGAGAATACACTTTCGATGCTGTTGAACCAGGTGCGGATGGTGCTTGGCCGGCGCACTTCGCGCTTCCCGGCACTCCGGCGAGTGGATATCGAGGGTTTCTTCCACGACGAGGAAGAAGACTCGGGGTATGATGGGGCTAGCAGCACGACTGAGAAAGTCATCAAGCCGCGAGTCTATGAAATGGTGAAACCAGTGCGAGTTGGCTGTGCCGAGGCTGGAATCGACCTGTTTCTTCGAGATAGAGTGTGCCTGGAGACCATGAAGGGATCTCCTGTTTAACGGCTTCATGACCCAACTGATAGAGTTATTTGCTTTCTCTCGTTTATAGAATACCCTTGACGTTAGATTTCTTCACGGCGCAATTTTCGTTTTCATTTGCATACAACGTTATAGAGCGTCATACATCGAATTACATACCAATTTCTACATCTCATCATCATCACTCCTAGTCCTGGCATCGGAGATGTTACGATCGGAACGACTGCGCTAACGGCGATATTTTCATAACCTTGGCGTCAACTGAGCTATGACGCTGGGCTGTCTAACGTCTGTTCTGTTTCCAGTCCCGATACTCTTCTGCATCTACGGAAGGAAGATTCGGCAATGGAGCCGATTCAGTCCTGCACGAGCTGTATATATGTGCATTTGATGTATGCCGTATATGTACAACACTACGTCTATAATTTCGCAGTGTCGAGATTCCATTCCGTAGTACACAGCAGGAACGTATCGCGAAGAGCCTAGTTAATTAGCATAGAAACACGCCTCCAACGCGGCAAACTCACCGATAATCGATGCTTCTCATTGATGGCCTGATAATCCTCACTAGAAAGCATGTCACAAAAATGTCGAATAGACGGATAATGCACGATAGAGATCTCATTCCACCACTCCTGCTCCGGCCGACTGCAATCACCCCGGGAGTCAAGACCACCCTTCGAAGGCCTAACCACATTACCAACCAGCTTGGCATTTCCTCCCCGCTTTCCAGCAACAGGAATAAACGCCTGGCCATATTGGTAATAACTCTTCTTCCCATCTGGATGATGAAAATGCAACAAATTCAGCATGGTCACCGGCCGATCACCATACTCCCGCGTCAACTTCTCCATAAACGCGAGCAACTCTGGCGACACCTCGAGATTTTGCGACGTCGATCGCGCTTGAGACTGCGCCTTTCCCAGTGATCCGGTCAATGGGATCGAGGACGTCTCGCGCTTCAGTTTCTCATCGCGCTCGGCATATGTTGTCAGGAGCTTGGACGGGATACCGACCAGAATTTTGTATTCGTCGCGGACGGCAGATTGGAGGTCGGTCGGCAGGACGGGCTTATCACCCGGGATCCGGAGGACGGTTAACAGATCCCATGGATGCGAGGTGAGAGCGTTTTGATCGATAAGCGACGGGTGGATCACGATGTGTTGAGGGCGCGAGGAAACGACGATTTCAACTCGGTGCTCACGTAGACGCTGGAGGAAGGATCGGTGAGGTATATTGAGGGAAAAGAGGTGTAGCGTCAAGGCCGGCATGTTGTGCTAGAGATGTTGGTGGTTTCAATTGCGCCCTGCCAGGAGTCGGAGTAGAACTAACTGGACATTGCCGAGGTTATATATCGAGCTATGTGATATCATATATACAGTGCGAAAAATACAATGCATGTTTACCCCATTGGCAGATGTTACTCTCAATACTCAGAGAGGCAATCCTATATTCGATTCCATAAATCCAGTGCTCCTTCAAAATGTACAGTCAATTATGTATGTACATGCATCAAGAATGTCACATGACCTCCGAGCAAGCCACCTTCCTAGTCGGGCATCCGTAAACATCTCTCTATCCGCATCTCGGCCCTATTCCTGGACCCTGTACAAAGGACGATGCAGATTTTTATTTGGATGCCAATATATGGACAAATAATGGCGAATCGATCTCTACAATCCAATGCAAATCGTGATTCAAGTCGCGCGCGCTAAATCAAGCACGTCAATTGGCCGCCGGACGTTCTGTTTATAGCATCCCCACGATGAACCCGGGCTTAATAGGAATATTTAGTTTTAGGTATTCCAATGGGATTCTAGCTGATAGTTCCAATCCGTTTTCAAATTTGCCAATGTCAGTCAATCGGACAATTTCGAAAGATTCCACCATCACCATCAGCCCGGACAGCCTACCCCCGAAGCAGGGTGGCGTCAACGGTGCTCGTCGGCTGATTGCATGGGCTGCATTTGTTACGATAGTTCCCCTTCTCCTCGTGGTCGGGGTTATTGTCTATATTCTGATCCACTATCATGTCCCCCGCAAGGCAGATGCAAAGCCAACTCTGCGACTTCCCAGTGACCAGGATGATCCCAGCGTCTTTCTGGTCGATATCGATTCCGCCCGATTTGTTACCATTTCCAGCGTTGCGAGTACTGTGGTGGCATTGTTGCCAGGCTTCATTATGATACTGTGCTCGTTTCGCCTGGCCAAGAAGTTGTCAGACACGATGCAGGAAGATCGAATCGCTCAATTACCTACGCCGTACCAATTCGGGCTTTTAATTGAAGTCATGAACTCCCAACTCGTCTCGCTGTGGGATCTTATATGCTACAGCCGTTGGAAAAAGATTGCCTTGAGTCCTGTGTTGCGGATGGCAGTTGGCTCGCTGGTTGTGTCCTTGCTTCTAAGGTAGAATTCACGCTCATTGCAAAGGGAAAAATAAAGCTAACAGAACAGTTATGCAATCTGGGTGGCTGACACTTGGCTTCATATTGTCACCGAAGCGACTGTCATATCCCAAGTGACACCCATGGACACTCCAAACCACTCGCTGGGCTTCGATTTTTTTTCTGAGTGTGCGGGTGTCCATGACGACACCAAGCAATTGCCCGACATTTGCGTGCGTCTTATTTACGCTGTGGTTGATAGATCAGCGCAGCCATATTTGGTCGTCAACAACTTGTCCGACACTTACCAAGTCAGGCAAGAGGCTTTGAATGACAAAGCCTTTTCGTATCTTGCCCCTGCCTCGTCCCCGGCAAACATCGACTATCAGGCCCATACTCTTGCCGCCAGCAGTCATTGCGAGCCCTATACTCAGCAGTGTAATGTCCACACTTTGAATGAGACCACGAGCATATTCAATTGCTCGGACAACTTCCACGGAACCATGACCGAAGGAGACGCCTTAAAAGGAACAGCCTGCAGCTCGGAAGGGTGCATGAAGCTGTTTACAGATGCGGATCTCAATCACACAGCCAACATGAACACAGCCACACCGTTCTATGCCGGAGTGATAGGGAATTTTCACCCGACCCAGGTTACTCTGGATAGCACTCTCACCAACGACTCGCAGGTCATTGTCAATAAAAACCAGTGGGTGTTCATGTTGCGCTGCGCCGTGCGCGTCCAGGATTTGACCTACTCGTTTGTCAATGGCTCGATGACAGCAGCCGAGCTGTCGCCCGCCAACGACGATGTCCGCGCCATGTCGAGCCGATTTCCGCGTCTCGACACCGTTCTGATAGAGCTAGGAAATATGCTGCAGGTAGCCACAGCAGTGAGCAATACATCGCAGGAGATTGCGGATTACTACTCGACTTCGCTAGAGGCCTTGACGATCGCCTCGACTGCGAACTTTTTCAAGCCATCGCGCTGTCTGAAAGAGCAACTTCGGGAGACCGTGCTGGTTACGCGGGTTCCCAAAATCCCGTTATTTCTACTCGGATCATTATGCCTGTTATTTGTCGCACTTAGCATGGCACTGACAGGCACAGTAATGCTCGAACGCCCGACGCGATACCGTGATATCCAAGCGCGATTGAGTGTCTTTGGACTTGCCGCCAGTCGGTTCGAAGCTGGCGCTGGTCGACGGGTGTCTGACATGGAAGATTTATTTGGAGAAAAGCGAGTTGGCAGCAGCCGTGTGGGTATCACGATGACTCCGGATGGAGGATGGGATTACTTTTCAGAGGTATAGCTATAGATTCGAAACAATGCATTACGATTAATCATTCCAATGCCACACTGAACCCGGTTAAATGCATGTAGAAGACGACCCGAGCGCATTACATTCAGAGAATTGCTCTCATGACCTGTTTCATCGTCGCCATAGCCATCTTCGAAGCAAAGCAAAGAAGAAACCATAGCGAATGGTTAGAATATCGAATGATAATGGATAGTTTACTCCGGAATATCAACCTCTCTTACCGCCACTTTGCTTTCTAGAGCACAGGAGTACAGCCCTGCCATCCCATGATCTCTAACCGCCGGGGTAGGTATCCGAAGGAATGGTGCCATGCTAATGTTAGAACTTTTTCCTCTGCTTCCTTCGAAAAGTGATTATTTATTCGGTTTTTCCGTTTGGCAGAGATGCAGTTCTGGAAAGTCTTCATTTCGTCTCGGTTTGTTGGTTTTACACAGCAGCAGCATCAATTCTCCGGGATATTCTGAGCACACAGCACTCCTGCTAGTGTTCGCATTGTCGTTTCTTCTCCATTAGTCTTTTTATTCGCATAAATTCGCTTGCATGCATATTTTTTTGACCAATTTTCGTTCACTCGAGCAATAGTGACCGAATCTATGATCGCTTGTGATGTTGGATATCGGCATCGATCTATACATCCCCGCGTGACAGGCCGGTTTAAATTTGGCATTGATAGTAAGGAATCTATTACCGGGATTGCGGAACTTCATTTCAACTTTAGTCTTCTGCAATATTTTGATTCTCATCGTCATAATAGATGAGCAACATCTCCTATATACCTCTTCAAAGCAGAGGTTAGTACATACGACCATAGGGTGTGGAAAACAGGGCTTCCCGTCCGCTCAGCCGTACTTAAGCCGGGTAGAGTCCGCACGGTTAATTCTCAATGAGCCCTAGACCCCAATATATTTGTGAGACGATCTTTAGACTGGGTGCCGGTGATGGGGGTGCTCCTGTTATATGTGGTCGCAGGAGGTAGCAGGGTCGCAGTGGTCGCAGGAGTGGTCAGCTCATATCGTAATTGCCCTTAGACTAAAAAGAACAGATGATTATGGGAGGAAAAAGAGCATTATGAATCAAGATTGTCAATAAATGGGCAGAGAGCCTTCTCTGTTTTTTCTGTGATGTACCTTCCTAGGGTAGTTTAGTTTAGTTGTTATTTTACGGACTCAAGAGCCAGAACATTCCATACCATATTTCAAAGTAACGTGACCATGATTAATAGCTTCACTTTTACCCTTTTGGGACATCTTATCTTGATTAACAGCCAGTAAGTATGACGGCGATGGTGTCCATGGCGGTGGTAGTAGTAGCTGTGGTAGTCATGGTGAGAGGTCAGAAGAGGCAGTAGTCAGTAGTAATAGTACAGCTTTTGTGAGGGCAGCACATCCCTGCTGCTCCGGCAGCTCTCGGCCAGCCTTGTATCACCACAGAACTCCCGAGTATATGATTGTTCGATCAAAGGTCTACCTCTAGACATACAATGCTATAGACATCAATAAACATCTGAGATCAAGCATACAACTTGCCTACCATCAACGGCGTCACGCCCCCCACTGCAAACGTTGCATGTCCAATGCCACTGTCAACGTCAATGTCAACATCCCCAGCTCCCTCCACAACACCCCATTTCAACTTCTTATAGACCAAATCATTCACCCCCACCTCCTCCTCCTCTCCCGTCACTTCCTCATTCCCAGTCCCAAGAAAACTCCTCGAGGGCTGACAAGCAGCCGCCAAGCTCGCACTACAACACCCCGCCAACGGGATTGACCCAGGATATCTCTTGAATATCGCAACGGCGAGGAGAACAATGAGCGTCGCAGACCCAAGCGACACAGAAATGACCATAGCCAGTGGCGAGTAGAATGTATTATATAACGACGACGGCGCACCAGAACCAGCGTCAGAGCCAGAGCCAGAGCCAGTTCCACCATCAGCGCCAGAGCTGAGCGGGTACACATCGATACTAGCACAGAAGAACATCTGCGACACCAGCCAATGCAAGACAGCAATGCAGGCCGTGGTCGGAATTCCCCATTTCAGAGGAACGGAGAGCGTGTATGTGGATCGCTGCGCCGTGTTTGGCGCTGGGGACGATACGCGCAGGCCTTTGCCGTCTTCGTCCTGATCCTTGTCTGAGCTTGTTTGAGCTTCAGTTCCACGTTCAGCGCAACTACTGTACGCGCACCATTCCCCCATCGCGAGCATGGTCGTCAGTATATTGTTGAGAGCCAAGTAGATATAAGACACGAGCAGCTGCAGCACATTAGCCTTCAGAAACCCGGCAAGGACATTATGTTTTGCTTTAACCTGGAAGGCAAAGGGCAAGTGAGCCTGGCCGAGGCCCATAGTCGCAGCAACAGACCACGGGGCGGACACGCGGTCCGGGCTGAAGAAAACCCCCGCCACGATGATAACTGGTAATAGACAAGAGATGTAGAGTGCCCATTGCCAAGCGTGGATGGCCTTGGCCCATCGCCACCGGCCTCCCTTTCAGAGGTCGCCGGTGTTCTTCACGGGTCGGGGTTCCCATTCCAGCGATGTCGAGATGTAAGTTTCATAGTCGTGTTTGGAGACCAGGCAGCGGCCTTTGGTGAGAGGGTCGGGGTGGCTGAGGAAGGATTGGATTGCGTCGCCGGTTGTGCAGAGCGGGGGGTCGGCCTTGGTGATGTGCAGGGTGAGTATGAACGCGAGAATATTGACGACGTTGCAGATGATGACAACGATCAGGAAGAGCGGGACAATGTTGGCCTTGCACTGCTCTGGCATCCGCTGCGAGTAGCAGTATCGAATTGGTGCGTTATTCTGAAACCCCTGGGTTTTTCTAGCTGGTTGTGCGCTGTCAGGGACCCAGCTGGCAGCGTTTTGCTTGACATACTGGAGAGTATCAGATGCACATGTCCACTTTTGGTCCCCGTCGTAACTACTTGTAACTGTTGACGGACGGCAAACCCAATTAAAACCCTAAACCCCACCACCGCCCATTTCTCAGCTCTGCCCATCTCACTCCTCCCTATACCTTACACTTACCCAGCACTAAACGAGAACTACCATGTCCGGAATCCTTCTCTTCTGCACTGCCCCGGTGCCAGCCTCGGTGTGAACTCCTCCACCACCTTCCCATCCCACCATCCCCACTAACAAGAGCGGAGCAGGTAATCAACCGCCTCATGCAAGAAAGCAGTATCCCGGAACACGGGCGAAACATCTTCAGTCTCGTACGCACCCCCGACCAAACAACCCTGGACAACTTCAACTCCAACCCCCCAATCAACCCATTCTCAACCGGATTCCTCAACACGCCCGACACCGAACTCCGGCGATACACGCGCCAACGGATCAGCGATCTCGAGCGCGAACGATCAATCAGCCTCTCTTCAAAGTGGGTCGCCATCCTGGACGAACGGTCCGTGACCGATAACACGGTGGTGATACATCGGTACGAGACCAAGTCTAAATGGGAGCAGCTACAGCGCGAGGCGGAGGAGGAATGGGTTGGGATCCCCGGGACGGCAGAGATCAATGAGGACGAGGATTCGATCTGGTGGAAATGGCGCGTACCGTTTGATGCGGTCTTTCATCTGTATAATCATGTCGAGACGTTCTCGTGGCGTGGCGTGGCGTTGTGGGCGAGACCAGAGTATTTGGGGGAGGATGGGGTTGTTATGGTGAGGTTTCCAGTGGGGATTATTAGTGGGGGGATGGAGGATCCGTTGGGATTAATGTGATTCATAGTATCTCTCTGTACGGGGTGGTTTGGACTCGGTTCTTGCGAGAATGGGAATTGTTTGGGGTGAGAGTTCATGCTGGAGGAGATATAGGAGTAGGAGTAGGAGTAGGGTCGACTCATTTTATGGTCATGGCCAGAGAGTTGTTGGTTGATTCACCCAGATTCCTGGCTCTTAGTGAGATTTAGGTTGATTCATGCAGTCAGGGTGGAAATATACATTTCACACAATGCGAACTAAGTACATTTTCTTGCAAAGGACTACAGTATGACGTTAATCTATGAAATTTCGTCGAATTCCCTCTAAAACAGCACAGGAAGATAGAGAAAAGCGTCATAAAGCTATATAACCTTAAATTAATATAGTCATATATAAAAGTAGAGAGAAAATTGCACTTGAAATCCAGATTTGACGGACTTAATGGTGTTCATTTTAATTTTCATGATCAAGGGATTCTGCTGATATCGATTGAATATCCATCTGATATCTGTTGGATATCTGTTTGATGTCCAACAGACTATCCACTGAATATCAACTTCTGCCCGAGAATACCCAATTAGTATCTGGTATTATTATTATCCAACACATCAAAGTCGTGTCCATGGCTCCATTTGCCTATATCCCTGGTATTTTCAGCTCTGATATTTGTGAGTCTCACTCTGATATTCACAGTCGTTACTGCCTTGCTTTCTTATTCTTTATTAATCATGTCGCAATCGCAAGTGTCTGATAGTTAATATGAGGCATCCCACTATGCGGATTCCTTCATCGATCCAGAGCTTCTCCAATCTGACGATTTAACTGACGTGCTTGGTAGTGAAATACCAACCTCAACTCACTTTTCAGACCTTTCTCTCCCCCCTCAGTATCATCACACACTGGACTTGCTGGAGTGTGTCAGCAAGCCCCTTCAACAGCACTATATTCTCTATAATAGTGATTCAACCAATCCGAAGATGGGGGAATCCAGACGAGAATTTGTGGAATGGTGGTTGAAGACTGAGTATGGCCAAAAGCAACATATACAGAGGTCTATTCAATGGGATAGCAACCTCAAAAAGTCTGATGTTTGGTCATCGTTTGATCAGGTTGCGCATGCAAAGACTGGTGAGCCAAAGGTTATGTGCAAGCACTGTCAAAATATGATTATTCGCCCAGTGCATCATCATGCAGGTTGTTCTCCAATGAAGACCCATCTTGCTAGTGCTGTCTGTATTAAGCCATGAACCTTGAAGAGTAAGAGACAGGGTATAGTCCAATTATTATGAGACTTGGTTAGTCTTTAATTATAGATTCTGCTCTAATATACTAATCTCCTTACTCTCTTCCTAGTTATGTGTGCCACAAAGCAAGGAATTCACCCTCTAACTCACGGTCTCACCCGGGAGGCACCCACCGAACTATTGACCAAACTTAAGCCACACGCCGGCCGGTTAGTACTTAGTAGTTCACCAGCGAATCCCGGCTGTTGCATGTTTTTGTTTTTGCCGAACGAACGAGCGTAGCGAGTGAGGGAGGCTGTATTCTTTTTACTACAGAGTATACAAGTATTCTATATGTTGTGTGATATTTGTTGTCCCGGGTGCATCGCATGCGGAGCGACCACTGGCCCGACTCATACTGGGTCCGAGAACAGTGAGATCGTGACAGCAAGTTCAGACGATCTGAGTGTTGAATTTAGTATAGATGTCATGTACGGGCCTGCCTTGGCTGCACATGATGCAAGAATGATATATCTCTGGCTCTAATCCTACTATACACCTTAATCATTGCCTTTCCACAAATAACAACAATCGCCATGACTCCTTGCATTCGACCCGGTCAACGATGGCTCCCAGGAGACCCCGAGACCTCCCGGGCATGGTTGACCGGCTTCATCCGGCAAGTCGAGGCCAAACCAAAACGACCGCTGGCCGACGTACTCCAAAAGTTCCAGCAACTTATCCAGAGCGAGCCATTGCCTGGTTTTTCAGCCGGGACTAAACTTGGAATGGGCTGAAGAGGCGTCGGCGCCATTCTGTGGGGACTACTGCCCCGCTCCGAAGGTCATTCCGGTTTCGAAGCAGCTTGGCCTGTGTACGTAAAAGTGGAGGTGGACAAAGATCTCGATGGCTATGTGCTCGGCTAGTATCCACGTGTTGTGTCCAGACTTGCTTTCGACTCACGATTCCCTCTATACTCCGTATGTTATCGCAGATTGTGACTGGCTGAAATTGATGTAATAATGCAGCTGATAGCTGAATGCAGCAAATGTCGGACAATAATGGCGCCTTTGTCTCCAAATATGATAGCAATGGTTTGCATTTTCAGCTGGGCCCTGATTGTGATGTGCTAGTCCCCCGCACTCTTGATGATCATTTCGTGAGTTGTCGTACACAAGTCGATAAGCGATACTTTCCAGTACCCTCTAGAAAGTTATAAAGGACAACATCGAGCCCTCGATCTCAAAGGCGTACCAACTCAACCACATAGCATACAAACACTCAGCAACCATGGCCTCGATTCTCTCTCCCGTTGTGGCGCAAAGCCTGAACAAGCCCGTCGACCAGTGCCTGAGCGCTGGAACTGGCTTCCGCAACCTTCAGGCCCCCATTTGACCCAACTGTCGACTGCGCAGCCGGAAGCGAAATCGTCCAGCATCTGCGCCATCTCGACCAGGCTCTGAAGGTCTACACCCCCTCCTCGCCTAACTATGAGACACTCCGCAGCGTCTACAACAAGCAAATCACCGCCCGCCCTCAAGCTATCTGTCGCCCGACGACCGTCGCCCAGGTGCAGGCGATTGTCCGCGCCAGTACGCAACTGGGCGTGCCGCTGGCCGTGCGTGCAATTGGCCACGCTTTCTTCGGCCAGTTCTGCGTCGCTGATAGCGTCATGCTGGACATGCGGGAGATGGACTCGTTGACTCTCTCTCCCACGACCTGAAGACCATTAATGTCGGCGGTGGCACGTTCACCCGCAACCTGGTCGGATTCCTCGATACCCACGACCTTGTCACGGCGAGTAGCACAGCTGGCTGTATTGGCTGGACGGGCTGGGCGCTGTCTGGTGGCTATGGCCCACTGAACAGCTACGCCGGTTTTGGTGCGGATAACATCGTGTCTGCCAAGGTGGTGACGGCGGATGGAAACGTTGTCGACGCTGGCGCCAACGATGATCTTCTCTGGGGTATTCGCGGAGCTGGTGGAAGTCTTGGAATTGTTGTCGAGTCGACTGTGCAGACGTACGCCGTGCCCACGATGCTGGGTGGCCAGGTCCAGTACAAGCAGGGCGAATCCGCCAAGGCATTGCTGGGCTTGCAGCGTCTGCTCGAAGCGGGCGTTCCCGAGGAGCTCGGCCTTCAGCTCGAACTGTCTCAGCAGGTGGTTAATGTGATTGTCGGCTGGGTGGGAGATGTCGAAGAGGGCCAGGAGTGGCTGAACATGGTGCGTGGTCTTGCAGAGGTTCAGCTGGACACTGTCGAGCAGAGTGAGTACTCCCTTCAATCAATTCGTCGATTAACCCCAGAAATACTGACGTAAGAAGCCACCCTCAATGCTCTCCAGGGCCTGACAACCAAGGACATTCCCCTGTCCGCTCACACGGCCACCCGCGGCGTCTCCATCACCCGAATGACCCCAGAAGTCATCGACATCCTCCAACAGTCCCTGAGCGAGGCAGGAGCCTCCTATACCGTCACCGGCCTCCTGAATTACGGCCGCTCCGCACAGACCAACTCCTCCGCCTCGTTCGGCCTGCGTGAGCCGCACGCCCAGCTTTTCGTCAACGCGTACGACGAGCTTGCGCGAATGGCAGACGCTTCCGGATGGGTCAATGGCCTTGCTAACCGGATCCAGAACACTGGTCAGGCCATGGAGGCGAGCTATGCTAGCTTTGCGGCGCCGGGAGACAAGGTTAATGAGAGCTTTGGAGATGGATTGGACAAGTTGCGGGAGTTGAAGGCGGAGATTGACCCCAGCAACGTGTTCCGTGGACTTTGGAAGGCGGAGTAAATAACATGACCCAGTGTATAAACATGAGTGCAATGAGCGTATATAATGAATAACGATCTATATGAGATTCGAATGAAAGAAATTCGCTTTATATTGTGTCCGTTTTAGGTGGTTTGTTATGTACTCTGTAGTTGTCTAGAAAAGAGATCAGCAATTCATTCCGGAGCATGTAACACAGATGAAAGAAAGCGATTGGCCCAGTAATGGATATATTGGTTGTATATCGAACAACAATCTACATGGGGTTTGGGAGTGATGCTGCGTATCAAAGAAATGGTTTTAATTTGCCGAGTTTCATATAGAACACAAGCATCTCCTCAAACACCGCAGTATAAATACTAACCTCCAATCATCGACAAACCCAAAACGAAGACCAAGCAACAAGATGAAGCTTTTTCTCCTTACCCTCCCCGTGCTCGCGCAATGTGGCGAAATCGTCTGGAACGGCCGCATCGACGCATCGACCACCGTCGACCACTTTGACCAATGTACGACCCAGTCCATCCACGAACATGAGCATAACTGATGTCCACGTATAGGGTCCTGGTCCAACCAAATCAAACCGTATCAATGGTACATCCACGGCGACGGCAAGACGAGCCGGTATCTGGGACTATCGACGGATTTCAAGAATCCCGCTTCGGATGATGGGAAGGGAATGAAAATCAGCATTGTACGTCCTTTCGGCGTGCATTCAAGAATTGAACTAATGATCGTGGACAGGATCAATCCTCCTCGTGGAACGGCCAACCGATGCTCCGGTCTGAACTGATCCCGCAGACGACAGAAGATCTTGGTAGTGGACGGTTGATATACCACTTTTCGCTGCAGACAAGGAAAAAGAACGCGCCACAGGGGGATGTTGAGCATCAGATTGCATTCTTCGAGGTATTTCTGTTCTTTTTCGTCAAAGTATGACTTCGTACTAATGCATGAGGATAGAGCCACTTCACCGAACTCAAATACACCGGCAACACCCTGCAGTGGATGGCAGACGGCAAGTCGCAATGGTCGACGAAATTGCAGCCCGGAACATGGCACAACTTTGCGTACGATATCGACTTTGACAAGCAGACGGTGGGATTGTGGGCGTCGAATGGAGCGCAGCCGTTGAAGAAGGTCGTGGATAACGTGTCGGTGTCGGCATCGAGCAATTCGCAGGACTGGCATGTGGGAGAGTTGAAGGCAGAAAAGTCTGGAGGGAGAGAAGACTGGTACTGGTCTGGGGTCTACATTGAAAAGGCGCCGGTGACAAGGAAAATTTCGTGATTCATGACATCCGAGACTAGCTATTTATACAGGAGAGATATTGACACAATGCAAACAAGAACCAAAGATCACCGCACGGTGTATCCTCCGTCAAGCTTCAAGTCGTTTCCGGTCATGTAGGTACTGGCATCACTGACCAGATACACGTAGGCACCCTTGAGCTCCTTGGCGTTTCCGTTCCGCCCCATGGGGATCAGTGACAACCACAGGTCCTGGATATCCTGGGGCACGAAGTCGGAGAGACCAGTGTCGATATACCCGGGCGAGATGCTGTTGACACGAGCAAAGTCGCGCCATTCGTTGGCCAACGAGCGCGCCATGTGGATGCAACCGGCCTTGGCGACGTTGTACGAGGTCTGTTCCTGAGGGAAGTTGGCGATATGACCGGACATGCTGGAGGTAATGACGAAGCTGCCCTTGCCGCGCTGCTTGAAGTGCGCACCGACAGCCTTTGCGCAGTGGAAGGTACCGTTCAAGTCAGTCTGGATGACCTCCTCCCAGGCCTGGACGGAGCCGTCGAGAACACCGCTGTCGGCGGTCTTTCCAGCATTGGCGATGAAGGCATCGATCTGGCCAAATTCGGAAATGACGGTCTGCACGAGGTTGTTCACGCTGTCCCAGTCGCCAATGTTGCACTTGTAGGCCTTGGCCTTGACACCGAATTTGTCGGCGAGCTCCTTGGCGTTCTTCTCGCCACCTTCGGGACGGGAGGCGTAGGTAAGGGCGATATTGGCACCGAACTCAGCACAGCCACGGGCGGCCTCAACGCCCATACCACGGGGACCAGAGGCACCAGTGACCACGACGGTCTTGCCCTTAAGGCTGAAGAGGTCGTGAAGGCTTTCGGCGGCGGGGACTGGGATAGGCATGGTTGCTTGTGGAGAGATAGAAGAGATAGTAGTGTAGTAATAGAGGGTAGTAGGGTATAGAGGATATAGTATTGTATAGAAGAGAGGGCTGTGATCTGATAGTGGAATTGGCCAGGAATTGAGTTCCTTATATGCTGCCGAGGGAGAGACTCTGATGTCAACATTCTGGGTGCCGAGTCCTGTTTTAGGCGATGATGTCATGCTTAGTCAGTAATATACTTAGATATTGAAAGAAACAGGGGAATTGACCAATAGCAGAACAGTAGAATAGCAAGGAACAAGGACTCTATGACAGTCTGCCAAGTCGGCGTCCACCAATTGCCGGTTAATACTGGTCAATTGCATCCGGATCGAGTAACCAGCCCTAAATGACGTACTGGACTTGGAGACCCTGGCCTATGTGCATACTCCGTATCTTCTCCAGGTCAGTTCACATTAATACAGAGTCAATGATACATACATACTCTGCTCAGTAATACTCGACTATGTATGCATATTCGGCAATTATACTCCAGGTTTCTCCGATAGTGGTGTCATCCGACTTCGGTATCCCGAAGATTTTCCATAGAAATTTCCGAAGAATGACGTCTCGGGCAAATACTTGACGGTTCTCGTCTTTTGTGGGAGATTTTTTTTTTCTTTTTCCGCTCCTTTACAGTAGTATTGTCGTTTAGTAGAAGCATCATGGACGGTGAGCAGCAACAAAAGCCCTCCTTTTTTGGCCGGTAAGCCTCCCGGGATCAGCATGATATATACTTTGACAGAATGACACTGACCATCCAGGATATGGTCGCGCTTCTTTTCCGACCAAGGTAAAGAATCCATTCGCAACAGTGCCGATGTCGAAGTACACCGTTGGAATGGTCCCAATGACCCCGATAACCCGTTCAACTGGAGTTTCTCCTACAAATGGCTCTTGACCATCACCATCTGCTTCATGTACGCCTCTACAGAACTCGACAAGAGACCGCAGCGACTAATGATTCCGTAGTTCCGTCCTCACCGGTTTACCGGCCGGATCCTACGGCGCTGGAAACGATTATATGGCAGAGAAATTCAACGTCCAGAATGAGCCCTTCCCCAACTTGGCCTGGGCCACCACGTCCTGGAACATGGGCGCGGCGTTCTGGCCGCTCATCTTCGTGCCCTTGACGGAATCGTCGGGTCGCATGCCGGGGTATTTTGTCTCGTATGTCATCTTGATCATCTCGCTGTTTCCGTCTGCGTTTGCGCCGAACTTTGCGACATTGGTCGTGACGCGGTTCTTTGGCGGCGGCGCATCGTCCGTGTCCATCAACATCGTTGGTGGCAGTATCAGTGATGTCTGGTTGGGCGATAAGGCGCGTAGCTTGCCCATGTCGCTGTTCGGGTTCACGAGTGTGATTGGAATTGCCTTGGGTCCGTTCATCGGGTCCGCCATCCAGGCCATCCACAAGGACGCGTCGTGGCGATGGATCTTCTACGTGCAGATCATCTACAACACGGGCTTGCTTCCGATCTTCTGGCTCATCCTGCGCGAAACCCGTCCAGACGTGATCCTAGAGCGACGCGCGAAGAAGATCCGAAAGGAGACCGGTCGTCCTGTCTACGCGGAAGTTGAAATCAGCTCCACGCGTATGTGGGAGAAACTGCAAGTGTCCTTCGAGCGACCGACGCGCATGCTTCTGACCGAACCCGTTGTCGCCTTCTTCACCCTCTGGATCGCGTTCGCCTGGGGAATCCTCTTCCTGTTCTTCTCCAGCGTCGTCCAAACATTCACCCACAACTACAACATGAACACCCTTCAAACCGGCACCGTCCAGCTAGCCATCTCCGTCGGCGCCCTGATCGGTCTCGTCATCAACCCCGGCTCAGACTGGATATACATGCGCTCCGCGAAACGGAACAAGGCAACCCCTGGCAAACCCATCCCCGAAGCACGACTGTACACCTCCGTGCCCGGCAGTCTGCTCTTCGCGGGCGGCCTGTTCTGGTACGGGTGGTCGAGTTTCCCACACGTCCACTGGATCGTGCCCACCTGTGGTGTGGCATGCACGGGACTGGGCATCTACTCCATCTACATGGCCGTGGTCAACTACCTGACCGATGCGTATGAAAAATACGCCGCCTCGGCGCTGTCGGCTGCGTCGTTGGGACGGAATAGTTTCGGTGCGTTTTTACCTTTGGCGTCGCCGCAATTATTCTCGAATTTGGGATACGGATGGGCCAGTACGTTGCTGGGATTTATTGGGATTGCGCTGTCGTTGGTGCCTGTAGTACTGGTGCTCAAGGGACCGGAGATTCGTCGGCGGAGTCCATTCATGCGAGAGGCGACGTGGTCCGGGGGGGGGGATGAGAAGGAAGCGCCACAAGATGGAGAGGAAGCATGAAGTCAACCATAGCACAGAGTTGTAAGAAAGGAGACCAATAAATGGTACAAAAAAGTATATACAAAAGACAAAACTCTGGTCGGAACGGTTGTAAAAGTCAATACCGAGACGATGGGACTTAATAAGCACAGACCAATAGTTAGTTAGTTAATTAGATCGAACAATCATTGCCCAGACTATGCCGGTCAAGAAAATAGAGTACGAAAACGCTAGACCCAGACCGGGGAAAGACTAGTCGCTGAGACAATAGTAAGAGGTCAATCACCCGAATTAGGCAAGAGGCAGAAGCTTTGCTAATGGGGCCGTCAAACTCTGTTCGTTTCGTGTTTTCTCTCCTGCATTGTGCCTTCTTTTAATCCCGCTCCTGCCCGCCTCACTTCGCTGGTGTTTGTTTCTGACTCTCAGTATGCACCATGGTCAGCGGCCGTAGCGAGGTTATCACCATTGTCACCGCCGTCTTCTTCGGCATTTCGCTGACGACGGTGCTAACACGATGTTTTGTGCGATTGCGTGTGGTCCGGGCCTTTGGCTGGGATGACACTTTGATGGTGATTGCTATGGTGGGTTCTGCAGCATCCTCCTTGACGAAATTGTGTTATATTGACCACCCCGACAGATTATGAATACCGGGTTTGCAATATGCGGCTTGTTGGGTGCGAAATACGGCATGGGCAAGCGACTCGAATATTTCCTCCTCCATTATGATTCCTTTCACAAGGCGTTATTTGTATGGCCTCCAATTCTCTCTCCCTCTCTCTCTCTCTCTCTCTCTCCCTCCCTCCAACGTACTCGGACTAATGTACACGAATTTACAAAACAGTGCTGGTGGTTGGGCCAAGTCTTCTACATAGTTACATGCATTATCGCCAAAACCTCGATTATCCTGTCGCTACTCCGCATCACGGTCAATCGCATCCATATTGCCATTCTCTATGCCGCCATGGCGCTCAACATGCTTGTTGGAATGCTCTTCTTCTTCTTCACCATCTTCCAGTGCACGCCCGTCAACCACTTTTGGAACCGCATGGATCAGGACTTTGGCAAATGCATTGATACTTGGGTGCTCATTGATATCGCATATCTGTATAGTGTCGGCGCGGCCATTACCGACTTCGCCATTGGTATCCTTCCGGCATTCATGATCTGGAACTTGCGCATGTCGCAGCGGGATAAAATCGCGGTGATCGGGATTTTGAGTCTGGGCTGCATGTTCGTTCCCCTTTGCGCCCGTTGTTTTTTTTTTTTTTTTTTTTTTTTTTTTTTTTTTTTTCTTGGAACAAGCTAATATATGGGTGTGATACAGAGCAAGTGCCGCCGTCATCGTTCGCATTCCCTACATCCAACACTACGCCGACATGCAATTCCTCTACAAAACCACCAACATCTCCATCTGGTCCAACATCGAAGCTGGCCTGGGCATCACCGCCGGCTCCCTCACGGCGTTACGCCCCCTAATCCGATTCTTCCGCGAATCCTCGATGGGCTCCCGCAACTATAGCCGCAACCCAGGCTCGTACCCGCTGTCGAGCACCATAGGGAATAACACGCCGTACCAGCAGTCCAAGCTGGAACACGAGGACGTGCAGCATCTCTGGCCTGGTGGCAGGGATATCGAGGCGTATGGAGTGCGCACGGTGGTACTAGGGAATGGACGAGTTGCGGCTGCACCAGCGGCTAGCAGCAGTGAGGAGGAATTGAATCCGAATACGGTAATGGGGAGTCGGGAGTTGGGGCGGATGCGAAAGGGGTGACCTTTTTTTCTTTCTTGTCTCTCTCTCTTTTTCCCTGGTGTTTCTTTGTTTCGTTCTGTTATACCCTTGACTGTACTGTATACTCGCGGCCCTACGATCATGTATTATGTGTTAGGAATAGATATTGGTAATATTGCCTTAATTATGGAGACCAAACTCGAGTTCGATGGCGCTGCCAAGGCACCCGAAATACCGATCAACGCGGGGGCTGCACCGAGCGGACCGTAATATACTATCGACTTTATTCACTTAACTAGTACTCAATATTGCATTGATATTTTGTGGAATTCAAACATCGATCTATTGCAAGCAGTCTCTGCTCACTATTTACACTACATTGATATATTCCAATTCCATACGATTTTAATACCATAAAATACCGCAACTATAAATAAACTCTAACTCCTGCAGAACCCCATACCTAGTGGGTCCGCTAACCGCATATAGACACGTGTTACTTCCCCACGTGTAAGCGTGACAGTACATTACTTACAGTACATACATACTCAATACCGGACATTTTCCTATATCGGATCTCTACAAGAACATGTTCCAGCATTATTACTATGTATAGTTGTACTCTCTGACTCGTTTGACACCAATATCAGCATCGGGATTGTCGGTTTAGTTGAAGTGTCTTTATGCAGGCTGAAACGGAGAGACTGACCAGGTCTATGACTGGAACTTGAGTCGAGGACATCATCGTAACTCTCTTGACTCTTGGCTGCTTGACTCTTCTATTACTCTTACCAGTCTCGGGTTGTTTCGTTTTCGCATCGTTCTCGTACAGCAAAGTCTAAATCCCAATAGTCGAAAAAAAAAAAAAAAAATGGACCGTTGGGGCCTGAGAGGTGTACGGTACTCTGTATAGAGTGCAGCAATGTATATATCGTGGAGCACATTCAACATTGGTTCAGGAGATCAATACAATTATGCAGAAACGTTAAGGAAATGAATGGGCATGGCTAGAACATCTATCTATTCCGGAATATATACGGGCCTTCCTTTAATCTAACTCATGAATCGCTATGATGCATTCGCAATAACCCCTCGGCTTCCTCGTCATCTTCACCAGCGCCACCGCGTTCGTGGTTTAATGTCTCTGCCATGGCGACGCCCTCTCGTCGGCCCTTGTCCACATTCACCATCCAAACCAATGGGATCGGACACAGGATCAACACGGCGATGAAGAAGAACCCCGAACGGACCTGCCCGGTCGCATCGATAAGCATTCCCACGATCGCGGGCCCGATAAACGAACTGCCCTTGTCCGTAGCCGCGTACAAAGCATAAAATGCCGCCTCACTGCCTGGCGGGATCAACAGTCCGAAAAATGACCGGCAGTACGAGGACAGACCTCCTGATACCACACCATGCACAAACGCCAAGGGGAAGATTTCCCAAGGTTGCTGCAGGCCGATCACGCCCCAACGTTTGAACAGCGGAATATACGCCAACATGCCGTACAGCGGAATGATTTCAAACAGTCCAATGCACAGCATGATCGTGTGGTTGGATTTAAGTTGGAACCGTCGCGAGATTACCGGCCACAGGAACGCTCCTGCCATGCCGGACAGCGTCACCGTGATGGATAGCAGACCCACAGATGTCGTGCTCATCTTCAGTTCCGTCCGTGCGAACAGAATCGCGGTACCCGAGACTGTCGCTATCGCGTCTGACAACAGGAACCATGCCACCAGAAACACAATGACCTCGCGCAGGCGCACGGCCACTTTGATCGTCTTCCACAACGATCGCCATGCAAAGCCCATCAGACGCAGCCAGGCGCGCCATCGGCTCTGTCCTCCCGCTACGTCCAACGGAGGTCCCGGCCGATTGCGCAGCCATCGACGACTGACCATGGTGAACGAACCCCACCAGATGCCTACCAGCAGGAGCACCAATCTCATCGGAAGAGTTCCAGATGTCTTGGACACGGAAGTTTTGGACAACGTAACCAACAGTAAGATACTCAGAATCTGTACAAATACCGCCGCACAGTACCCTATCCCAACACCCTTGGACGAGATGCGCGTAGACAGCTGCAATTCTGGCGATGTCGACTGGGCCTTCTTTCCCAGGTCGGGTGTCCCTTGCTCAAAATCAATTTCCTCTTCATACGGCGGTGGACCAACCGACTCTCCGTTGGGGTTCAAGTGCGGAAGCTCCTCGCCACGGTCCTTATACTCTTCTTGAATCGACGGGTCGTTGGCGACCAACACCGGGAGGAAGGAATTGAGCACGACAAACGATGATCCCAAACACGTCACGCCGACCATAATCAACAATGCCCCGAGCACGAACACCGGTGGCGCGACAAAGATAAAAAGCATGCTGGCCACCGATCCGATCAATCCGAATGCGACGAGGAGTGTTTTTCGGTTGTTTTCTGGCAAGTCAGCGCGACTTCATTCGCAATCGCAAGCCTGGCAGCAAGTACAACACCCACCGTAATCCGCCAAAGCGCTGAACGAAACCAACGTCAACGCCTGTACCAACACCGCCAGCGAAAAGGTATACATGGCGAAACTGGCGGTATTAATCTCAAATCCCAGCACCCCTACCAGGCATTGTTCTTCCCCTTCCGCACGTCGAAATGCGGGTGCTGTTCCATTTGTGGATTCGGCGGGCGATCCGGGGCCAACGCATGGCAGATGGCTAGACTGGAGCGTGCCACGTTCACGAGCCAATTGTTCCAGGGTCAGGGGTAAAAACGAGCCTGGAAAATCCCGGTCGCATTGTTAGCGTTGCCAATAGATTGCAAAATAAAAAGCAAAAGGAATTGCCATACCCACACCACAGACCGCAAAGACCTCGGCCGCAATGCCATACGCATACCATCCGCGGATCTCCCGCTGGCTAGTGGGCGTAGTGTCTTCGCCGGGGTATTTGGGGGGGCGATTGGCCGAGGTGGAATCGGAGGCAATGGCCATATTGAATTATGGTCTCTTTCCTTCGCTCCAATCGAGGAAAAAGAAAGAAAGAGGAGGAGATGCGTCCGTTCGTTTGCGGAGGGTCACGGCATGCTGAATCAGCAGCGGAACGGGGCGGAAGGTCACGTGAACAGTGTTATCTTATCAAGATCAGATCAGATCAGATCAGATCAGGGCAAGACATGGACTTCACTCTGGAACGAGCATCACCAGAAACAGTGATTACAGGACACACTACAAAGACGTTCGACAGAGACATGCTCAAAGAGCAGGCAGAAACTGACGCAATGAAGACAAAGAACCCCCGGGCAGCAGCCTATGGAGGGCTGCTTGAGGACGACGCCGTAGATAACGGTTGAAAAGCGTCAAGCTCCGCGAATTGAACTCGATTTGCATTCACTGTGATGCCGCGATGTCTCTAGGCTGCGACTTCCACTCTTGTCAGAGTAGGAATGGCGCTCTTCCTGCTCCTTCCTGCGCAGTAAACAGCCCTCGCTCCTTCCCGTTTCGTCGCCGCTTGACCTCCTTCTCCTCCAGCTATCACCACCCTCCGTTCTCTTTCTCTCCCCTCCTCTCCACACTCGCCTTGCTATTCTTTTCATACCATATCCTCCCGCATTCTCGTTTATCTCGCTCATCTCGTTATCGTTCTACTCGTTTACTCGACTCCACAACTCCCCTCTCGCTACCATGGCCGACCAGCAGCAGCAGCAGCAGCCTTCGGAGCGAACCAGGGACCGGGTTTACAGAGGCGGCCGGCGAGTGATTGGCAAAGTGACCTCCTTTGTCTGCAACAACGACGGCAAGCAGATCCTTCTGAGCCCTGCGTTCCGAGGTATCGAGAGCCACATCAAACTTTACGCCGACGATGTTGGCCCCCCTGGTTCCATCCTGCGTAAGAAGCACACCACCGATGCGGACGATGGAGGCCGTTTGCCCCATCTTTCCTGGACGGATGCCAACCCGGCCAATGTCAAATCCTACGCTCTGCTCTGTGAGGATCTTGACGCTACGTACCCCGACCACATGAACCATGGCATCTTCTACAACATCCCGCCTGCTCGCAGGAACGTTACTGCCAATGATGTCGAGAAACAGGTCGGCACCAACACTCCCCGTCTCACTGCCACCTCCTGGAATTTCGTGACCACCCACGGCAGCAACACGTATCTCGTGCCTGATCCTCCTGCTAATGAGGCAACCCATCGCTACGTCTTCACCATTATTTCCCTGAACCTGACGCCGCTCAAATTTACACGCCCGAATAAAGTCACCAAGAAGGAGTTTCACAAGGCAATCGAGGGCAAGGTGATTAGTTGGGGACAGTGGATTGGTTTGTTTGGCGCTTTCCGTCTCACAGGGATGCCTTATGCTAATCTTCGCGACTGGCTTAGGATCGTTGGCTCCTCCCGCTGATAAGAACGCTTCCGCTGAGGGCGCTAATGACCAGGCCTCTGCTGGTCAGGCCTCCGCTTCCGCCGGTGAAACTACTGCTGGACAGGCTTCTGCTGGTGGTGAGGCTTCCACGGGTCAAACTGGTATCGAGGGGGGGCGTGACTACGACCGCAGCCTAGACTGCGTTCAAGGCCAGCCTATGCAGGATGGCAATTGATCGCGCTGGGCACATTCAGGACGGGTTCCACTGGTTTACCAGATACACGACTTTGATTTGATTTGATACTGGGCGTTGGGTAGTATTGTTTACTGAAAAGCTGGTGTTTTGATTCTTTTTGATACTTGTACCTAATATGACGCTCGTTAATGATAACCAGAGCTTGATACCACCATCACTTGGCCTAACTATCGTAGCAACGGTATTCAGCCATGAATAGACAGATCATTGATTCTCTAACTACCGGACTATCGACCTAGCATCCTCATCCTCATCATAACCATTTGCAACCTTCGATCCGTCTCCATCATCATCATCAACCGTCCTCGTGCCGCAGTCCCAGCCAGCATCTCTTGCGTACAGAACCGAATCCGACGAATAGTCGTTAACAACCCCCCAAGCCTGGTCTGCAGAACTTGTTTGACAAACGTGTACTTCTCCTCTTGCGGTACACGAAAGCTCCCAACCAACAACGGACACGCCTCAATCTGAGACTTGAGAAAGGTACCTCCCCCACCCCCGCCAGCATTTGTGCCACTGGCACTCCCACTTCCAACCCCCTTTGGGGAAGGATACCTCCCAAACACCTCCTCCGCCGCTCCAGTCCCCGCTCCAGGAGAACCAGCCGAAGAAGCCGTAATAACCTCCATCGCCGAAATCAAACTATCAATGGTAACCATGACAATCGTGAGCAGCGTCAGTCGGGTTCCCGCACAAATTGAGCACTGCATTATCGTCTCGGCGAGATTCTGCAGTCCCCGTTGAGACGTTAGGATTGCGTCAATAGTTCCGGCGGGGGCTATACGGGATGCAGCACAGAGGGTCATGTTTACGCGGATGATTTCGCGGAGTGTGTGCTCGTGGCACTGGCATTGACAGGTATAGGGATCAATATTGGCATTGATGTCCAGGGATGTTGGGAGGGAGGATGTGGATGACGGGTCGGGGAATTGGTATTCGTCGTAGGGTCTTCGGGGCATGGGTCCGTGTGCTGACGGAGGTGGTTGGGGTTGGCGGAAGTGAAGGTTTGCATTACCATTATGGTTATGGTTAGGGCTGGTGTCAATGGGTGGTGAGACGGGTGTCGGAAGCGAAGGGAGTGTGTCTGCTGGGGAAGTCGAGGTGTCCATGTCCATGGGCAAGAGGGCCATGTCCATATCGAGTGTGTCTGGACTAGACTGGAGAAGGACCGGATCGTAGTAGGGGATGGTGTGGGGATCTGGATCGGGGAGACTGGTAGACGTTGCTATCGAGTCCAACGCACTAGTGTCGGTCACGGTATCCAAGATTCCAGTATCTGGGAGATCCGTGATGAAGTCTTGTAGCCAGCTATCGGTGAAGTCGATATCTGACAAGACTGTCAGCTCTTCTCTTTTCTTCCGTCTATAATGGATAATACCCTGCGTTTCCTCAACTTCCTTCTTCGGCTTCCTCCTCCTATCATCCGGGTCCCTCTTCTTTGCCGGTCTTCCCAACCGCCTCGAGACGCTGTAGACACAGTCGATATTGTGCTTCTGGCACCGTCGACACGAGGGTTTCTCATGGCTGCAGCGGATCTTAGCCTGCTGGCAGGCGTTGCAAGTCGAGCGGACTTTGACGCTTCGGGGGAGAGTCATTGTATTCATTCAGTTGATGTTGTTTCTTCCAGTTCTGTATGTATGTGAACCAACCAGTAAGACTCATTTCTGAAACCACTATGGTATATATAGCTGCACGTCTGAATCAGCCAGTGACCTCGGCACATGTGAGGAATGCTATGTTTCACTGCTCATCTACAGGGTTTGCAGCATCGTTACACAACCGTTTTTTGCAAATTGACAGTACTAAACTTTGTTTCTTTCAATTAGCATTACACGGATCCCTTCTTCTTTGTGGTATCACTACAACTCGTTACGAGCACTAGCGCCGGTACAAACAGCCCTCAGCGAAGTCGTCGTAGGAGCCACATCACTAGCCACCGGCTCGCCCCCGTTCTCAACATAGAACCAGTTCTCGGTAAGCGGGCTTCCTAATCCCAGTACTTCGACGAACTCTTTTGGATTAAAGCCCACGCGTGCCTCTTTTGTAGCTGGGAGGATGTGCTGGTAGCATTCCGGGAGCTTGTAGTCATCCGGCTGCTTGAAGAGGAGGAATATATAGCGATGGTGCGATCGTTCCGGTGGTTGAGGGGAGATATACGCTGCCGTTTGCTCTGATTTAGGATTTTCGTATAAGAGACCTGTTTGGCAGTCTGCGCGTAGAGACTGGAGCCAGTGTAGGACGATGGTGGAAGTGGTGCCGTACTGGACGTCTGGGTCGATGGATAGGAGGAGGTATGGGCTTGTGCAAGGGAGGGTGGTTTGGAGGATTGGGATGGGTTTTGTTTCTGCATTAGCTGTTAGGCCTTATATACGGTGCTCATTTAATCGATGGCATATACCGGCGATAGGAAGTGTGTCGCCGGGGGTTATCCAGCGGCTATCCGGATATCGCATGTACAGATGCCCATGGAGGGCAGACACCAGAGGAAGAAGAAGAGTCGACAGCATCGTTATATGCTAATGTTAGAATTCAATTCAAGAAGAGGACACCACAAAGCTCTTTATTTAATCCAGAGAATCGACATATACCCCCGATGTCGCACATCGGCAATTTATTTCATTCTCTACAAACCCGCCACTGTAATCCCCTTGAATGAACCAGCCCCAACAACGGAATCGCCAGCACCATCGCCATCCCAACGGCCGAATACGTCCATCCAATTCCCCACCGAATACTCAATGGGTGCACTACCGCCGTCGCTGCAGCGCCCAAAAAGCACCGCACCAGGTTATTCGCCGCCATGGCTGTCGCGGGCGTGGTATAGTACAGGTCGACGATGAGGACGTTGAGAACGTTGTACGCGGCTGTTATAAAAAGTGATATGAGGAAGATCAGTGTTAGACTGATAGCTAGTGGTGGGTGTAGGGAGAGAATCCAGCCGTAGGATCCGACAGTTGCTGCTGCTGCGAGCTACTCTTCATCAATATAATTCATAGTTACTAATGAAGAAGGGGGAGGAATACCATCATAGGCAAGCCGATTTGCAATCTGGTCCGCTCGATTGGGAATTCACCGTGGTCTTGCTTCTGGTCCCTGGTTATTGGTAATCCCATCTTCATTCTCATGCGGCGATAGTTCCAGTCCACTAGAATTCCGTTCACTGTAGCGCTGAACAGCGAGCCTAATCCAGCTGGAATGAAGCTTAGACCAATACCAAGGTCTTGTAGATCATACATCTCATGGAACTGTGCCGGTAGTCCAGCGGTGACGGAATAGTAGCTGGCATAGATGATGCCATTTGCCAGAAGCACAAAACCGGTAGGACGATGAAATAGAAGGCGCAGCGTACCAAGCGGATTCGGAAATGTTATCTTCGGACGACGAAGCTCACCATCACTCTCATTCCCTAAAGAGTGGCCACGCCCCTTCCACCAGTTGAAAACCGACCGGTTCCAACCCCTCGCCTGAACAGACCCATCCCTCACGATCCTCCGACAAGTCTCGGGGAAAAATACAACCAGTGGCACAAAAAACAACATCGCCATAACCCCCAAAAACCAGAACACCGCCTGCCATCCCAGATACTGACTCAGCACACCACCCAGTATTGGCCCCAGTGACGGCGCAAGGATATTTCCCAACGACGCAATTCCCATATACATACCCCGTTCGGCAGAAGTTATTACATCTGCGGCAACGGCGGATGCTAGCGCTACGGTGCCACTACTCCCGCAGCTCTGCACGGCGCGGAGGATAAGCAAGGCTGGGTAGCTGTGCTGTAGGGCAAGAGCGATGTTACCGGCGATGTAGATGATAAAGCAGAGGAGGTAAGCTGGGCGACGACCGGCTTGGTCGGCTAGGGAGCCCATAAAGGCCGGGGCAAGGCCTTGGCAAATCTGTTCATTAGCTAGCGCTCGGGGACCAGGGGCAACTAGATGATACCATGTAGGTGGTGATGGTGAGGTTTATCTGCGAACTGGAGACATGGAGATCTCGGGCGATGGAGTTGATCGAGGGATAGTAGATATTAGCCGAGAAGGGAGAGAAGCTCGATGCTAGAGCCGCAGTGAGGATGAGGAGACGTTTCTGGGACGGAGTGAAGACGGAATATTGGGGAAGCAGAGGAGTATTCTCATTTGATTCGGACATCTTGACTTGCTATCCACTGTGTACACAGTATAAGAAGAGTAACTACAGGTGAAGCTTCCGTTTTCTCTCCTCTTCTCCTGTATAGATATGCGAAGGCCGGAACAATTTCCCCCCTGTCACTATATAAAGCAACCATCGTTAGGCTTAAATCACCGAAGCAGCCAGGATCACTACTTACGCATATATTCCCGCCAATGGGCCATGATACCCACGACACGCTGAGCCAACATGGCTGCCGGGATGATATCTGCCTCGAAGCCACTGCAAACATTAGTCGGGTCTTTCTGCCTTTTCACCTACCCCTTATCCGAAGGACATACCACCCGGAAAACACGAAATGCCCGTAAAAATCCGCGTTGGGATACAATCCACGCCGTGCAAACCACTCATCCCCCGATGCAACCTGCTCGATTCTCTCGGCGATTTTCAGCAGCGGATTTGATGCGGAATCGAGCTTGAGGTCGCGGACAAGTCCCTGGGTTGGCTGCACGCGTGGATCTATTCCCTTGTATGAGCGGTGGCCGTACCCGAACAGCTTCTGCTTGCCCTGTTTGACCTCCTCGATGAACGAGGGGACATTGTCTACGGTTCCGATATGGCGTAGAGCACGCTTGGCGGACTCGGTTGCCCCAAAATGGAGAGGACCGTACGCTGCGCCGGTAGCGGTGATTAGACAGGAAATCGGGTCTGTCTGTGAAGATGCCGTAACCAGCGCAGAAAACACCGAGAGAGCCATGCCGTGATCGGAGTTGAAGATGCCGAAGTGCCGATAGCAGGATAGCTTGAGGGGATCAGGACGACCGGTAGATGAATCCACGAGACCTGCCATAATGAAGAGATTCTCAAGGTAGCTATTGTCGATGGAAGGAGGTGTAAACGCGATACCATGCCGGTGACATCGCACGACCCCAAACGCGACGGCGTAGGTGGCTATAGTATAGATAATGGCATCGTCTGCTGCCTTGGGATCACTGTAAAGATTAGGCTTCGTGGACGCTGGAATCATTTCTGGTCGAGAGGCCAATGAGGCGCTGAGGCCAGCCATCAAAAGCGGCAATGGCGACGTCGTTTTTCTGTCTTGTTAGCAGTGTCAACGTGAACTGGCTTGAATCTTACGGTAAAGCTCGAATCGTCTGGAAGACAACGTCTGGCACCTCCAACATGGCCGTGGTCAGTTGTCGACTCAGCGTTTTCCTCTGCTCAGACGATGGATACACTCCCCAGACCAGCAGATGCAGTATATCCTCAAAGTCGCTGTCGATTTCCCAGAGATACTGCAACTTGTATCCGCGGAACAGTAGCAGGCCGGTATCATGGTGTCTTCGCTGTTAGCTCATTCAGATCTCATAGTCTGGGAAAGAGAGCGTACGAAACGGTGATGCCCGTTTCGACAACGGTAGTATTCTGTAATCCGGGATCGTGGACTCGAAGACCGGTCGTTTTCTTTAGGTCGGACGCGAGAATGGTATTGTGTCGGATGGGGATTTGGTACTGCGCATTCGTCCGCGAGTCTGTTATGTTGAGCGTTCTTGCCATTGTCTTGGTGGTTTGTGGTAGAAACTTGCTTGCATACGACCCGGCATTATATACTAGAGGGACCCGAACGGAAAAAAAAGAAAAAAAAAAAAAAAAAAAAAAAAAAAAAAAAAAAGAATCAACTTCGATAATGCAGGTGGGAGGGAGGGAGGAGAGGAGGAGTATGGAAGAGGGATGAAATGGAGAAGAGGGAGGGGAATGTACAAGTAGTTTCCCTGAGAAAAAAAAAAAAAAAAAAAAAAAAAAAAAAAAAAAGAAAAAGAAAAGAAAAGAGCCGTGGTAGAAATACCCGATAATGTTCATTATTATTCATACGATACATCACTCATCACCCGACATCAATCTATGCTATCCCATTTACTGAGGCATATGCTCGAACGGGTTGGCCAAGTGCTCCGAGCAGAACGGCAACTTGCTGGCGGTCCAGATCTCGGTGTCCTGTTTTTTTTTTATTAACCATTGTCTTTGAAGAAACAAGACAGGCGACTTACCGGCACCAAGGTCTTCTTGATCTCGGTGTCAAAAGTACCGGCCTTGAGGGCGACAATCGGGGGCGCAGCCTCGGGGTCATGGGCGATGGGAGAACCGCACTCGCCGCAGAAGACACGGTGGACGGGCTGGCCGGAAGAGCCATTGCTGGTGTAGGTCTTGGTAGGACCGTTCAGCTGCAGAAGGTCCTTGGGGACGATGGCGACGAGGGCTGTCGATCATTAGTGTTTATTCCGAATAAGGTAAAAGAAAAATAATGCGACATACAGTAAGTCGAGCCACTCTGACGCTGGCAGTCATCGCAGTGGTCATAAGCCGTAGCGAGCGGCTGCGCGATGTCGACCGTGTAGGTGACAGCTTTGCAGAGACAGTGACCGGAAATAGGCATTTTGGACGAGAGGCAGAATATAATTGGACTATAGACTGATAATGGATGATGACAATAATGAGGACCTTTGGGAGGAATGGCACAGGTATTTATACCCTCTCCGACCTCCGTGTTGTCCCTCTTGTCTTTCGCTGTCTCTCGGTGGACTTTGGCTTCGACCGGAATTTGTCATTGCATCATCCTGACTGGAGCTGTAAGTACTCCGCATAAGTGGTCCTAGTTGGGCTCCGATCAAAGAATCGCTGCCAACATTGCTAGAGTGCGAGAGACGGGGTTCACGATTGGACCCCGATACTGGGATTACTGGCCTAATTGCTTCGTCTGCGGAGCCGGCGTGATTTGTCAATTCAGGCGATCATCCAGCGATTTGGAATACGAAAAGGCCTCGATAAGGTGTCTCTACTCAGCTGACGGCCAGGTGAAAGACCTCCGGACAGATCTCAGCGACATTGACTTTGCACTTGTTCGGAATTTGTCAATATGTATGGCTGACCGGGAGGGAAAAAGGAATGAAGACGAAGAGAACAAAGAGGACACGGATATCTCTCCACATCCGCCGCGAATGATTTCAAATTGCCGTACAGGAAGCGTCAAAAAATTAGATTCAATAATGTGTATCCAAAACAAAGATCAAAAACCACTCAACCAACGCCATCCGGGTATCTCTGTCCAATCCTGAAGCTACTCGAGTTCCGCAACAGACTGCTTTCTTCGCCTCGGACGCGGCCGTGCCAGCTCCATCGAGACCGATGCGGGGACGTCATTTATCCGGATCTCTGGCGGTGGCGCTAATCCCGGAGATGCTGGTGCTTGCTGCTGCTGTTGTTGTTGTTGTGCTGCTTCTGCTCCTCCATGACTCGCTTTGCCAATGAGCCGATCTACCAGGACTCCATGCGACCGCCGCATCGTCTTTTTGACAAACCCAGCCGACCAGAATGGACATCGCAGATCGACCTCTTCGCGCAGGTACAAGCCTTGACCTTGACCATCCAGACCGTCATTCATGTTTGTTGCGTCGGAGCTCGCCTGACCTTCCTCGCCTGCCTCCCCCTCCTCCTCCTCCTCCTCTTTATTCCCCCCAACACTCCAAGTAGCCCGAATATCCACTCCCATCGGCGCATAAACATGTGTCCGGAGTCCACGGGGCAGATCCCGAAAACTCCCTTTGTAGCTGATTTTCCCGCGAAACCATTTCCCGGGTAGGAACTTGATGCGGTCCGTCAATCCGTACCAGATCCAGTCGGAGGCGTGTTCCTCGTCCGGGGCGGAGGGCGTCGGTTGGCAGCGGGAGTAGCGGATCACCAGCGGATTCAGCTCGATCATTTCCTGGTGATTATGTAGCGTGTCGATGATGGTTTCGCGGGAGATGGTCGCGGGGAGGGTAGTCGTCGTGGTGAACACGGTGCGCTTCATGGCGTCTCCTTTTCCTCTCCTCTCCTCTCCTGAATATCGCTCGGTCAGCGCCGCCCGTGATAGATATATCCCGTAAAAACGGCAACCTGAGAGGCATTTGTCTACCGTCTTGAACAATCGTGATGCTGGTTAAATGGAAAAGGAGACCAGCCAGCACAGAGAAATTGCATCCAACAACATGATGGTATCCAGCAAAGTGACGTGGGAGAATTGCGGCCAGGCTATTGCCCAATAGTCCTCGTGTTTAACTTTGTCCCGGATTGGCTTCAGAATAGGGGGGAGTACAGGTACAGTAGCTATATAGATCGACAATTCTGCAGAATCCCCGGAAATTGGGGAGACCCAAATGTTTATTCGGCTAGAATACACAAATGTGGTAGAATACATGTAGAATCCCTTATGTGACACATTAACAAGGCACCAAGGCATCTATCTATTCGCTGCCGCGTCGCGCATACTCGATCTTGTCGGCCGCACTCTGCTTTTGATCAGTCTCGTCCAGCATGGTTGAAGTGAAGATACTCACTTGCATCTGTGCCGCCATGCCTCCTCGTGGATTCTGTCCTCCGTATACCGTCGATTCGGCGTGTTGAGCCTCCCGCGCATCGTCCTTGGTCACGTACACCGGCACATCGACAGCCACAGGAGGAAGTCCTAATGCTTCGTTTCGATTCGCGATGGAACGAACTTGCGCAGATACGGAGCCGGCCTCGGGAGGTCGATTAAATGCGCGTCCCTGTCTGGTCAGAACGATACTTATCTTACAATGACAAGACGTTGACGCACCTCGGTAGCTTGAATTTCCCGCGCATCTTCCTGCGTAATATGACTCTGAGGCTTACGCGTGAGCTCGTCTATCTTGGTATCATAATTCATCTGCCTCATCGCCAGACTTTGTGCCGTTGCTAAAGCGCAGTCAGTTAGCCATCCCCTGGTTCAGAAACCATCGTCTTAGGACCCGCGACGACGAACCCGCTGGCCCTCCATGGACAGGACCGGAGCCGGTCAGTTCACTTTCGACCTGCGAGATCACCGAGACATCTTCGGTCGTGATGCGTTGGCCGGCCTCTGCTGCCCGCTTGATTTCGTCGATGGACGGGAGGTCGAAGCTGGCGGAAGGGAGATCCGCGACGGGCAAGTCGGAGCTGGAGGTCATTCTATCAACCATTTTGGATGGATTTTTTTTTACTCGATAGGCTTGATACTTTGTTTTCGAAGATCTCGAGAACTAAAGCGTTTATGTACTTGCCGCTTGAGAAGCCGGTGATGTCACTCTGAATACATTTGTTTTGCCTCACTCCTAAGGGCAAATCGAAGGACTGGTTCATTGAAAACAATGGCTTGGTTTGCCTACAGCTATGGGGCGTAAACGCGTCAAGGGTTTACTGTTGTCATCTCGAATCTACACCAGCCACCCCCCTCCCCCCATCCACGCCACGAAATGCCTCTATGCGTCTAATCTTGTCGTGTCCGAGCAATTATCGTCCATCACCTGATAACGAACCTCAAAACGAGGATAAGCTCAGCTGAAACTGAACTCGTACGACCATGCACGTCCTACCACGCAAATCACAGACACACGGAACTAGGCTGCATATCTCCCTTTTGCATTGACCAAGTCGCTGCAACGGTTCATCCGCCGTCGACCAATCGAACCCAGCATAGCGTCAAAAGACATCAGGTCTCGATTCGGAAACCCCGTACGATGACTTTTCTGGCGGCTACACAAGACACGGGCGAAGCTGTACGATGAAACGCCAGACGGTAATCATCACACCTCAAACCGTTCAGGATCCAGCCACAGCCAATGTCACCTAGCGCTGAGGACGAGGTTGTGGGAAGACCAATGAGAGGATTGTCCCACTGTTGCATTTCGATCAACCGTCAACGCCTTGCCCCCCTCATGATGAATCATTGACGCAGCCGCAGTATCTCCTCGGCATCCTGCATGGGCATAGTATGGTGTTGTGGCATCGTAATCACCTGGCGATGCTCATTTTTGGCAATCGGAGAAATTCTGGCCAACCCACCATCAACCAACTCGTACAGTCCCTGGAGGATAGCTGAGCACAGAGTCCGACGCTGCCCCTCCAACCTTGTGCCACGCTTGTTGATGGCTGAGGCCATCCGCGGGCATGTGATGGGGTTGTACCTCGATGGTCGATGAAGGCGGGGCTCGATTATTACCAGCCATCCTAGACTTGAGGCGTTATTTTCACTTTGCGTCGGATTGCAATTTGCGCTGAGAGCTGAAATCAGGCGTCATGGTTATTTTCACTTGTAGCCAGACGACGGAGGTACCCGTGTTCGAGGGTCTGGGTCAAGCCAAGCCAGCCTAACAGGGACTCCAGGAGGGGATTCGAGTTAGTAGAGAACTTGGCATTTGGACTAGGTCGTATACCGGTGTAGTTGGTTCATCATGGCGAGGTTTTTACTTGAGGTAACTCCATGAATAGCCGTCAGTAAGGTTTTACCATCAGCTCTGCCACTTGATTTCAGCTGTAGATGAACGGCAACATCTCTTATATATATATGCATCATCGCTCACTTGTTCGGTGAATTCAACCTGCATCTGTCATGTTCTTTTTTTTTTGCCGGTATCTACGGTCCTTGCCTGTACCGGCAAACGGACCAATCGGATACCTCAATGGCGTAGGACCGGCAATCCGTGAGCCGGTTCCGGCATCTCGATTGCATGTTGATACTGACAGATTCGAATTGATTTGGACATATTGAGAATATGAACAAGAGTAGATTATTACTATAATTCTTCCGAATAGCACTTAGACCATCTAGTGTGTTGGTGTATGTGTGAATAGTCCCGTATGGCGTCTCGTAGTCCGGAGATAGAACGCTATCTCCGTCCTCCAAACTTCTTTCCTCTTCAATCTTTCCAACTAAGCTTCTCAACCGACACCAGCCAGTATGGAAGCATGACCAGCCTCCCTATTACGGCATCCTGATACATAAAGATGTCGCAGTCACCCAAGTCGTGCGTTCCCGGTTCAGCTTCGAATCAAGTCGCTAACGTTCATCATCCAGACCCCTTCCCAAACGATGCAGAATAGCCTGTACGGCATGCAGACAGCAAAAGGTCAGCTTATTGAGATAAAGGAAAACGCTGCGCTAACAAGGGTCACAGGCAAAATGCGACGCCTCGTTAAACCCCGACAAGCCGTGCAGTCGCTGCGCCAAAGTCAAGGCCGATTGTGTCATTCACGACTCTTTCAGGCGAGAGAACAAACGTCAACGCCTCTCAGAACTCGAGAATGAAGCATACGACTTACGAAAACGACTAAGAGCCTCAGCCCCGGCAGAGTCACCTACCCCGATTGCCATGTTGACGGCGGCCGCAGAGATGGGAGTGCATTCGGATAATAATAATAACGGAAGGGAATTGCAGGCACATTCTACACCAACGACGACTATTTCGGCTTATTCGCAGCCTCTGCTGTCTTCGTCGTGTACGCCACAGATGGATGCCGTGCCGGACAGGCGAATCGCGGATTTGACTATACCGCGCACATTGGACAATGTCACACTGTCGGGGAAAGAAATTGACGAACTGTTTCAACTGTACGGATTGTACACCCTTTGGTTTTTTTTTTTTTTTTTTTTTTTTTTTTTTTGCCGGAATCGAGGCTAATGATAGAAGGTTCTTTACTCAGTACGCGCAATTTCTTCCGATTCTCGACCCCCAAACCACTCCTAATGCCTACTACGCACAATCCTCGTTCCTCTTTTGGTCCATTATCGGTGTCGCGTGCAGGACATATTCCAGAAACCCGACGCTGGTGACCGCCCTATCGCACAGCGTCACAAAGATGGCCTTGCTATCGGCTGCTTCTACGTCCGCGCCATGGCACACTATTCAAGCCCTCTTCCTGGTTCTCACCTGGCCGTTTCCAAAAGACATGACCAGACCCGACCTGACGTTCCCAATGAGTGGAATGCTTCTTCATATTGCAATGCAGAACGGTTTACACATTCCCATGTCCAGTCACGAATTTTCCAGAGCCAAGATTCCTGCGCTGTCGGAGGTGGACATGACCCGGCGTTCTGAGTTATGGGCTCATTGCGTTATTGTTTATCAACGGTACGTTTTCTAGCAATCATCTTCGTACGCGCGCTAATTTTTCCCAGTGCTTGCATTACGAAAGGACAGTCTCCTCGCACTCTTGTGAGCTTCGAGCAAGATCCAGGACAGAGCCAGGTTTTTCTGCAAAGGATCGCGCCAACTTTGGTTCTAAAGGTCCGATGCCATGAAGCTGTCGCCAGATGCAGTGCTGCCGTTTTGGAAAATGGGGTTCGAAATATGTCCGTGGATCAGGAACGAGCATTAGATATTCTCATTCGGAATTTTGAGGGACAAATATACGACCTCGACGCTCAAGCAAGCTCAGGTACGTCGTCTCTCTCTCGATCAAGTAGGCGAAACTAACAAAGATCCAAGATGACAAGCTCCACACGATGCTCGCCCGCCTCAGTATTCAAGCCTTTCACCTTTTCAAAGGCCAAACCATTTTGACCACCGGCTGCCTTCCACGGCTTCTTTCCACGTGCTGCGCTATGATCGATTGTATTCAAGATCTGGGACAGAGGATTAGGGATCTCGCGATGGCGCCAGTGCAGGTTTCATTTGCAATGCTTCTCGCTTCGGTAACAATATTACGGGTTCTCAAGAGCACGACATTTTCACGCGAACTAGACGTCGAGCGCGCAAAATCATCCTTCTTCACAGCCATCAACCTGGCCAAACAAATGACTATCGATAGCAGCGATATGGCATCTAAAAGTGTCATTGTCCTAAACCAACTCTGGAACAGCACCAAAGCCTTTCGGAAACCTGATGGCAGCGAGTACACCGCACTCCGCATTCGAAGCCGTCTCGTCCTCAGTCCCGTTCTCGATGCTGTATGGTGGTGGCGTGATGAATTCGACGCGCAGTATCGTGCTATGGTCCTTCCCCAAGAGGCATCAGAGGGTTTGTTTCCGGCCAATCAGGTCATACCGTACACTGCTGATAACCCCACAGGAGTCGATGCTCATGAGAATTCTGCTGCTGCTTCGCATACATGGACTGGCTCTGTCGATCGGCAGGATTCTCTTTGCTTGGATGACCAGTTTCTCGCGGATTTCGAATGGGCGCTGGGTGACGGAGGGCTGCTTCCTCCTACGGAGCCTTATTGTCAAACTTGGTCGTCTTTTGGTCTTATTCTGTAATGGCTCCGTTCGCTGAGGCCAATTGGTTGGTTAGCAAGCTTCTGCTGCCTTGAAGTACTTCGGTTACAGCTGTTTTACTTTTGACCAATCTTCAAGGTCGCTACCTAATAGGGCCACCATACATAAATACGTGCTCATCACGATTTCATCACTTACCGCGAGAATCCCCCATGCGAATTCTTCTTACGACCGCCTCATCTCGCCATGTCTCTGCAAGAGGAACCCGCGAGACCGGTAAAACGACGCTAGCCGAACTCCTCGCATCATACTATCAAGGACGCGGTGAACAAGTCATACTGGCCACTGGATGGAAGGAAGTGACCGATCCGATTCAATACTTGGTGGATCTTGGCAATCATCAAGGATGCCAGGAAATGGACTACAGCTCCTTTACCGATTCAAACGTCGTGGTTATCCTTGACCAGGCCCATCATTCTTACCCAGACCTTACACTATGGCTAGGGTTCATCAAGACGCAGAGCGGTAGATCCAACGGTCCGAGAATCTGCTTGTTTAGCCTTTTTGGAAGTCCGACGACGGGGAGAACAGTGTATCCCGAGGGGACGTCGCCGGTGTGCTTTACTCCCGAGCAGCGCGTGGATTTGGCGACGACTGAACCGTATCTGTACTTTGCTCGTGCCGAGTATGACGATGTTGTCGATCGTCTATATCTTAAGTCCATGTCGGGAATTGAAATTCGATGAAAAGGCCAGAGACTATGTTTTTGACATAACGATGGGCCATCCTGCCGCTGTGCAGAGCTTTGTGCGATTTCTCTACGATGTATGCGCCCCTCCTTTATACGGCTATACTCACGGCTGACCTGATAACATAGTTTTACCGCTCTGTAATTGAACTTGACAAGAGCAAAATCGTGACTACAGACATGATTGTCAATGCAACATGGAATGACGAAAAAAGTCTCCCAAATGCTGCGCCCATGTCCCGTCTCCGAAACATTCCCAAACCGATGGATATTAACGTCAAAGGCTCTAACAGCACTTAAAAACACTCGTCTTTGGAGGCGTATCCCCTTTGACCTTGAGAATTCCGGAATCAGATTGTGCTATGAGGAAGGGTGCATCTCTACGGAACTTGCTCCGGATGGCGAGATGGTAGTCATGTATCCTTCCAGAGTACATGAGAAGTAAGCGTTGGGAATGCAGAGTGCGATACCTGCTGCTGGTGAAAGCGTGCTAATGACTGAAAGGTTTACGGAGTGTTTATTGATGGCGAGAGATCCTAAGTATCTTCCGAAGGAGCCGGAGGTGAAATTGATGATTCTTTAGAGTGATTGTTGGCTATTTTTGCTATTGTTAGGATTGTTGTGTCTCCTCGGCCTCGCTCTGCGCAAATCGAAACTATGGTATTCATTAGATTCGAAGAATAATTAACTAGTTTACCATTCTGCTTCCTCTCTCAATCTCTACTCCATCTCTATCCCATAGTCCTGCCAGGCTCCATACAGAACTTACTTAGCTATGGCTGTGGTAGGTTAAAGACTGCCTCGGCTCTTGTGTCTCCTTATTCTAATCTTGCATTCATTTCACAGACTGTTGGCTGGCTATTACATTTTAGCACCAGTTCCTTTCGAGTACAAAGCGCGCATTTTCAGCGTTTGAACCGATACCCGTCAATATAACTATTGCAAGCACACTTTGTCTATAGTGGTGAGAAATTCTCACATGGATATCGAGATATTAACTGCTTCAAATTGACAAGGCAGTTAGTCATAGCAGAAACAGCCATACTGCCCGCGAAGGCTCCGGCGTACTTTCCGGCCGCCGCGCTTTTCTCATGAAATGTAAAGATTTGTAATTGAAGTTATCATTAGTAGTCTGATGATGACCGTGAATGCCTGATTCCAGTAACTATACCCCTGTAGTCCTCGCCAACTTTCCCCCTTCATCCTTCGGTTATCTATTATGATGTAGGACTCGTGAGAAGATTGTTACTATGACCCCATCATCCCGTATACAGAGTGTCTGCCTGCGGGAGACATTTTGGCTGCCTTCAGGCAACCCTCCGATTCCACGGATATAATAGTCTGTTGACTCTTCGCTCTCTTGAAATTTCATCTATCCGTGCTTCTTGATGCCAAGGAGTATACCGTCTACGAGTATTCAGTACGATACAACTGTCTAACCTATTTACCAGCTAGGGCTTGTTTCAATACCATCATGGACTTGGAACTGCTCCTTGGCCTCATCAACGAGGTCGAGAATAACAAAAACAGACGTCCGAACCGGCAAGGAAAAGTTCTAGGCCAGCTCAATTCCTCGCAACAGCACGCCGCTCGAATCTTGGACGGACTGGCAGGGATTCTTGTGTCTAAGGCTGGCGAAGTGGTAGCTGTTGGCGTCCAGGAAAGCGAGAGAAAGATCATAGTAACAATCTCTACCAACGAAGATTGCTTCCCGCTCCATATCTATGACCATCTTACCACTGTGTGGGCGCTGCTGAAGGGAATCTCGGATGGGTATAACCAGGATCGAGTACAGTCAAAGCGACCTTCGCATATTACGACTTCGACGCACAAGCTACCTGAGGAGACGCAACAAAAGATTTACAACTTCCTGCTCGCCATTTACAGATATTCCTCAGAGGGGCTCCTTCACACCATCAACAAACGTTTCCGAGAGAACGAAACACGTTTGGAGGCATTTAAAAGGATTGTCAGTTCACTTGATGCCCAGCAGAAATTAACAGCCTCATTGGATGAAATCTGTAAGATCATCCACCTCATTGACAAGTTCCTGAGATCCGATGATACTTTTACCTCTGAACCTGTGTCAGAAAGCATCCCAAATCTAAATTCCTGCTTTAATGTCCTCTCTCATCGTGTTGAGAATATTTTACGGTTCTATCGAGAGATCAAGAAGATTGAGCACTCTGAAGGTTCATTTCTACATTCCTGAGTTTATGTCTACGCTAACGTCTTTTGAGCAGGGTTCCCTCTAGCCACGTATCTTGAAAAAATTCCCTCGATGCAAAAAGGAGTCAACTGGTTGTTGGCCTTTGCGTATGACCCAACACTTCGGCCTCGCTTTTTCACCGGCCAGGGTATTGAAATTCGCTGCGTCTCCCCAGGAAGAGAAAACATTCGGTTGCCCAGGCCTAAGCGGTGGAAGGAGGTGGCCCGCGCAGCCCTAGAGAGCCAAGGCGAAACCCTGCGAGCTTCCGACCCCAAGCCTGGATCCAGCCGTCACTTAAAGAAAAACCAGAGTATCAACGCCGCAGTACACTGTGAGGTAGCTCTCGCGCTCCATTTCCTCTCAAAAGATCTGGAAGGCCCTTCGCCGCTGCCCTACATTGGCATCTCAAAGCCCTCGTGCTATGCATGTTGGGGGATCTTTCGGTGTCTTCAGAGGTCTGGCGCTGGTCTTTTTATAAGAAGAACTAATTCGAATGCACCGTTCCCTTGGAAGTACCCTAGCACTGAACTCGACAGCTCGACCTACAACGCCGCTAAAATTTATCAGGAATTCTACTCCATTATTGCAGAAAGGTATACATTGTACATTCTTTGCAGTCCGGAAAGAAACGGTCTGAAAGGTCGAAAGGCGCTTTGGGATCGAATTCGCATCCGGAAAAGGTTGCATTTGTTCTGGCTGCGGTTGAACAACTCACGAAGGAAATTTAGGCTGCACACTGATGGTCTAGAACTAAAGCCGGAGGCTTTTTATTACTGATGCGTGATCCCACAATAGTTAGCTACAGATATAGTTCCAACGAAAAGTACTAGCGGCTATGGTTATGTGCTTGTTGAAGCCCCTTCACACTCCTCACACTCCAAGATATATTCCGTAGTGACTTGAATAGCAGCAAAGCCCGCATAATGATAGCCATTGCCTGACAATGACAGTAGATGAATGAACTGGGAACGGTTATATTGTACTATTCGGGACGTTGTCCAATCATCCGAAATGATCAAGAGATTCGAGGACACTGATGGTATAGAGCGCACGGTGTCAAACAAGTGAGACATGCTGTGCCATTAATTAGGCATGTATGCACTCGCGCACACATATCTAGTCCAATCTGTATACACCATCCCAGATAGGAAGGTGGTTATCAGTGATAGGCATCGGCAAAACCCGTGATGGCTTATCGCAGACAAAGAAAAGAGCTTGATTTCGCCTTATCGCGCCATGCGGTATGTCAATTGGTTGATGCATGATAGGATCTCTGCCCCGGACTAGTACCAAGGATCCCTGCACGTGGATTTAGTCTGGGTGTTAGGGTTACATTCCGATAATGCATGCAATTCACTTGACAGCTCGTGATAACGCTGGGCTTATATCTCTCTGTTTCCCCTTCTTTTCCCTCCTACATTCTTGAACCATCACCGGTAAACTATTGATTGCAAGATGAAAGAAAAAGATAGCCAAGGCGCCATCACCACCTCGGCCGAGGTCGACGAAACGGCCCCCGATGAAGCAACAAAGCATCTCCGAAACGTCAAAGAAGCCCACCACTGGGACCCCAATCTCCCCCAAGATGTTCTTGACGAGATTGACAACGCCCTGGACACTTCCAACAAGAACACCCAAGACAATGCCGCCCATGAGTTGCTTGACAACTCGCCGTACCCGGAAGTCCGCGCAGCAGTCCCCAACCGTGACGAGGGTGGACATAGCAATACCATCCGCGCGTGGACTATCGGCCTACTTTTTGCGACCATCGGCTCAGCACTGAACATGCTTTTTTCTATGCGCCAGCCGTACATTGTGATTCCGTCGTACGTGGCGCAGGTAGTCGCCTACCCCGTCGGCGTTGCGTGGGCCAAAACCATGCCGAATCGGAATTACAAACTCTTCGGTCTCGAATTCAACCTGAACCCAGGCCCGTTCAGCAAGAAAGAGCACGCCATCGTGGTGATCATGGCTAACGCAACCTTTGGAGGCGGCGCAGCCTACGCGACTGACGTCCTCCTCGCCCAGCGCGCCTTCTACAACCAGCGTTTCAGCTGGGCGTTCGAGATTCTCATGTGCATTTCGACGCAGATGCTCGGCTTTGGCCTGGCTGGCTTCTTCCACCGGTTTCTTGTCTCGCCTGCCGCGATGATTTGGCCCTCGACCCTCATCAACACGACGCTCTTCACGGCGCTACACGACCGCAGCAAGCCGGATCCGCGTACTGTCTCTGGGTGGACGATTGGAAAGTATCGCATGTTCTTATACTGCATGATTGGGTCGTTCGTCTGGTACTGGTTCCCTGGGTACATAGCGCCGTTCCTGAGCATCTTTGCGTTTCCGACATGGATACGGCCCAACAACGTGGTAGTTAACCAGTTATTCGGGGGCTCGACAGGTCTCTCGTTGATACCGTTGACGTTCGACTGGACACAAATATCCGGGTTCAACTTCAGTCCGCTGATTGCGCCGTGGTATGCCATCGCGAACACATTGATCGGCATGGTAGTGTTCTTCTGGATCGTTACGATGGCCATCCATTACTCTGGCCTGTACTATTTCAAGTACCTGCCCATTAGCGACTCGGACAGTTACGACAACACTGGCGCTGTGTACGACGTCTCGCGCATCCTGACACCAAGCCTCACCCTCGACGAGGCCAAGTACAAAGCCTACTCGCCTCTGTTCCTGTCAACAACATTCGCCCTTAACTACGGCCTCTCCTTCGCCAGCATGATTGCCGTCCTCATCCACACAGGCCTTTTCCATGGAAAGGAACTCTGGGCGCGCTTCCGCCACCTCGGCCGCAAGGACGAAGACATTCATGGTCGACTAATGTCCCGCTTTCGCACTGTGCCCTGGTGGTGGTACGCAGTTACAACACTGATCATGCTCGGCATTGCCCTCGGCGTGACACAGGGATACCCTACTGAGCTCAGCTGGTGGGCGTTTTTCATCTCGCTGATCATTGCGATTGTATGGTTCGTGCCGTTGGGGATTGTCAAGGCCGCGACGAATGTGGATATCGGGTTGAATGTGATCACCGAGTTTGTGGTGGGGTATATGCAGCCCGGCAAGCCGATGGCGATGATGTTGTTCAAGACGTATGGGTACATTACCATGTTGCAGGGGTTGTATTTCTGTCAGGATATGAAGTTGGGTAAGTTGACTTTGCCCCTTATCATCCCCAGTTCTATACGCGTATACTGAGTCATGGTAGGACACTACATGAAAATCCCACCAAGGTTAACATTCACCGCGCAAATGGTGGCTGGTCTGTGGTCATCCATCGTGCAAATTGCCGTCATGAACTGGGCGCTCAGCACCATCCCAGAAGTCTGCTCCTCCACGCAAGCGAACAACTACACTTGTCCCAACGGCCGTGTCTTCTTCAATGCCTCGATTATATGGGGCGCCATCGGCCCAGCGCGCATGTTCTCACCTGGTCAGATCTATTCGAGTCTGTTATGGTTCTTCCTTGCCGGTGCAATCTTCCCCGTGGTTATTTACATTGCCGCGCGAGTCTTCCCGAAATACAGAATTCTCAAGTTCCTAAACGCACCACTCATTTTCGGCGGTGCAGGCCTGATCCCTCCCGCTACACCGCTGAACTATCTCTCTTGGGGTATTGTCGGGTTCCTATTCAACAAGCTAATTCGGGATCGGTTCCGTGGGTGGTGGATGCAGTATAACTATGTGTTGTCGGCGGGGTTGGACGTCGGTTTGGCGCTGGGTACTATTTTGATCTTCCTGGCATTGAATCTGACTTCGACGAGCTTCCCAGAGTGGTGGGGGACGAGGATTGCGAGTGATACGATGGATATGAAGGATACAGCGGTGCAGATTGTGGTGCCTGAGGGGGAGACGTTTGGACCGAGGACGTGGTAGTCTTAGTATGAACAACTGCATGCAATAGATATTTTTTAGATTTTTCCAATCATTCTTGGTCGCACCGTGGTGTAACATACCGAAATCAGCAAACAATTCTTCAGGACTACTGCTGTACTTTCCAAACATCATCTTCTTATCTTTTGTTATGAACCCTGCAAGGCTCTGATCTCAGCATAGACGTCGAACTCCTCACTGTATTAATCAGTGAGGCTGAGACCGGTATTCATAGCCGTCCTTCCGAAGTGCTATCATCCACATCCAAACGCTCATCTCGAATCACCATCCAGAGCGTCCTAGATGGACTGGCCCAGATCCTGGTCTCAAAATCAACCGGAGAGGTGGTGGCAATTGGTGCGCAAGTCAGTGACAAGGACAGCAAATTAATACTAACAATTGCGACTAATGATGGACATGTCCTGGCTTACATACGAAATCACCTGCACCGGGTCTGGACATCCCTGAAAGACGTATTGGCGAGTACCAACACAAAAGTCCCGATTCACTGTGAGCTGGCAATCGCTCTTGTTTTCTTGTCGGAAAAAGACCCACCAGCATCAACCTTTGCCTATATCGGAACATCCAGGTTATCTTGCTTTGCCTGCTGGAAGTTTCTTTTCTGCATACGGAAGGAAAAGTCTGAGAATCAGATCGAGCCATGCTTTTACACCAAGGGGACCAACGGAAAGACGTGCTTCCCATGGAAGTACCCCGGTCAGGAGCAACTCAATTTGCAAGGATGATACAGAGATTATCTACAAGAAATCTTACTCAAGACTGGCAGATAGGTATGCAGAGTGCATTGCTCAGAATAGCCCAATCAACTCTGAATACGAGTACTAGGATCCTGAATTCGCGAGTACATAAATATATGCAAGTATGATTTCGATGGCTCCAATGGGAGCCTCGAGTTTATTTGAACAACCTTTGATATTAATTCTGTAAAGAAGTGATATTTGGTATATTGTGAGTACTATGGTGCGAAGTAGCTATAGTGTTGGCGATAGCAAGACGTGGTAGCCTAGTAATGATATACGTGACAGTGATAAGACGACATACAAGCAACCTTCAACCTCCATCTTCTACAAACTGGGCTCTCAAAATGGACGTCGAACTCCTCATCGGTCTTATAAATGAGGTCGATATTGATTCATCCAGACTGTCGTTCGAACGCCCATCCAAATCCCGCACTACACGCATCTTGGACTCTCTGGCCCAAATCCTGGTTTCAAAACCATCTGGAGAAGCAGTAGCAGTTGGTGCTCAAGTTACTCAGGATAATAGCATAGTGATACTAACAATTGCAACTAATGATGGATCTGTTCCGGCTTTCATGCAAATTCATTTTAACCGAGTCTGGACATCCTTGAAGAATATTGCGACTTGCTATCAGAATCACCCTCACCGAAAATCATGGCAAGATCTTCCTACCAATACCAGATCCAGAATTGATGGTTTTGTGCAACTCGTTTCGGAATATTCGCGTGAAAGGTACAAGCATCAAATGAACAAGACGCTCAGCCATAACCAACAAAAGACACGATTCGAGGAATTCAGTGATATCGTTCAGTCTCTAGACTCGGAACACGATGTGACGAAACAACTGCTCAAAGCCCTTCCCGACATGGAAGCCATCAACAAATGGCTGCAATCCGGAACGCCTGAAACTTACACGCATCTCTACGAATGCTTTTACCGACTATATAAGCGTGCCAGAAACGTCCTTCGCCTCCAAGATCTCGATCCCATAAAAGATCGCCGTATGTCTTTCGTGGTCGAGTATCTGAAAAAGGTCACGTTCTTCCCGACATCATTCAGGACACTAATGCAGCTTGCCTCGTCCCGTCGGCTAAGATCTCGTTTTCTATTAAACAAGAGCCTCGAAGTTCGCTACGTCTCTGCCAACACCGGAGGTGAGTTGATCACGCTTCCAGAACAGCCTGTTTTGCAAAAACTAGCGCTCGCAGCCCTACGCAGCAAATGCAAAGGCTTGCCCCCTAACTATCCCACTCCTGAGACCAGCGAACATCTGAAAAGGCCGACGATAACTATCAGAATGCCGATCCATTGTGAGGTAGCAGTTGCTCTTGATTTCCTGTCGGACAAAAGGCTACCAGCTCTTCCATACATCGGAGTATCCAAATTATCTTGCCTCGCCTGTTGGAAGTTTCTTTCCTGCCTGCGGAAGAGGAAGCCAGGTTTTCACACCAGGGGAACAAGCGGGAAGGCGAATTTTCCGTGGAAGTATCCTGGGAAGCAACTCAGCAAGTCAACCATCAAAGATTATGCGAATGCTATTTACGAGGAATTTTACTTGGAAATGGCGGGTAGATATACGGATTGTATTCTTGAGCATCCATGGTCTGGGGCAAGCATGGAGGGCGAAGACCTGCAGTGTGTTGAGGACATTTTATTTCAGGGGATTGAAGGGATGGAAATAGACTGAGCGACGTAACAGGTTCAATCACGCAAACAGGGAGTATATCAAGCTCACCTCTCCTGCGGTATCCAGCTTGGTATTATACTAGAGAGCTTCTGGATGGCCATATTTGCTCGGCTTTGCAGCTTTGTTGACCAGAATAGAATACTAGAGGTGGCCTGGCATAGTGAGTAGTATGATAGCGAAGCTACATAGAGTAGTGAATGCTAAAACTCTTGTTAATCGACCTCCAGCCATTAACTGTCATACTATCATTCCTAGGCGAGATGTCGAAGCACCCACTTCTCAACCAGCCCCGTATCATAACCACCAACTTCTGCAAATCTATCTTGACTTTTCCTGACAGCTTTTCCTACAATCCCCCCTGCCGTTATTATACACCTCATCCACGATCGAAAGAAATACCTCTAAAGCTAGACAGTGGCGAAGAGGCTCTCTAAAAGACGTCGACTCCGTTGTGACCGAGAGACTCAATACATTGTGAAAACACACTTGCACTAGATCATTTGTCACCATACAATTGGCAAACTGCCGGCTTGCCATATCTGAGAGTATCGAAGCTCTCATGCTTCGGCTTTTTCGAGTTCATTTAGGCATCAAGAAGATCCAGCAAAGACTTTAAACCAGGGAACACGCTAACAATATAACCCGCCAGTCTTGCATTTTATCGGAGCATCGAAACTAGCGTGTTTCACATGCCGGAAGTTCGTCTCTTGTCCCGAAACATTTAGCCAAAGGTTCTAAGGTCCTAAGCCGGAAAACAGCAGCAGTACACTGCGAGGTGTCTCCAATAACCAGCTGGCCTTGCACTAAATGGGGTTTTCAAAACTTGCATGGTTTACGTGTTGGGGGGGTTCGTTTCTTGCCCTGACACTTGCAGCCAATGTTATGTTCCATACCTGGAACCGATGGTCAGATGAAAAGATAAATGGGATGACGACTGGATCTTTCGCCGGAAGAAAAAGACAAGCTGCCTCACCTTATATAGGCATCTCAAAACTGAGTTGCCTGCCTTGCAGGCTCTCCCGTGCCTACAATATCCAGCAATTCTTATGCCAGAGAAACTAATCGGAGCACATTCCTGACTGATGAATGTATAACAGCCGACTTCTTGCAAAGGAACCTCCGCTAACGTCTCTGAACAGATTTCTCTCCCGATGATTCAGTATTTGGAGAAATTGGTGTCGGAGCTATCATGCATTGCGTGTTAGTATGCTCTTGCCTTGAGCTTCACCAAGTTTGTACACTGGGGAAAGATCCCCACAAATCCTTTATTTTCTCTGGAAGTGCTCTGGTCCTTGGCTAGCTAAGCACGTCAACGAAAGATTCGCAAGCACAATTTACGTAGACAAGACATGTTGAATACAATCAAACTGAAGCGAGATCCAAAAGCTCCAATGGAAGCCACTATTTTCAAACTGGACAACCTCTGATGTCGCGGAATTCCACAAGGAAGCGATATGTGGTCGAGAGATTGTTGGCTTCGGTGATTCGGTATTATAGTGGGAAGTTGGTAGTTGATACTTCACAGCGTGGAATCGGAAGCATCTCGATAAGGAAATTCTCTTTGGACATAAATTAGACGAGAAATATGTACAAAGTGGAACATTTTATTGATCAATATCATCACATCATTCAAGCAGATTTCCTCCCAAGTTGTAACTGTTACATGATACATCAGTCTGATAGAACAAATGAGAGAGAAAATACAATATCATAAAAAAGAGAAAAAAGGAAACACCACAATCCATCAACCAATCGTAATCTAAACAACACGCTTCTTCAACCCAACCTGCAACCCGAGCGGCTTCCGCAAGAAACCCTCTCTGGTCTCCATAGGGTGATCCTGCTGCAACTCGAACTCGAACAACCGGAAGACAGTGCTGACAGTAAGCAGGAGCTCCATCTCAGCAAGGTTACGACCAACGCAGGCACGGGGACCAGTGCTGAAGGGGATGAACGCGGCCTTCTGGCGGGAGGTAAGACGCTGGGGGTCCCAGCGTTCGGGGATGAACTTGTCGGCTTCGGGGCCCCAGATTTCGGGGTGGCGGTGGATGGTGTAGCTGGGGACGGAGACGACGTCGCCGGGGTAGAAGACGTGACCAGAGATGTTGACGGGGCTGCCGTTGGGAGGGACCTGGCGGGGAAGACCCATGGCGGAGGTGCTGTGGATACGCATGGTTTCCCAGATAACCCATTGGAGGCTGACTCGTTAGCATACTTCTAGAAGAATGTGAAGAGGGAAGAACGTACTAAGGAATGTCCTTGACCATGGCGTGGGTGGCAATCTCAACATCCTTGGGGATGGTAGCGTCGAGTTCCTTCTGCAACTTGGGGATAACACCAGGAGTACGCAGACACCAGTACAGAATAGCGCAGAGAGTGTTAGAAGTAGTGTCCGAGCCAGCAATCAGTTGGGTCAAAGCCTCAGCAGTCAACTCCTCATGGCCAAGTCTGTTACCAGTGTTGTCCTTGCCTTCCATGAGACGAGCGAGCAGATCGACACGGGTGTTGTTGGCCATAACCTCAGGCTTGGTACGCTCATTGACACGGGCAACCGCAATACCAGCCAAGTTGGAAACAGCCTCAAGACCCTCCTTGAAGAACTTGTCGGGGATATACTTGGCGAAGGGGATGATAGCGGGCATGGTACCAAGGGTAGCAGAAACTTCACCACGACGGTTCAGAACCTCAACGGCCTGCACATACTCAGGGGGAGCGTCGGCGGTCTTGCGCATCTCAGCAATATCCTTGCCCTTCTCGAGCATACCGAAAGGAGCACCGAAGGCCAGGTCACCGATGATGTCAAAGGCCAGGTAGTTGAACCAGTTGAGGGCGTCGATGGTCGCATAGCCGGTCTTGGGGTTGCGCTGGAGTTCGCAAAGGCGGTTCCATTGATTGACGAAGATCTCAGCGTTGACGTGGATGTACTGCTCGAACTGGCCGACGGACTTTGCGCTGAAGGTGTGCGAGACAGTCTTACGCTTGCGAGAGTGCTCTGCGCGGTCGCGGGTGTTGAACAGACCGCGACGGATGGAGACGAAGGCGTCGTAGAAGTCACTGCCCATTGCATTAGCATCCATTATGCTTAATTGGGGGTATATCAGGGTACGTACGACTTGAGGAAACCGTTACCGTGACCGTAGATAGCCGGGATAGCAGCATCGTCCGCAATGGAAGTGTGGTTCGGGGCAATGCGAACCATCTTCCCCTTGGTCATATGGGCATCGTGCACAGCCAGGAAGCGATGTCCATTGCGAGTCTGGAGCAGCAACCAGAGGTTGGTCCAGGCAGCGAAACCAGCGCTGGGGATATCGGACAAGCGCCATCGCTGCAGGTAAGGAATGACAAAATACGCGGCCAGCAGGGCCAGCAACGCATAGCCACCGTAGGGCGAGATCAAATCGGTGATCATATTGTTTCGTTGTCGAGAAAACAAAAAAAAAAAAAAAAAAAAAAAAAAAAAATCTGAGGACGTAGTAGAGATGTCAGTTTGATGAAGATCACGTGAGGGGGTATTAGTGCCGGATAATCGAGGCATAAAGAGCGTTAAGACTAACCGGATGGGGAAGTCCCCTGCACAAAGAGACAGAAGTAGGGCTTTTTACAGTCAAATAGAATGAAGAATGAGTATCAAATCAATGTCAGACGATACTTAGCATGGTCGAGAACGTAGAAATCACCGCCTCTAACTCTGAGTATTTATGTTTTCCTCCCTAATGGACTCCCCGAGGCAATGCCAGCACCCGGAACTGGAGATCGGGAAGTCTGGGGAAACTGCCTGCCCGCACGCCAACCGATTGATCGCTCCGAGCTCGGTTATGCGAATCAGCACCAGTCAAATGTCAGCTTATTTTGTGGCAAATCTATTCCGTACGGTGGAGGGTCATGGAGGGACACTTGGAGGCGCGTTGTTTTATGGAATGTTGCTTGTTATGTGCTATGATACTATGATGCTACAATGCTATAATGCTATAATGCTAACTATGTACAGCAGACTACCACCCCTCTACACTAAACAGTCCATTTCGCCTCTTCTCTCCCTCCCATCGCTCAATCCACCCTTTCATATTCTCCCGGCTCTTCTGGCTTCCCACATTCACCGTGGGAATCACCCGCCCGATCCGCAATGCACAACAAAAAGCCGTCAACTCCCGGAACGAACTATGTTCACTATACGGTACCCCATAACACGCACTCTCACGCGTACTGCCGCGCTGAGGTACCAGGTCCCTTGCCGAGAACCCCGTCCTCCACTGCGCGGAGTGTAATACGGTCTCCACCGGGGGGTTATCCAGCATCCTGCCGGATGGCGGCCGATACAACCAGCCCGTCGGCCGAAATCCCACAACCCGCGAAAAATGCGGTTTCATCGACGCCAAGTAGTCCGCCAATGTCTCGGAGCGGATTTCGAAAATCGTTTGCATGTGGATCTGGGCTTCGAGGGGGTCATCTGTTAAAAGAGCATTAAGTTCTGGGTCTTCTAAACAGGCGCAAACTCGTTGTTTGGCTGGTGTCGCGTAGATTTTGCATTGGAGGGCGCGCGCGATGCCTAGACAGATTCGTTCTTTTCCGATGCTGTATGTTCCCATCACCACCAGCAGTCGTCCTTTCTGCGATCGCGACTTTTCTGCATTACCGCCGGTCACTGCAGTTACAAACTGGCTCATCATACTACCATTATTCCCGCTGTTCTGCGGCAGAACACCCGCGTCTTGATCCAATCGAACACACAAATCCGCACACGCCTGGATAACGTCGGTCTGGCTTGGGAACGCATACTTTGGACTCATATACGTCGTATCCAGATAGCAAACATCAATCTTCTGGGCCCGACGCTGTCCAGTATTCGAATCCACAATCTCCGGACGAAGAAGTGCATGCTGCACATGCGCAGGACATGCTCGAAAATCACCACAATGCAGAACACGCTGCAGTCTCGATGAAGGTCCCTGTCCATACCCCTTCTCGAAAAGAAACAGCGCACTCCCGGGACAATGGTTCGCCTCGATTAACGTTACACGTGCACCTTCCGTACCAGGCACTTCGGTTGTCTTCTCAAACTCCAACGGAACGATCCATTTCGGGTCAACCTTGAGCTGTTGTCGAACTAGATTTGCCGTCACTTTGCTACAGTAGATCGGGCCATGGCGCCAGGACGATGTAAGGCCCACGTAGTGGTCGCTGTGGTAATGACTGAGAAAGTAGGCGTTGCAGTCTTGGACAGCACCGTAGCGAAACGCATCCACGCAGATGGAAAAGTTTGGTATGATTTTGTAGAACGGACAGGTTCGTTGATAAGCTTGCTTTCCGCGCGATGTCACTTCGTTTGCTGCGGCCGCTGCCCATGCTGTGTCTTCAGCATTTCCGGCCATTAGTTTGGAGAATGCGGATTTCGAAGGTGTTTCTTTCGTAGTATACGGGTCTCTTTGCGCCGGTCGCGCTATAGCAGCCTTTTCGATTCGAGTCAACTTGTCGGGTGGTATTGGTGCCGGCTCTGCTGGTGGAGGATTCGTCTTTCCATCGAGGCAATCGTTAACGTGTACCGATACATCCTGTAAACCTTTAGTTAGCTTCACATCGTTATACGACGAAAAATGGAAGACTCACCACCTCGCTCAATCCAACCAGACTACCCTGACAAATAGGACAAACAGCCTCCTCTTCATACTCATTCCCAGCCGGGGACAACGGCTCTAAGTATTCTTCCTCGCCTTCACCTAAATCGTCAAAATTCGCATATTCCTCGTCGATATGGCTCGTGGCTTCTCTTACCAATGGTGGTGTGTCGGGCGTCGACTGATCTGGGCCATCAGTATTCGACTTCAGCTCATCCGTTGCACTGGTCACCGTCTCCTTGACATCGACCTCCCGGAACGCATCCAAGTCCTCCTCGCTATCCGACTCGTCGATAAACGGACCGCTGGTCTTCGCTTTCGGTTTCGGATGCGACTTGGACTTATCCTCGACACCCTCCTTCTCATTATCTTCTCTCTTCCTATCTCCCTCATCTTCAACCACAGACAGCGACGATAAATCCCCCGTTCTGCGCCTCTTCACCGCAGACCCATTCTCATTATACCTCTCCTCGTCCTCCTCTCCAGCACCATCTTCCCCTTCCCCCCAGAAATCATCCGGCGTCCGCGATCGCGACCTCGACCTCTCCCGCCCATCATCACCCCTCCCTGTTGTAGCACGCCTCCGATCCTCCAAGAACAAACTCCCATTCGCCGCAGACCCAATATTCGAACTCTTCCTCCGCACCACAGGAGTACGACCCCGATTCACGCCCCCCGTAGTCCTCTTCGTATTCGTACTCGAACTCGTAGTCCTCGGACTAGATCCAGTAGGCGAAGCAAACTGCGTAATCCGGGGCTGGCGAGATGTCGCTTGCGGGGGACCGTCTGTTTTCTGGAAGAAGCTTAGGATGCTGGTGTTGCGTCTTGTGGAGTTGGGGGTTTGGCGGGAGGTATTGTTGTTGAAGCCTGGTCGGGAGGGTGTTGAGGATGGTTTTCTGGGGAGAGATCCGGGCATTTTGGGTGTGTCGTGGTTTATCGTGGTTTATCGTGCTATGCTGGGATGTTCGTTGCTAGTTTCGTTGCGAGTGGTGAGAGCGCAACAGCGTTTGCTGCAGTGGGGGATCGTCGCGATAGGGTCGGGGTTCGTTTTAAGAGGAAGGTATCATGCTCAATCGTGTTTCGTTCGAATTATCGGCCATCTAATGTGCTTGGATGGATTGAAGCTCGACGGCGACCGAGAGAAGCCCGCCACGGGAAAATTCGCGTCGCGTGGTCACGTGAAATTTCAACTACGTGCAAATTATCATCCTACGATGCTTCAAGGGCTGCTCAGTGCCTTTTGAGTGTTTCTGATTCCTAGAGGCGTATAGCAGTTGCAGGGTATGCAGATACACCATAATGATCAACGGCCGATCCAGTCAACATCGTAGATCCTCGCTCCAAGACACCCATTCCCACTTCTAATCCGTGCCTTAACTTCTCTCCGTAGTATCGCCTCGCACGATATATCTAATCTCCGCTATCGCATAGTACAAGTGGCCTCGAGCCGGGGAATATTCATCACGCAGTATGGAGGGAAACGGCAAAACGGTAGAAGAGCGATTCCAATCCGAAAACCGCATTCACATCACATCACGTCGTAAGTAAAGGGATTGCATCGATTCAATTCAGTAAAACAGCGTAATCATCATCGAGTTCCGTTTAGGATGGAGGGGGTCGGGTCGGGTCGATTAACGAGCTTTTCCGGCCTGGTTGGCAGCCTCTGCTTGATATTAGCACCCATAAACAACACTGCGACCTCCTCCCAAATACTCTGGGAGAAGACCAAGAACAACAGGTGAAGGCTTACCCCTCCTCGTAGCATCCTCCAACAACCCAACATCCACCTCCGACCGCGGCAACATGATATAGCGCACCACACTCCCACGAATAAACATATTCTTCACCGACGACAGATGCGGGTACTTGTCCAGGTCGAGGACGTCGACATCATCGAGCTTGATGTTCAGGTACTGGTCGACGGATTTGAGGGTGCCGCGGATGCGGATATCGTTTTTGAGCTCGATGGTCACGGTTTGGTTTGTGAGGGTCTTGAAGAAGCTGCAGGCCATAGAGAGAGTATGTTAGGGCCTGGTTATCATGGGTAACTGGGTGTTAGATCGGAGAACGCACCTGAAGAAGAGCATGGTGGAGGGTCAAGTGAGAGTCGGTAGATCGTAAGTCGGTGTTGGTGGTGTAACGACTATCGCATTGCCTCCTGAGCGATCAATATGGAGAGTCAGCGTAAATGGCTGGTCTTCCAGCGACGGTTTCTAAGTGGGCAGTGGTGAAATCTGGTGGTCGTGGGACGAAGTCAATATCGCAGTCAGTCGTATCGGGAACTTCTCTGGCGTCACGGTCACGTGATGTTCTTTCTTGGATTTGGATCTGTGTCCTGCGTTGTGATTAATAGTATAGAGTAGGAGATAATAACGAATAGTTAGAGGATCTGCTATTAAGTAACGTCGAATCGCTGTATTTGGTGCGTTCGCATATGGCTGTCATTGTAGTTGCCATATGCAATTCCGCATATATATATATATATATATATGTATCTCGGGCAGAGGTAGGCATTCATAGAATTGAACATAATAATAGAACGATATGGCTCAAAAATGGTCATCCTCATTACTATTACTCCCACCAGGGGATTGGGTATCACTATCTAAAACAAAAACAATCTACCCCCAACCCGTGGGAAGTCTATCTCCGTCTCGGCTTCATCGCCCACCCAGACAAGCAGGTCCAGCCTGCTCCATTCTTACGACCCTCATCAAAAACACCCCCAGCACCTTCCAACAACCGGTCCCCATCGCGACCCATTTCCATCTGCAACTTCAGAAGCCACTGCTCCCACATCCAGCCGCCGAACAGACCCGTGAGGCTGGCAACGTTGGCGGTGCTTCCAGCCGGATCGGAGTTGTCGAGTTGGCTGCCCTCGATGCACAGTCCGGAGGTCTCGCGCGGTGCTTGACATTTGCCTGGCTCGACGCCCATGGGTAGAAACATCCAGGCTCGTCTGATGCCCGTTAGGTTTGTCTTGCGAAGACGGGAAAGGAAGTTCTTGGTCGGGTTTGGATCGTAGCCGCGAGTTCTGAGATTGAATGCGAATTCGACCGACGTTGCAGACGCATAAGAAGCAGCGTGGGATAGCTCCGCATCCATAGTGAAGAACTCAAGGTAGCCACCTGGTTTGAGACAGCGATAGCATTCCTGAAGACACAAGTCGTATTCATCCTTGTCCTCGCCGGTCGGGCATTCAGTCTTGAGGAGTGCGGGAAGAGAGCGTGCCGAGATCACGTCAAACTTGTTGTCGGCAAATGGCAACCTCCAGAGATGCGACACTGAGACCTGGCGATGGTTGGAAGGACCTTTAATCCCGCGGTTCACCTTTTGCTGTTCTGTAAAGACCGTGTAGACCGAGACATCTGGGTTATCACGCGCCAGATACCACCCCCATTCGCACGTAGCATGGCCACCTATGTCCAGGATTCGCAGATGATGCTTGCCGTTCTTCGAAGTTTTCGTCGTAGCAGTTGCTTTGGCGAGCCGTCGAGAGGCAGGACTAGTGAGCAAGCTACCGCCATTGAGAAACCGGAGAGCATCAATGGCCCAGAGCGACTGCCGGATCTGAGCAAGCACCAGCTGCTCTTTCTCGAGCAGGGAGAAGTCAGCCTTCTCAGTCAGGATAGACAGGAGCGTTGAATGGCGCGGAGCCTGGGAAAAAGGACCCTTGTAGGCAGGTCGTTCGTGGCGAGTCAGTTCGTAGTTCCCCGACAAACGGTTTGCGTGAAGCTTCGTCAAGCCTAATCGGTCGGACTGCACTGCGTCGAAGCGGAGGTCACGATGCTTGTATGCCTCCAGTTGGCCAGAGACTTGACGCAAATACTGAAACCCTCGCCAGTAAATTGAATCTTTGCTCGCAGTGGCCGAAGGAAGAGAACTAGTCGCTTCAGGAAGTGTCTCGGCAAAATGAACAGACTTCTGGCGACTTTTTTCGGAAGACCCTCGTCCAGTAGCCCCATCATCGACGCCGTGAGCCGGACGATCGTCAACCGGTGAATTGACTGGATTCGTCTCACTAAGGGCAGCAAGATAGGACGCTTGTGCCGCCAGCCAGACACTCGTTCGATCGCGACTTGCTTCCGCCTTTCGTTGCAATTCCTCGTGGTAATGCTCGTCATATTCACCACTGGCGTTCAATCCAGCAGCACGGGGAATCTCGTCAACGGTATCGGCTGTTGGACTCAACGGACTGTGTTGATCCTCGGGCGATGTGACCTCCGCGGGAACCCGGACGGCAGTAGGAGGTCCATCTCGAGCCGGTACGGCTGTCAACTCGCCTTCTTCGGTTGACTGCTCATTATATTCGATAACCTGCTCGACAATCCCACCATCATCATCACGACCAAAAGGTAGATTGTAAAAGTCCTCCGCAGCGGCCGACGAAGGGTTGTCGGGCTTGGGAAAAGACCAGGTATGGCGGGCGCGAGGGGTCAGTGCCGCGAAAAAGCCACCCGGAGAAGGAATACTGAGACTGCTGAAGCTGTACCCTGACAAAGCCGATGCGGGAGTGACATCTTCAGTCTTGGGAATGTGGCCCTGGGGAGGATCAACCTGCCACATCTCCTCATTTGCGTCGGAAGTTTCTGACCATGGTTCCGGCGTCCCGTCCAAGTGAATATGTCTCAGGAGGTCCAGTGCATCTTCGGGGAGGTTAATACAGTAGTCTGGAGTTGGCTCGCGAGCCGGCTCAGCATCCAGATTCAGAGACAGCGTTGACATGTGCGGAGCAGTCCTCGAGGGTACTGCAGGGAACCTCCCTAGGAAGTGGCGCCAGTCCTCATCGGTATCCTCAACCGCAATCTCGATTCCCTGAACATCTGAGCTGGTGTTTGGATCAGCGGTATCTGGATTCTGACTGCCCTCCAGGTTCAAATCCAAGTGTACGCGCACTTCCTCGGTGTTCCAATCGTTGTCGGCAACAGATTGCAGGTCGGGGGTGGCTGGAGCGCTGGTACTCGACACTTGATCAGACGACACGCTTCCGTCGAGCGAAGGAGGAGCATGCACGGCGGGGACCGAACGTACAAGCTTTGACAAAGCTGCTGGCGATACCGGAATCTTTGGCGGAGGCGTTGGTGGAACTGGAGAGCTCTTGTGTGGCCCCTGTACCGAGTGTGGGGGAATAGTGAGACTGAGATATTTCTTCTTCTCAGCCGGGGTTGTCGACTCATCACCTCCCGACTCAATATCTGTGGCGTCGTACAGTTCGTCCAGACCTTGCATTTGATGCTGCCATTCGGTGTCTGAGCAGGAGGAGGCTGTCCCAGCGGACAACGGAGAGATAATGCGATTCCGTCTGGACGAGATGCTTAGGCCGGTTGTCTGAAGCTTCAGTTGTGGCGGGCTTTGTGGCTTTGGGAGTGTCTCTTGCTGGTTATTCTGATCCGACTTGGCATACTGAGACTCCCTGATGTCCTCGGGAATGGTGTTCAATCTGCGTCGCACCTGCTGGGGCGGTGGAGATCTCAAAATTGCCATTTTGTTGGATTCTGCGTTCAATAATTAGGTCGTAAGAGAAGATTACTATGGTATCTCATCGACCCCGATCAACAGGGTCTAGTCGTCAGTCGTAACGCAAGCAAAACCAACACCGAAAATGATAACAGCCTAGCTACCAGAGCTACAGCTTAGGAAAGGAAACAGTAAAAAGAAAAGAGAGCGTGCAGAATGGAAGAAGAAAAGGTGAAGAACCGCAGTTCGTCCGGCGCGGGGGTCCTAATAAATAGAGCCAGAGCCCCGGCTCTTCACAGCAGCCATCTTCAGTACAGAACCAGAGCGGCTGCAGACTGAACTGGGATGTGATTACCAGCCGGCCCTGTCATTGGCAAAGCCAGATTGTTCGGCGCTTCGCTGTGAAGAAAACATGAAGAGGTCTCCATGCGCCCAACCATAGAGGCCGGTGATTGGCCACTGCAGGCGCCGGGGGTTGCTATCTTTAGCGTACTTGTACTGTACTTGTACAGCGTCTCTGTAGGGTAGTTAGCAATGAAATCAACGCTAACTATTGTACTCTGTACTCTGTAAACATCTCATTATTGCATAGATGCCCTCTCGTCACGAGGACCGGCAATGACTGACGGGATGATCCTCCCGGATTTCCAAAAAGCGATACCCGATCGTACATTCGCTGCATCAGTCAGCGCCAGCCGACCATGTTGTTCATAACTAGTTAGTTATGTACTCCGTAGACTAAGTTAGTTAACTAGCGTTCTTTCAGGCACAAAGGCTCACATAATCATGTGACAGCCCAGCCCCAGCCCTTATCAGACTAATTACCTGATCGGGCCATCCGGACTGATGTCAACACTATTTTTCAGTTCTCCATAATAACCAGCAGGAATCAATGAGAATCCAGTATTGACAGTACAGGACTGTCGCTGCGTCGCCGCCAATTGTTTCTTTGCCTGGCCGGATACGTATAGATTGCCCGCTTCTTAAATAATTCACCGTCGCTTCACCGTACTCCGTAACCGTTTCTCCCTTTCCGGACTGCTATCCTCCGTTTCATCTCTTCTTTTCTTACCCCAGATCCCGTAACACCTCCCCGTACTCTACTTACACCAGCGTCGTCCGTCGCAATTTGATCTCCGTCATAATGTGTCCTCCCGCGATCATAGCCCCCTCCATCCTCAGCGCCGATTTCGCTACCCTCGGTCAGGAATGCTCGACCAAGATGGAAGAAGGGTCCGACTGGCTCCATGTCGATATTATGGACGGTCACTTTGTCCCCAACATCACCTTTGGAGCTCCTGTTGTCACCAAAATCCGTTCGCATGTTAGCCGGCCGACAGAGCCCCAGGGCCGGGGCACCTTTGACTGCCACATGATGATCGCGGAGGTGAGTCTTGTCTTGTAGCATCCGGATTTGGGTTCCAAATTAATGCGCACCCATCCCCAGCCTCATAAATGGGTTAGGGAATTCAAGAAGGCCGGTTGCGATCTTTACTGCTTCCACTACGAGGCCGCCATCAACTCCCCCGCCGGCACCGAGCCCGCAGACACCACCACCCGCCCCACGAGCCCCCGCGAACTGATCCGGTTTATCCACGATGAAGGCATGCAGGCCGGCATTGCCATTAAGCCCGATACCCCCGTCGACGTGCTGTGGGATATTCTGGCCGCTGAGGATGAGAAGGATCGCCCGGATGTGAGTGGATACACCGTGTTTGGGGTATGGAAGGCGCGGAACTGACAGAAATATACAGATGGCCCTGATCATGACGGTCTATCCCGGTTTCGGAGGCCAGAAATTCATGGCATCGGAGCTCCCCAAGGTCAAGGCCCTGCGCGAACGCTACCCCAACCTCAACATCGAAGTCGACGGCGGACTTGGTCTCGGGACCATCGACCAGGCTGCGGAAGCGGGCGCCAATGTCATTGTCGCCGGATCGGCCGTTTTTGGTGCTGAGAACCCGGGCGATGTCATTGCCAAGTTGCGCGAGACCGTCAACAAGCAGAACAAGGCGTCGCTTTAATTGCATTAGTCTATCTTCTGTCTTTTTATGATCTAAAAGCCACGCGACGGATCCGGAGTTTGGTTTCAGACCATTCTCGGGATACAATGATATACGGATTTACGATGATTTTGATGTCTTTATTTGAACAACCATTCCTGATAGAATAGAAAACTGGCTATCCTAATCCATGCTCGGACCATGGTGTTATGATGTCATCGCCTTATCCCTGCTCGCTCACATGACCTGTAGATCCCGAATTGGCAACTCTCTGAACCAGGATACTCTGAACTTCGTCTTCTTCCTGCTGCCACCATACCAGAGCCATACCAGAGCCATACCAGAGCCATACCAGAGCCATACCAGTGGCCATTGACCTGCCCATGGAACAAACCAGATACCACTATCCCAGCGATACCAGCAGCTCCTTAAGTGATAGTGAATTGCAATAGACATACCTCGCTGTCTTACTTCACTCTTCTTCCTTTCTGGATTCTAGGCCTCATATTTCAGGCGTAAGTGAATGCCTATATACTCAATAAAGCCTCTTTGATCCTTTGAGTCTTTATCTGCTACCAGGTAGATATCTTCAGCTCCCGTACAGGACCAGACACATTCTGTTCTGTTGCTGAGCATCATCTAGCAGCCATCGCTGGTCGAAGCTGGGTCTGGAGCATTGCTATAAGAAATACAAGCGCTGTGAGTGGTGTTTAATTTCGAGATACTCCCGTGATTCACGTCGAAACTGGAGTATACAATTTTTTGACGTTGGCTGACATGAAGCTCGGTCTGTTCAGAGACGATTTCATCATGGCTATATGTAGCCTATAAGCGTGTTTAAAGTTGAACCAAACGATACAAAAGAGCCCTGGATACCCGAAACATAATATCGCAGAAGACAGCGACTCGAGCAGATCCCTAGTGGAAACATCTTCTCATCAAGGTGGCAAGAGAAGTGCAACAATCTAAGAGACTTCCGAAAGTCCTGGTCCTATAACTTGCATCCCATTCTGGACATGTCCAGTAACAAAAAAGTGGTGGCATTTTTGGGCTACAGTCCGACTAGAGCTCCCGAATGAGTGGGCGGTTTGCTGGAAGCAACCCCTGACAGGTGGTAGCATGTCGTGGTTCCGTTGCCATTATTTGCGAGTTAAATCGTTAAAAAATGTTTAACAACAAGGTGAGTTAAACGACCCACGTCCGTGGCGTATGACACTAACACTGAGTAGAGATGACCTACACCTTATCGGTGTCCGGGCTTTGTAGAGCCCAAACCAAGCGGAACAGAGCCATTACCTGGACTTGCTACCTATATCCAAAGCAGCAATGCTGAAATCTCGTCTTCTGCTTGACGATGCTCGCTGTATACCAAAGTGGAAGTACTGCTGGCGAAAGGTGGCTGACGAGAGCCATGGCAAACCCTGCGCTTTCTAACATAAACCCGCATATAGCGATTACCTGAGACTGCCAATGCGCCAGTACACTGCGAAATAGCTCTGCTAGTGGCTTTCGGTGCCTAAAAAAGGCCCCCATCACGACCATCCATCGGAGTTTCGAAACTATGCTGCTACCCATGCTGGGAGCCCTGCCCTGTTTTAAGAAGGTCAAGCCAGGTTTCTATACCAAGGGAGCCCACGGGAAGTACCCAGGTCCGCTTGAAAGCGAAACTAGTTGATGATTACGGCATGGATGTTGAGATCCTACTTGAATTCCACATGTAGGTTGATACCATGGAAAAAACACCTTGACTGCTCGCTCGTCGAAATACCCGGTCAGCCATTCCCAATGGTTTGCACATATCACCCACAAATAAAGAAATGGAATGTCAACGAGTCAAAGCCTGGGGTGAACAGGATTCGTCATTCTCGACAAATCTGCACCCGTGCACTGTGAGATTGCTGTGGTGGTACATTTCCTTTCGGATGTACAAGAGCCGCTCTGGCGTCTCTAAATTAACCTGCTTCGCGTGTCATCAGGGGAACCCACGGGAGTTCCCGTGGTAGAGAACGAAGCAATCCGCATTTGGATTGAGAATGGCTTATATCCGGGCTGAACTCAGCCATAATTGCATCACGAATCGATACGAGGTACAACACACCCGCCAAAATTACAATGGAAAGCAAAGATTGAACGCAACGAAACGCTCTAGGCGCCGAGGAGTCTGGTTCTTCTTGGTCTTTCGGATTCAAAGTCGAACATATGCAGTCGTTAGAAACGCTGCAACCATTTTCAGAGACGGCATGTTTAGGACTGTTTGACCTGAGGTAGCAAATGACCATAACGTTGTCAAAAGCTAGATTGGGTAAAAAGACGACCAGAAATACTGTACAACCAGACTCGACTGGTATCAGTAGGATATCACGGGTATCTCTTAGCCCTAAACGTTGACTTACAGTCGAATAAGTCGTCTTCTGTGTGGTCTTAGAACTCATAATATTGGCTTCGGACGATATAAGTGACAAGACTTGTGCGGCTTCTTCACCGGCCATTTCTTGGCTGCTAGAGATGTTCAGACGCGGCCATGGTAGAGATTAAGAGGGTAGATGGTAATCTTCCCATTACCGAGTTCACGCTCAACGCCTTTCCAACAGAGTTCGTTGATACGACACATCAAGAGGATAACGCAGTTGCCCAACTGCTGCTACCAGCTTGAACTTCGCATCATCCGCAACGCCGGTCTTCCCATACCGAAAGACCATGTATCGAAATGCGATATGCCTCTGGCGAGGGCTCTTTACCTTTCCGAAACTGAAAGAATGGAATAATGCGTGCAGCCTTGAAAATGGCATGCACAACTTCACTGCGAGGGGGCACTATCGCTATTCTGTATCGAAAACACTGGAAGGTCCTCCACTTCTCCCGTTTATAGGAGTGTCCAAACATTCCTGCCATGGTTTCAGTTTCTTCAAGTGCCTCAACAGAGTCGGGGCTTATCTCTACCGGGTGAAGCCACGGGAAGGCGACGTGTCGCTCTGGGTGTTGAAAAAGTCTTGCCGAGCTCTGGCATCCGACGAATCCCACCATATTGCATTTATTTCTGTTTTTTTTTTTTTTTTTTTTTTTTTTTTTAACCTGGCTAGCATATCCTTGGCCTCATCGGTCTTTTTCAGACGCTTGCTGCGTCGACCTGCATCGTCTACACCTAGTTCCAACTCAGCATGCTCCTTTCGCTTGCGTTCCACCGCGGCCCAAGCATACGAAAATGCATCTGGATCCTCATTATTTTCAACCCCATCCCTTCCCGAGCCAGTCTCCATCCTCAAATGAACGCACGTAGCATATCGCTCCGCGAAAATAGAGTAGAGATCATCATGAATCCCGTCAGCGTGATAAGCGTAGTTCGACACGCCGAGCTCTTCACCGGGGTATCTCCACAGGAAGTACGCCATTCCGTTTGTTCCTCTGGTAGATAGATTAACACCGACTCTTCGGATACACTTTAGGAAGCTCTATCATGCGAAGTAGGAGAGCTTTGAGAGTCCAATACATGGCAGAGCGGGCGGGTCAACAGGGTGTTTTGATAGATAATGGGGGAAGGGGGGGGGCAGGGATCGTTGGGGCGCGGGTTTTCGTGTTGGCTTTCCAATGCTGCATGAGAGACTTCGTTCCATTGCTCTGGCTTCGGATATCCAAAGACTCGGGGTCCTTCCACAGAAGCGTATCGAATTGCCAAGGTTTTGTTGGCTAGAAATCGAGACCGAAGGCATGATGAGTGTGCAAAGCTCAACAGTCCTAATGGCATTTGGCAAAGACGTGAGCTTCTTGATATACTGAAGTAAAGGAAAATCTATTCAAAGCGTTAGAATATGAACTCACAAGGTAGTATAAATAGAACATACCTTTAGCATTACCAATCCTCTTGAGCTCTACACTGCTCTTGCCCAAAACACCACAAACAGTAAAGAAGAGGTGACCAAATCAGCCACACAGGTCCTTGAAGTCGTCCGTTACTGAGCAGAAGGTATCGTCTGAAGTCAAATCTTGACTGATGACTTCTGAAATCACAGACGGTACTTAGTTGCGTTGTTAGTTTTTGGTTCGGTTCAAGCGAGCTGACGATTTCCTTGAGATCACTGAAATGTTTGTTGACTCTGCTGAGGAATCTCCCAGATAAATATTCATAGACAACAAACAGAAGGTTGTGAATTATGTCTTGGGTCTCTAGTGGGTAGTTTCTGTGTCGCAGGCACGCAATTCGATGCATGGCCCTTTTGATAAAGGCGATATCCATCTGATATCTGCTGTAGGAATGTCCAGGTAGTGGTAAGATGCTGATGAATACAGACCGGCATGTTCTCTTTGTTCGCAGAGCAAGTTATTATAACTTTTTCCTGGTTTAGCTGGACGCCAACAGCGACCACTTCACCTGCAGTCCGGACAAGAAGCTCTGCTAGGGCGTCGACGACGAGGATGCAAAGGCTGCTTTCATTCGACGAATTGAGGCAGTCCAGAGGGTGCCTCCTGTGGTCGTCTGACGTTGTAAATCAGGCTGAGCAGCAGTTCCACGTCCATTATGAAGATCTCTTGCTGCAGCAGACTATGCTTCTATACAAAGATCAGTGACATCTTCAGAATAGGGGCATATATGAACTCACCTTGGCCTCGATGGCTGTGTTGTGTCAAACACTACATGTACTCGTCATCGGAACGAAATCCTCCGTTCCGATCTATCTCCAAGCGAGAAAATAAACAGGTATCTTGCTATTATTAAAACTGAATACAGAATACAATGCAATCATCCCTCGTAACCCCAAGCACCTACAGCTAATCTTCAAACGGATCCTGCTCAATCGTCTCAAACGTCGGCCTCTGTTCCCCATTATCGCCCTTGTGATCCTGTCTCAACGCATCAAGCATGTCCTGACGACCCCCCGACATCGACTTCCTCAGATCCTGCGCCACCTGATCCCGTTCCTCTTTGGACGTCGCCGACACGATCGAACCACGATGATGTTCCCTTAAAGCTGCAGGATTATCAGCATGCAGGTTGGCAGACGAAACCGCAGCATTCTCAGGCACGAGGCGTGGCCGCTGGATTTCCCCTGCGATCTCGCCAATGATCGATTTCCGACGTACAGTTTCTTCGCCGGGGGTTTTCTTTTCCCCAGTGCCAGCTGCGGGTGCAGCTGTTGCGTTAGATGTAGGTGCAGTAGCAGCAGTAGTAGTGTCCGTGGGTCCAGCCCCGGATTTGTTGTCCTTAGCCTTCAACGCAGCTTCCTCGCTAGCCTGGCGCATGGCGACGGTAATCGAGTCGTCTTTTGTGTGTTCCTTCGACGGCGGAGACTGGATCTTAATGGTGCTCTGTTTCGGGGGTGCATTGGGGTCCGTCGCGGAGGGGGTCGTCGCCGAACTACCAGTCAGAGATGCAGGCGTGTCGGCCGGGAAACTGTCCAACGCTTCGACGTTATTAACCTGCATCCTCAGTTCACCGTATTCGTTCCATTCTTCGATTTGTTCTAGATCCTGCGCGTCGTTAGCCCCTATCCTTTAGACCCCATGTTTTTTTAACTTATTCTGTTCCAAGGAACGTACACCAACGATCATCCCCGCCTTGACGAGACCCGGTAACTTGCGACCGCGCGAACGACGACCCCAGAGCTTGCGGGATGCATCGTCGGTCGCGACGTCGATTGCGCGGAAGGGGAGCTTGTTGGCTTTAAGGATGGTTTCGAGACGGGCGGTAGCGGTGACGATATGCGAGGAGCCCGCTGTGAGGGAGGTGTAGAGGTAGAGGGTGTTGTCGGTCATGATGTCGGTTATTCAGAGGTGATTAAAGAGTGGTATGGTGAAGGTATTCAGGGAGTCCTCCGTAGAATAGGAGTTTGAGGAGAGCTATGACGTGGCTGGTGTGGTGTCCCGCCCATCAAACACGCGATAGTCACGTGGTGTCGTTAATTGAATATCAACATATACAGGATTGTACTCATATCATAGTAGCATGTTCTTTTTCAGCATATTTCCGAGGAATACTCTACACGTACATTCTTGTCTTGGGTTATATATATGGTATATGGTGAGTGGCAATCTGACGTCAAGCGCGTCTCTACCCTGTTCCAGTACGGTGGATGGCAACGGTTCTGTCCGGTTGGTCGAGTTGTCCACGGTGCGCGTCCACGGTGCGCGGCCACGGTGGAGGATCTATGGATACTCTAGGGACTTTCTTGTTTGCACGGAGGGTGTCTTAAGTCGTAGGAATGATGCCGAGTAAAAGAATGGCCGTGCTGCTCTGTCGACTGACCATACAAACGTCGTCATGTACATATATACCCCGTTGAGGGAATATTTAACGGGCACGGGCATTTCAATGAGTGTGATATCTCAGAGAATGACATCGCCACTGGATATCTCAATAGAGAATTAACGCCATGACTCGCTCGGACACACACACACGAGGTCATATGCCATCCTAAATAATGTCGGGATACTCCGGACATAGTACCCCATACTCGTAGGATTCCGGGACCCTTCTAGAACGTTTCCAGAATAGTGCTTAATATCCGTGTCCGGTATTCGACTCAATAGACTTTCGGACATGGATTCAACGAGTAAGAATGCCTCAGACTGAAAATGTGGAAATGAAGGGTTTCCGTATGTACTCAGGTACCAGATGAGATCGCAAGCCTGAGTCGGTACTCGACTGAGCAGTGCATAATACTCTAGGCTCGGCGATTTTTCGCAACGGGCACGAGCACTATTGTCATGACTCGACTGCCCGGAGTACTGATCCTCATACATAATGATCATCCAGTATAAGGCCGAGACTGAGAATTGTCTATCCAGTGTCCTGCCGTAGTTATCCTGGCACCTTCAATAGTAAGAGCTACCTACCTATTACGGAGTACCCTTACTCCGCAGACTTCCAGCTTAGACCAATGTAGATCAGATCTAGATCGGTCGGTCATAGCAAACAGAGACGGAAACATCTTGCGATTAACAGCCGAAGTAGAGTCGGTTATCGATAGTTTCGACTATCGATAACGGTTTCCGTACAGAGAGCTGTAAAGGCTGTAGCACCCGACCAGATTCAGTTTAGAACGGAATGATATTTGAGTCGTCAAGTGCGTAAACAGCAAGAGTAAGCGGCACGCGATACGTAGGCACGGAGTGAGCCATGCTCGAAATGCGCGATTAAAATTGTCACTGACATGGTCGCTGAAACCGGGCGATCCAGTGAGGTGCCTGGTCGACAGAGTTGTTTGCTAGGAAAGGCATTAGAAGCCACATGAATGTGCGACACAGCTGATGCGAATGATAGTCTGTCATACATATCGTTGAATTACTACCAATCCAAAACGTAGACGTTGAAAGACGCAAATGCTTACCATCGTGGCCATAGAAACATTGATTGCTCCCGACCAGGAACTTATTCGTTGCCTCACAATTTCTGCGCGTCCTTGCTGACAGCTTGACGCATCTGTTAAACGAGATGGTGAATCGATGTTGACTGGCTGGCAGCATAGCAGGGTGTAAATGGTCTGCCTGTCTCGATGTCAATCATCCAGGGACATATGATCAGTCTATCGCATGTTCAGTGATGGATAAGGCCGAGACGGCGTTTCGCTCGGGGATGACTTTCTCAAAATCATCGATGCCTACAGCGTACAAGGGCTCAGATAGGACATGGGAATTACAACAAAGCATCTGTCTATCGCGCAAGTGTTGGCCATCCAGCAAATGTCGAGCGACAGCGCCGGGCCTCGAATCCATCCATTCAATTATCTCAATAACAAGACACAAGTAGACTTTGCATCGATCTGAAAGCTCTGGACTCTAGACCCTGTCTTGGGCATATCCTACAAAGTCCCCGTCCAAAAGTAGGCAGGACAACACTGCCGCTGGACGAATAGCACAGACCTCGGACACTTCAGTGGGCTGTGATCTCTACGATCTGTATCGCTGCTCGCTACGGGACAAACTCGTTAAGTACAAGTATTTGTTCGTATGATCCAGGCTCACGGACTTAGCCACCATGGTGGTCAGACGGGCCTCGTCAGCTTGAGGGCGATTTGCAGGAGTACTGTACGCCATATGACGCCGGTACATGCGCAGGATGTCCGTATGCTGTATGCCGTATGCCGTATGCCGTATGCCGTATGCCATATGGGATCAGCCCATGGCCTGGAGTCGAGGTGTTTGTTCTCCGTATTTCTCCGTACTCCGTGCTTCTCCGTGTGTGTTCTACTCGCCCACGAGATTTCTCACGCGGATGCGCTTTCGATCGAAAAGAATGGATTGAGTCATGCCGATCATGATGACCCGTGGAGAGAAATTAACCTTTTCGAACCACTTGGACCAATCATATGGGGAGATTCAGGGGTTCTGTATCTACCCCGAAGAAGAAGGAACCAGATCTATTTTTGACGTTTTGCTTCTTCAGATGTCAGCCGCAGTTGTACAAGTACTCTGTACAGAGTATGTTGTTGTCTGTACTCCGGAGTATCTGTACATGGGACATGCTGCTGTTGAGACAATTATGCATCGGGTATGGAGTACATCCGTGCACAGACAGTCCTCTGTCCACAGGACGTCGTGCCACTGCAAAAATAGCGTCGAGTAATCTCCGGCTACTATTGGCAATGGAAGAATGACCCTTTCAGGCCCCGTGGAGCCAGGAACATCCTAGTCTCGAATCGTTGTAGCGTACTCCATAGTCCTACGGTGGATCGCGATAACGGTGAGCCTGACTCGTTCTTGACGAACTGGCGTTTTCGGTCGCCTTCCACGATTAACTCCCGAAGACAGCGAGAAAAATCAAGAAACCAGCAATGGCCCCATTTCTCCAGTTATTCATGGCCGAAAAGAAAAGTACGTGCATGAAGTGTGTCAGGTTGACGATTTTCCTGTGCTCCGTCCTGCGTCTTGCGTCTGGAGGGCCCGGCGTTAGTAATCCCGGGCGCCTCTGCAGAGGAGCGGTGACCAGTTGACGGGACCTGACTGGTAAACTAGCGGTGGATGGAGGGGAACAATGGAGGGGAATGGAGGGTCAGTGGATGGTTGTGGATGCCAGACAGATGAATCGCGATGAAACGTCGAGGGACGAGCGATTTGGTGTGAGTGGATGGGAGTATCTGTATCCTGTACCCCTCTGTATCTGAGGATGTACCCCTGGAGCCATCTTCTGTCAACAGCCCTCGACCACTCATTCTGTACGGCCATCACGTGCAACACGTGACGCTTGACCGGGATTGAGGGGCAGCGCTACAACCGGAGTAACATCTCCGTTCTCTGCCGAATCCGTAGAGTATTCCATCTTAGTACTCCGTACTCCGTACTGATAACGAAACTACGAATGACACTCCACCTGTGCGCTGTGTACGAAGAGAAACGCAGCATATGTTCAGCACGGCCAGGAACAGTCACGCGCAGAAGAAAGAGCCCTGGGACCCTTCCGTATGGATGGCGGGCCGGATCGAGTACAGACTCTCTCGTCCGTTGTAGATGTACATGTGCAGACAAGATGTCTACCCAAATCGCGTTGTTATTGACCAAGTCAACGAACGACGGAGTTTGCATCCTTAGTAGAACTCAAAACCGAGAACACCTAGAGGAGGATATGTCGGCTAGCTCGTCATCTGCAAAAGTGCGAGTGTACCAATGGCTTGTGATTCAACAACGGCGGCCAAATGGATAGTACAGAGTACGGATACTCCGTAGCAGATCGAGAACACAGAGGAGACAACGAGAGGGAATCATGTCAGATGAAGGAAGGATGGATGCACCACTTCGACGTGGCAGCCGGAGAGTCGAGGAAGTGGCCCAAGTTCAGATGCCGCTGTAGGCGCAATCTAGTGAGTGGCTGCTGATGGCTAGTCTGGATGAATAATCGCTATCTCTCTGTGTCTCTCCGTGGAAGTAGAACCAACACATCGTCCGGAAGTTGACAAGACGCTCTCCGGTTCGTCGCCTCACTTTGGGAATTATCCACTAACCCTTTGGGGAAAGAGTACGGCTGACCGGATTGGACCAAATGCGCCGTGATACTAAACCTGATGAGGTAAGTCAGTTGACCGTTTGGCACTAGTACCTTTTCAACTTAGTGCCAAGTTGGGCAGAGGACCGGGTGACTAAGCAGGAAATGGTGAAGACAGAGACTCTCGTTTCATGAATCTATCCGGAACTAAAATAAAAATAAAAATAATAATAAAATAATAATAATAATAATAATAATAATAATCAAGATGACGATAATTCATGCCTCTTCTTCTCCATACTCCGATGCCTCTGTACTGTATATAGCGTGGTCTACTTTAACCTCATCCTCGCCCACTCCTCTCCCCATCCATCCTCCCATACAACTCATGCTCAACTGTCTCTCTATATATTGACCTCTCTGTCATTCCTTCTCTTCATCTACTTCTCTATCCTCACACTATTCATATATCTCTTCATCCATCTCTATACTTTTCCATCTCTCTTGTCTATCTTATCATCTCATCTCTCCCTCGATCATCTATCACATTCCTCCTCTCTTTATATACACTCAGCTCTCGCCATACACCTCATCGTCCCCTCGACCTCTCGACAATCTCAGTCTTCATCTTGATACCTGCTACAGTCAGTACCCTCCCCTCTTCTCCATCGCATACACTGACCGTTGCGCAAAATAAACAGATAAACAGATAAACAAACCCCACCACCGATCTCTGGTACTGATAGCGGACCCTATCTACGGACTACTACCATACCGCATGTACAACATGGCTGTCATGGCCGACGAAGTCCTCTTCACAAGGGCCATCTCCGGGTATCGCGCCGTCTTCATGGACCAGCATGCGGATCTTCCTGAAACGCAAAGGAATCAGCTCTGGAGTCAGCACCTCGGCCAGTTCCTCGTCTCCACCACCGGCTGTGAAGGTGGTCATTCCGCCCCCGAGCCGGGCCTCCTCGACAATGGTGCTTGTCATCTGGTGAACTCTGGGAAACGGCCTCGACCGGATACTCCAAGGACTCTCCCCGATCTTGGGCTTCCACCTTCAAAACGACGTGCCACCGTATGTGATCCTGGTCTCCTCCCCTCTTGACCTCTTCCATCCGCCTCCTGCTGCCTCGTGCGCTACTGCCACTTTTATGTTCTCCCCACTCTATACTACTATATCACATCACTCTCGTCATCCCGCCAACAGACCCTGGATTGACAATTGGCAGAACCCGGAAGCTCCAGTCATTGACCTGACGCGCGACCTCTCGAATGCATCCTCTCCCGCCGGCGTCGTGTCGCCCACCCGGCCTCTGCGCAGATCATCTTCTTCTCGGAAGGCCAGCAACTATCACTACAACCGCTCTCCTCACTCGAATCTGACTGGATCACATACGGCTATGGTTCGCTCGCACACAGTGCAGGTGCCTGCTTCGAATTGGCAGTCCTTGACTTCTTCGGTTCCTGGAATGCAACCATCTTATGGATTCCACTGTCCCCAGCAACCCCGCTTCGACCAAGTCAGCGAATATACTCCCGCCGAATACACCAAGCAACACCTGAACGACGTCCAGCGTCCAACTGGGGTCTCTGCACTCTCCCAGGCTTTGGCCGCTGAGCCGCAGGAACCTCCCCAGGTGTTTACGAACATCGATGGATTGCCTGCTTACACCGATCAGTCGGCCGATGCCGTCGATATGAGTCGGACGAATACAGCAGAGTCCCTCTGCGATGCTGTCGACATGTTCCGCTTCAACTCATCGGGCGAATCCAATCTGGACTCCACCCTCACCTATCCCTTTTCTACTTCGGCTGATTTCGCTACCTCGTTCACACCTGCTCTTCCCCTTGGCTTCTCCAGCTCTGCCCCCTCCGCCATCACCACCGACACTGCGACAGCTGTTCCTATCATGTCTTCTTCATCGCCCTCCGCTGCAGTGGACATGCAGCCTTCCATGTCCACTGAAAGCAATGGCTCTTCGGCCTCTCAGAAGTCGAGGGCTGCACGTCGAACGCAAGAACAGATCGTGCAGGGGACTCGTCCTATTGCTCCCAAGGTTGAGTCGAGCGACGGTGGTGTGGCTGAGTCGCAGCCCCAGGAGACTCCGAAGCTGCCCCAGCTGCCCCAGCTGCCCCAGCAGCAGCACAAAATGATCCGCATTTCCTCCTCTGATGGTACCGCCAAGGAGGTGGCTGCCATCCCCAAGGCCTCAATTCAGCGCCCTCCCCGTCCCAAGACGTACTGCAACATGTGCAACGACCAGCCTGATGGTTTCCACGGCGAGCATGAACTGCGCCGTCACATCGAACGGGTGCACTCCGTGGTTCGCAAGGTGTGGGTCTGCGTTGACATCTCGCCCGACAAGACCTTCCTGGCCAACTGCAAGGCCTGCCGCAACGGCAAGCGCTACGGAGCCAACTACAACGCGGCTGCTCATCTGCGCCGTACCCACTTTAACCCTTGCCAACGTGGTCGGGGTGGTCGTGGAAAAGACAGTGAGAAGCGTGGTGGCAAGGGCGGCGGGAATCACCCGCCCATGGAGGTTCTGAAGCATTGGATGATCCAGAAGGAGGAGATTGTCTATGAGAATGCGCAGAACTATCTCGACTCTGAGGGACTGGGTGAGGATTTGGCTACTAGCACTGCTGCCCCTGTTGCTCCTGCTGTCACTGCTGCCACTGCTGCCGCGCCTGTCCCTACCTTGCAGGATGACACGGCGTTTGGCGAATTGTCGATGCCCCAGACGGATCAGAATGTGAATTCGGGATTGGAGTCGACCCTGATGAGTACGGGATATGATGTGTCTATGCCTCCCTTGCCCGCGACGGGCTTGGATCTGTCGTTGGATGCCCCGTTTTACTTTGATACTCCGCAAATTCCTCCCGAGATTGAGAGTCTTGCGATGTGATACGATTGATGACCTCTTCTTCTTTCTTTTCTTTACTTTCATCTTCTCTTTTAGACTTCTTCTTTCTCTACTCTTCCTGACTTGACTTCCTTCTTTCATTCGTCTTTTCGTGGCACTGCCATGTTAATACCTCTTGGCCTTTGGCTTCTTCACTTTTCATTTGTTTTCGACTTGACTCCTTCGACGACTTCTTCTTTTCTTTTCTTTTCTTTTTTTTACACTCTTCTCCGTTTAAGGGACAATCGGCACGACACCGGAGTCGGATAGCCGACTTTCAGCCGGACCTGTTGAGGTCTAAACAGAACAGAACAGATACGACTTGATGTGTGATGAACAGAACCAGACTCGTTCAGCTCATGGAATCTAATAATTTGAAGAACGCGACTGTAGCATTGTGCTCTCTTCTCTCTCTCTCTCTCTCTCGCTCTCTCTCTCCTTCCAGGGGGATAAGAATTCAACATGACAAAAATATATTCTTCTCTGCCAGACCATCTACCATAGAAGTAGATCGGTAGAGACCCTGGACCGTGCTTACTTACTTTCAGTATCATTACAGCAGATTTTACCGGCAAACGCAGGCAGCACCATTTCGCCGGCGGTGAATGGTTGTGGCGTCGGCCCGTGGCTGAGTTCGGAGTTATCGGGGGGATTCCGATAGCCGTGAATATTGACTGGCAGCGAATCATAAATGTGATGAGTTGGTTGCCGACAGTGCCATGGTTTGTTTTGCTCTTTCTTTTCTTACTCCGAAGTTCCAGGCAAAGGAGAGCCGGGGATCGGAGAGTGGCAGCCAATTAGTGGCGGTGCAGAGGACCACCGTGGCTGGGGTGCCGGTAGGGCTGTGGCTGATCCGTACCATATGATACAGTAGGTATACCGTACGATACATATATAGCCAGAGAATACAGATAGAACATAGAACATAGAACATAGAACATAGATACTAGTGATAGAGATGGAGATAGAATACAAGTACATCGATAGAAATACAGAAAGTACAGAGTACCGCTGAAAAGAAAGGTATGGGCGATCCATGGCCCGTGGTCCCAAACAGTGTAAAAATACGGTACGATGGAGTGCCCGAACCGGACTAGTCGGGGCTGGAAGAGAAGAATAATAACAGAGGAATCTCCTTGACTTCTTCTCCTATTCTTTCCCACTTAACACCTTTACTCACAAGAAGTACAGATTAAACTATCGATACTTGTATTGCTTGTTGTTCCGACTAGACGCAGCGAATACTTGGCATTTTCTTCGGTCCGTCTTCCCCGCTTATTGGCTATACTGCTGCTTCCTTCGTTCCTGTCGGGATGCTGACTGTTATCTTCAGTTCTCTTTCTCTAGCAACCACCTACCAACATCATGAGCGCCAACCAGTACTACGCCGGTCCTCCCCCACCTCCTCAGGCGTGAGTCCCTCTCTCTGTTCTGTGCTTTATGCGCGACAAAAGCCCGTCGCGTTGTTGCGTTGTCGCGTTGGGCGCAGCTTCGTTTACTCGAGCGATCACTAACACTGCACCAGCTACCCCCCTCAAGGCTATCCTCAGGGCGGCTATCCTCCTCCGCAGGGCTACCCCCAGTACCCCCCTCCGGTATGTTGATTCTGAATCTCGAATAATCCGTTCGCAACTGACAGCCTCCAGCAGCAGATGCAGTACCAGCAGGCTCCTCCGCCGCAGAAGAAGGACCGTGGATGCTTGACAGCTTGGTGAGTTTTTTTTTTTTTTTTTTTCTCTGTTTGATGGAATAGAATGAGTGGCTAATGTTTTCGCTCAATAGTATCGCCACCCTGTGCTGCTGCTTCCTGTGCGAGGAATCCTGCGAGTGTTGCTTCGAGTGCATCGAGTGCTGTGAAATGTGTTAGACCGTCCACGATCGATTCGATGGCCGATGATCGATGATTCGACCAGACTACGATGATTTCGCTTCTTCGTCCCCGTCCCGAGTCCGCGATGCGATACGTACATAATCAAACGCCGGAGTGGTCTCGGTCGTTGTTCCATAATTAGGATACTCGGGCATGGCATCTGGACAGCGGCTAGGAGGCGGGTGGCTATTCTTTTTTATTCCTTTTTACGGCGCGTATTTAATGATCCTGTTTCATGTTTTATTGTTTTATGACTGCAAATATACCTCTTAATGGTCGATCGTTCTGTAGTATGGATGAATGATTATCCCTTATCAGTCTTGGCTCTGCAAGTCGGTATTGTAGTCAAAACGCTGAACAATAATGCTTGGATAACACCATGCCACTCAGTCTATTTCTTGTGCTACCGTACTATGATTCAACAACTGAACGGTATAAAATGAATGGCTCCGGGCACTAGTCACTGACTTGTATCCCCGGACTCCGGTTCAACACAATTGCCTGAATATACTCGTCATTGCTTTTCGAATTCCTGATTCGCTCGATTCCAGTTGCTCTCTGTGTCACACTCATGCTCGAATCAGTCAGAATTACTACCGGCCAGTCACTGAAGATGTTCAGCAATTGCGGGGAAGCACAAGAACCATTCCGCTCAGGAGCATATGAAAATGCTTGACTACCGAGCATAGAACCAATGCGTATCCAGTAACCTCTAGTATATACATCTACAGAATGCCAGGCCCGCATATCACCCACACAGCACGAATCAAAACCCAAACAATACTCATCCTCTCAACGGCCATTACGTCGTGATATACTTCCAGTTTCCACTGTCATTCCGAGATGCGGAGACGACATCCAGAACAATGCAACCCGAAAGGGTAATTCGCGGGGAAACAAGCCCCCCCCGCAAGGCGCCAGTGTCTATCACCTGCCAGACAGAAGAAAATGAAGGACATAATTCCGCGATGATTCCGCTGTATGAGGAGTCTTGCTCCTATCATGATGGCAGATAACAGGGCTGCTCGGAATTGCTTGGTGATAAGCGTGGTTGTTATCATGTTGATATTAATACCATGTCGGGGTGATAAGGGTTATGTCGGTTTTATAGAGCCCTGTACTTCGTGCAGACACCATCTATACACCATATTGAGACAATATGGACATCGAAAAAAAGACCAGCAATGCCCCCGAAATCGAACTCGCAACCGGCCAAGTTGTCACCGGCCTCCCCCCTTCCACCCCCATGAAGCGCAAATTCAGCATCCTCAACATCATCTCCGTTGGCTACAACATCTCCAACAGCTGGATCGCCATCGCCACCAGCTTCGCCATCGCCATCCAATCCGGCGGCGCCGTCTCGCTGCTCTACGGCATCATCACCGTCGCCGCAACAATGGCCTGCACTGGATTAACCCTGGCGGAACTCGCGAGTGTATATCCCACGGCTGGAGGGCAATACCATTTCACGTCTATCCTGGCGGGGAGGAAATGGAGTCGGGGGTTGTCGTATGGGTGTGGGTTGGCGGCGGTGTTTTCGTGGGTGACGCTGGGCGCGTCGATTGGGGTTGCTGCGACGGAGGCGTTGATGGCGATGGTTATACGGTGGCAGCCGGGGTATCAGATGGAAAGTTGGCATAGTTTCTTGGTATACCAGTTGTTGAACATCTTGGTTGTTCTTTACAACATCTTCTTGACGAACCGCACCCTCTGGGTGTACAACGTCGGCTGTACCTGAGTTCCCCATTTCCAACATACCCCAGAATATCTGCTAACAGCTAACAAAAGTCATCCTCTCCCTCCTAACCTTCCTCGTTATCACAATAACCTGCCCCATCCTCTCCCCCGACACAAAAGAAATCGACTCCACCGCCATCTGGACACAAATGACCAACGGCTCCAACGGCTGGCCCAACGCCATCGCCTACCTAACCGGCCTCTCAACACCACAATTCATGCTCTCGGGTCTCGACGCAGCACTGCACCTAGCTGAGGAATGTCTCGAGCCGGAACGCATCGTTCCCAGGGCTGTCATGGTGACCGTGTTGATTGCATTCATGACTGCGTTTCCGTTTGCCATTGCCGCGGTGTATAGTTGTAAGGATGTTGCGGCGGTGTTGGATGATCCTACTGGGTACTCCCCTCACCTCTACCCTGTTCATTCTGCTTTACAAGTATGCAGTCTAATGGCAAGTGCAGAGTACCGATATACAAAATCTGGATGCAAGCCACAAACTCCCCCATCGCCGGGACAGTCTTCATGGCCTGTCTATTCGCAGTCTCCTGCGTCGCGCTAAACGCCGTACACCAAACCGCGTCACGAATGACATGGTCTTTCGCGCGAGACGACGCACTCTTCGGATCAAGATGGTTAGGTAGTGTCCATGAGGGAATGAACGTCCCTATCTACGCGCTCGTGGCGAACGGTGTTACCGTGATGTTAATTGGAATTGTCTATGTTTGCTCAACTGCCGGTATCCAGCCCCACCTCCTCAACCTAACCCTAACCTCCCCTTTCACTATGGGAATCAGATGACTGATAACAAAAGCATTCAACGCCTTCATAAGCACAACCGTAATAATCGCACAGATCTCTTTCGCCATCCCGGCCTTACTCCTCCTCCTCCGCCGTCGCGGCACAGACTATCTCCCCGCCAAACGCGTCTTCAAAGTCCCCAATGTAATCGGCTACATCGCAAACACGGTATGCGTGCTGTGGGCGATTGTCGAGACGGTGTTTTTCTGTTTCCCGGCGAGTTTTCCGGTTACGGGGGGGAATATGAGTATGTCCCTCTTTTCTCTGGATTTTGATTGTGCTGTGTTAATGTGTGCGGGCTAATTGTGGTGTCAATGGGGTAGATTATGCATCGGCTGTTATTGGGGCGATGCTGGTGCTTGGGATTGGGAATTGGTTTTTGCATGCGAGGGGGTTTTATCATGGACCGAGATTGGAGTAATTGATTTATGATTTATGTGTTATGATTATGATATTGTATTCATTTTGTCAAGATAAGTCTATTTGTTAACTCTGGCGTAGAGTAAATATTAGACACACGAAGGGCTTCTGGGCACCGATCTCGGCTGTCATTACTCTTGAAATCAGACGGAATACCAGCCGTCTGTATTATTATCCTTGTATGTATGGAATGTCATTCGACAGCTATGATGCCATCAAAATCCCGTTGACGTGCATGCAGTGCGGAGATGTCAAAGTACTGTCTATCACAGCACGAAATCACCAGCGGGGATTTCACCATCTGAACCTAGGGCACACATACAAGCAGAACTATAAGTAACCGAGCATTTCAACTACATACCCAGTTCCTTGGACAAAACAATTGCCAATTGCAATTGAACAATAGCATTAAGTGCAGAATACCACACCAAGGTTAATGTACCCTCCGCAACACACAATGTCCCCAACAACCGCTAACCACCCCAGCGAACACCAATCCCCACCAGGATGAAACTCCTCCCAATTGCTGCCGCAGCACTCGCAGCACTCCCGCTAGCCACCGCAGACTGGCAATTCAAAACCCGCCCGGACCTCGCTCCCCCGCGATTGAACATCACAATCCCCGCTACCCCGGACGTGGAAAAGGGCTACCTATTCGTAGCCCCCTTCCCAGGCCTGCCCGACACAAGCACCGAGCAGCACGGCCCACGCCAGGAAGGACCCTACATCCTCACCTCGACTGGCGAATTAGTCTGGTCGGGATATACATACTACTCAATCTGGGCGACGAACTTTCAAGCCGCGAAATGGAAAGGCCGCGATATCCTCTTTAGTTTCGAAGGGGACCATAATCCGAATTACGGACATGGGCACGGTCATGCGACAATTTTGGATCAGTCGTATGAGACGGTGCGGGAGTTGAGGGCGGGGAATCATAAGTTGATGGATAAGCATGAGTTTCATGTGATCAACGAGGAGACGGCGTTGATTCAGGTTTATCAGCCGAGGCCGGTGGATTTGGGGAAGTGGGGTGGGGGTGTTGAGCAGCAGTGGATTGTGGATGCGATTTTTCAGGGTGTGTACTGTCACTTCGTTTGTTTTGGATGAGTATCTGACCGAACAGAATTGGATATCGTGACTGGTGAATTGCTCTTTGAGTGGGCGAGCCTCGACCACATCTCTCCTGATGGTAAGAAGCCCTCATCCAATTACCAAGATGAGCAGAACTAACTCAAACAGAGGCTATCATCCCCCTAAACCCCGGCCAAGCCGGCTCGGGCTACAACTCCTCCGACGCCTGGGACTACTTCCACATCAACTCCGTCGACAAAGACGGCGATGGCAACTACCTCATCTCCGCGCGCGATGCCTGTTCTGTGCACAAAATCAACGGGACGACCGGCGAGATCATCTGGCGATTGGGCGGGAAGCGTTCGGACTTTGAACTCGGTCCCAATGTCGCGTTTTGCTTCCAGCATCATGCGCGCTTTGTCTCTCAGGATGAGGACGCGGAGGTGATTTCTCTATTCGACAACTCAGCGCATGGCACGGAGAGTGGTCGCGGCACAGAACTGCACACGCATCCCTTCTCGCAGGGCAAGATCATCAGAGTCAACACGGCTACGTGGACAGCGAGCATCGTGCAAGCCTTCCAGCCTCCGGACGGCCTTCTGGCAAAGTCGCAGGGTGGCATGCAACTCCTCCCCAACGGCAACGCGCTGGTGAATTGGGGCTCTGAAGGCGCAGTGACTGAATACAAATCCGACGGCACGCCCATTTTCCACGCATACATGGACTCGGGCTTTCTGGGTGAAGGTGTCCAGAACTACCGCGCCTTCCGGTACAACTGGACCGGTTTCCCGAACGAGGCTCCTGCCATTGTCTCCCAGAAGACATCCTCCGGAACAACCGTGTATGTCTCCTGGAACGGAGACACAGAAACAGGTGTCTGGCGCTTCTATGCCGTCACCGACGCATACGGATCACGCTCATACCTAGGCGAGACTAAGCGAAATGGCTTCGAGACAGCATTCGTGGTAAAAGGAGTGGCGGTGGAGCGAGTCGCTGCCGAGGCGGTTTCGTCCTCGGGGAAGATTCTAACCTCGACTAGTGTTGCTGTGATCGAGGACGAGATCCGCCCGGGTAGGAAAGCGCTGGTAGCTGCAGCTGCAGCTGCTGGTCGGCCAGGGTTCCTGCAGAGCATCCTTGCTGTGTGAGCTGACAAATCTCAGTCAGCGCCAGCTATGCTGGAGTTACCTGGCGAGTACAAGTAGACAATGGTGAGATTTCTGCACTGTACCGTGTTCATAAGATTAGGTAGAGACAATGTGTACATGCTTGGCTACAAAGCCTCGATATAAGCAATTGGACTGGTTGACAGCCAATAATCTCCGAACTCGCCTAGCCCTAGCCATACGCGCCAGTGCAACCGAGTTATGCTCCGTATACTTTACATATCGGATGCTGGTGCATCCGACAGCAGTACGCCGTACTATTGGTTTAATCCAAACATAGTACCTCTAGGTTAGCGCCGGCATCGGTGGGCCCGGATGGAATGGTGTCACATGTCATATTGCGAAGAGGACCAGCAACTTCCCCTTCCGGACTAGGGCTACGCTGCTGTTCATTCCCGCTTGGGAAAATCGGGAAATACTCTTCAGCTTTTGTATAACCTCAAATTGGTTTGTGCTAGGGTGACCCCGGGCCATTGATTTGTTTTCTGGTAGGCAATGGGTTTAAATTCAATACACAAGGGCGTAGTGCTCGGATCCCCGTGTTTCCGGTTTCCGTGCCATATTATGTTTTGTCTGGCCTTAGGGGTTGCACTTTCGAGGGAGGTGTGAATGTGACTGAAAGCTGAGCATCCGGATATCCTGTCTACGGTTATTTGTTGTCAATAGTCAAGGCTTGATTTGATATGCCTGGCAATCGCTAGCAGGAGTCGCCATGTCGCAACGACGGTATCCCCCTAGTGAGGCCGCCCAGTCTGGGACGCCTCACACAGCACACCAGCTAGGTCCGATAGAAGAGAACATCGACGAGGCTGCATCTACTCTGGTCAGCCCCAACCCCAACCGGCAAAGCAAAACCGATAGCACAGATACAGCGGGCGATCTATTGAAAGATGATATCGGCGCGGAGAATGAGGACATCATCGTCGACGTCGCTCGCAGTCTGTCTCGCGTCTCTCAAGAGTTCTCTCGTGTCTCCCGAGACTTCGCGAGTCGGGGCGTCAACACGTTTCTTGATCCAGGTAGTCGGCCAGACCTCGACCCGCAGTCGAATAATTTCAACTCGAGGCGATGGGTGAAGAATATGCTGGATGTTTGCGCGAGGGACCCCGATCGATATCCGCGACGGAGTGCAGGGGTGAGTTTTCGGAACCTGAACGTCTTTGGGTACGGGTCTGCGGTGGATTATCAGACGACTGTTTCGAACATGTGGTTGAAGGGGGTTGGATGGCTTCAAGGGGTCCTGGGGTCCGGGAAGAAGGTTCGTATCGATATTCTGCGGAACTTTGAGGGCTTCGTGAGGAGTGGAGAGATGCTTGTTGTGCTTGGACGGCCTGGAAGGTATGCATTACATGTAGAAAGGAAGAAGAGTTCTCACTAATGTCTACAGTGGCTGTTCGACCTTCCTCAAAACAATCGCAGGCGAAACACACGGCCTATACCTCGACGAAGGCGCCGACGTCCAGTACCAAGGCATCCCATGGGAGGAAATGCACACCCGTTTCCGAGGCGAAGTTATTTACCAAGCCGAAACTGAGATCCACTTCCCCCAGCTCACAGCAGGCGACACCCTTCTCTTCGCAGCAAATGCGCGTGCACCAGCAAATCGCTTCCCTGGCGTCACCCGTGCACAATATGCAGAGCATATGCGGGACGTCATCATGGCCATGTTGGGCCTGACACATACCATGAACACGCCTGTCGGTAGTGACATGATCCGCGGCGTGTCTGGGGGAGAGAGGAAGCGAGTTAGTATTGCTGAGACAACGCTGTGTGGCTGTCCGCTGCAATGCTGGGATAACAGCACCCGTGGTCTCGACAGTTCCACGGCGCTGGAGTTTGTCAAGAACCTCAGCCTGTCAACACAGTATAGCGGATCCACAGCCATCGTCGCCATATATCAGGCCAGTCAAGCTATCTACGACCTCTTCGACAAAGTCATTGTTCTGTACGAAGGCCGCCAGATCTATTTCGGCAATGCATCGGAAGGCAAACGCTTTTTCGTCAAGATGGGATTCGAGTGTCCGGACAGACAAACCACCGCCGACTTCCTAACCTCGCTATCCAGCCCAGTTGAACGACGAATTCGACAAGGCTTCGAGCATCTCGTGCCTCGCACGCCAGACGAATTCGCCGCTCGATGGAGAGACAGCGCGGAACGCAAACAACTCTTAATCGACATCGAGAACTTCCAGAACGAATACCCCCTGGGCGACGGAAAACTGGAGGAATTCTCACGCTCCCGGCAGGCAGAGAAAGCCAAGTTCACACGGAACACCTCGCCGTATACCATTTCCTACTCCATGCAAATCTCCCTATGTCTCCGTCGCGGTTTCCTGCGTCTCAGAGGTGACATGAGCATGACCATGGCGACAGTCATCGGCAACATCATCATGTCCTTGATCGTCGCCAGCGTCTTCTACGACCTGGACGAGACAACTGGTAGCTTCTTCTCGCGTGGCGCCTTGCTCTTCTTTGCAATCCTGCTGAATGCCTTCGCAAGCGCCCTCGAGATCCTGAGTCTCTGGCAACAACGAGCCATCGTCGAGAAGCATGACAAGTACGCGCTGTACCACCCGTCCGCTGAAGCGATTAGCTCGATGATCGTCGATATGCCAGCGAAAGTAATCGTCGCGATAGTGTTCAACGTGATACTCTACTTTATGAGTAATTTACGTCGCACGCCGGGCCACTTCTTCATTTTCCTGCTGTTTTCTGCAACGACGACTTTGACCATGTCTCATATCTTCCGTTGGATTGGGGCCGTGTCTCGCTCACTAGCGCAAGCGTTGGTTCCGTCGTCGATCTTCATGATGATTCTCGTCATCTATACAGGGTTTACTATACCGACAAGAGACATGCATCCGTGGTTTCGATGGTTGAATTATCTCAACCCGATCGCTGTAGGCCTCCCCCCTCTTGTGCTGACTTGCTATTTGGACCTTGTTAACACCAGCAGTACGCATTCGAGTCCCTGATGATCAACGAATTCAGCGATCGCCCGTTCCCATGCACCACGTTCCTTCCCAGCGGACCGGGGTACGAGAACATACCCGTAGAAGCAAGGATCTGCTCCGAAAAGGGCGCAGTAGCTGGTCAGAATTTCATCGATGGCGACGCATACATCAACACCTCGTACGAATATTTCCGTCCGCATCTGTGGCGCAACTATGGTATCCTTCTGGGGTTTTTGTTCTTCTCGTTGTTCGCATACATCGTGACAACGGAAATAGTACGCGCGAAGCCGTCCAAGGGTGAGGTTCTGGTCTATCCTCGTGGCAAGATTCCTGTATTCGCAAGGCAAACCCACTCGGACGATGATCCGGAAGCTGGTGCTGTGTCGGAGAAACCGCAGCAACAAGACCTCCAAGACCACGAGGTTGCGGCTATCCTCAGGCAAACATCGATCTTCCATTGGCAAGATGTCTGTTACGATATCAAGGTGAAGGGCGAAAACCGTCGGATTCTGGATCATGTGGATGGCTGGGTCAAGCCTGGCACCCTTACGGCACTGATGGGCGTGACGGGAGCCGGGAAGACTAGTCTGCTGGACGTTTTAGCCAACCGTATCACAATCGGCGTGGTCACCGGTGAAATGCTAGTGGATGGACGTCTCCGGGATGATTCCTTCCAACGGAAGACTGGGTATGTTCAGCAGCAGGATCTGCATCTGGAAACGAGTACTGTCCGGGAGGCTCTCAAGTTCAGCGCAATTCTTCGTCAGCCGGCGACCACGCCCTTGAGGGAGAAGATGGAGTATGTGGAGCAGGTAGTCAAGATGCTTGGTATGGAGGAGTACGCGGACGCGGTTGTCGGTGTCCTGGGCGAGGGTTTGAACGTCGAGCAGCGGAAGCGGTTAACGATTGGTGTCGAGATCGCTGCCAAACCAGATTTGCTACTCTTCTTCGACGAGCCTACTTCGGGACTTGATAGTCAAACAGCATGGTCGATTTGCACGCTCATGCGCAAGCTAGCAGACCATGGACAGGCGATTTTGTGCACGATTCACCAGCCCTCCGCCATGTTGATGGAACAATTCGATCGGCTCCTCTTCCTAGCTCGCGGAGGAAAGACGGTGTACTTCGGAGACCTGGGCACCAACATGGAGACCTTGATCCAGTACTTCGAAAAGAACGGATCTTCCCGTTGCCCCAAGAACGCAAATCCGGCTGAGTGGATGTTGGAGGTCATCGGAGCAGCTCCAGGATCCCATGCAGAGAAGGACTGGCCGGAAGTATGGAAGTCGAGTCCGGAACGTGAACTGGTGCGAGAGGAACTGGAATTCATGAAGGAGGAACTATCGCAGCGACCAGTTAACTCTCGAGCAAAGGAATATGGGGAGTTTGCGATGCCTTTCTGGGCGCAGTTTCTCGTTTGCATTCAACGCATGTTCCAGCAGTACTGGCGCAGCCCGACGTACATTTACTCCAAGGCTGCCATGTGCGTTATCCCGGTAAGCATAACGTTCTGCATCCTCACTTTGTGACTAACCCTTAGCTGACCGCTCAATAGCCTCTCTTCATTGGGTTTACGTTTTGGCGCGAGCCCACGAGTATGCAAGGTCTACAGAACCAAATGTTTGCCATTTTCATGCTTTTGGTGATCATGCCGAATCTGGTTCAACAGATGATGCCGTACTTTACGATGCAGCGGGCCTTGTATGAAGTGCGTGAGCGACCGTCCAAGGCGTACTCGTGGAAAGCATTCATGCTGGCAAGCATTGTGGTTGAGCTCTCATGGAATACACTAATGGCAGCGCCGGTATTTTTCTGCTGGTACTATCCTATCGGTTTGTATCGGAATGCGTCTCCCACAGACTCGGTCATTGAGCGGGGCGGTACGATGTTCCTGCTGATCCTGATCTTCCTGATGTTTGCTTCAACATTCGGGTCAATGGTTATTGCCGGAATTGAGAATCCGGATACGGGAAGTAACATTGCGCAGCTGTTATTCTCCATGTGTCTCATCTTCAACGGGTATGTCAAATTTTCTCCGTCCACGTGTATTTTTCTGGCGGTAAGTTTGGGGCTAACTCTTTTTTTTTTTTTTTTTTTTTTCTTTTTCCTTAGAGTGCTTGCAACCCCAGAAGCTTTGCCCGGGTTCTGGATTTTCATGTATCGTGTTTCACCATTCACATACCTGATATCAGCGGTGCTTTCGACCGGTCTGGCCAGAAACGACGTAGAGTGTTCGTCAATCGAATTGCTGCACATCCCCCCACCGGAGGGCCAGAACTGCTCGAGCTATCTCGGGCCGTACGTCGAGCAAGCCATGGGAAGGCTAATCAATCCGGAGGCACGGTCAGACTGTCAAGTGTGCTCTCTGTCCCAAACGGATCAGTTCTTAGCAGGGGTGAGCATTTACTATTCCGACCGCTGGCGTAATGTTGGACTGCTGTTTGCGTATATTGGGTTCAACGCTGCGGCCGCGGTATTCCTGTACTGGTTGGTCCGGGTCCCGAAGAAGCGGACACGCAAAGCGAAAACCGAATGAGCAGGGACGTGGTTTGAAACATTGGCAGCCTGTTGGAGATAGAAATCTCCACATTGGCTTTCCCAGATAAGATGCAGTTATGTGCACATGTGACCACAGTTGGACGATGCATAAATACGCAGATATACATAATTCTAATCAAAAACTGGAGTCATTTTTTTCCATCCGGCATATGCGTGTGACCCGCAGGAACCAATGACGCGGCGTTTCTGCTCTGTGCACCGTGAAAGAGGAAAGAATAAAGAGACGACCCACTGCGAGCGCGTACAGCATGGCTAGCACAGTCGTATAGAATGCTCTGTGCTCTGCTCTGTAAGACTTGGATCAGCGTAGGCGTACTCCGTATGCCTAGTTGCTGCACAGCGGCGCAGTGCCATGCATAAAAAATGATAACAGAAACAAGCCAGAGTGGTACAAAAAAAGGCAAAGCCATGCGGCTAATGCGATCTAAAACACGCGAAGTCGATGATCGACTTGATCAGAGAATAGGGATGGCGACCCAGCGAGGCAACCAGAGTCCTTCTTTCTTCCCTTTCATTTCTTTGTTCGCTTCTTCTTATTGCCCGAGATTCGATTGATCATTTATTTTTATCTCTTGGCCATCTAATTATATTGCGATGATCGAGGAACTTGCCATATGGAGTTGGCCGTGCAGGATACCACGAGGTCAAGGAGTTCAGTTCCTTAGTGTCCGTTCCTGTAACGAGTCAAGAACGATTGACGGGGGTAGCCTGACAGCCGGGGATATCGATGATCCTGGGATGGTGACCATGACTCAAGATGGAGAGTTTGATTTGAATTAGTTGTTGCATTTCGGGCACCGGGCAATTGGCAATAATATACGAGATACCTTGTCGTGGTGCTTGCAGGGCGGTGAGTGGCATTAATCAGCACGGGCAGTATTTTCCACTAACTACTATCACGGCTATCTCAATGGTGCAGTGACAACAACATAACACAACACAACACAACACGGAGGATCAACAATGGAGTCCAGCACTCGGGCAAGCGCTCGAGTACCCTCCAAAAGCAGAGCCCCAAACGACGCTAATACCGCCGTCTTACGGACTGGCCGTCTCCAGACAGATCAAAAGCAATGAATCAGCCAACGAGAGATGTTTGAATTTGCCGATCCTTCCAGAGGAGGAAGGACATTCTGGGTCTTTTCTTCGCCCTGCATCACGGGAATTTCCGATTATTTCGTGAATGCCAAGTTGCGGCTCTTGCTGCTGTTCCTGCCTGCTGTACTCGCCCCGTATCCCGTTCCCCGTTCCCCCTCCTTGGGTTGATAAGAGTCAACAGGGAAAACGGGTAAGGGTGATCATGGGTGAAGGGTGGTGGGTGACGACGACCCAGGTTGATTATGAATGTCCATCTGGGAGATCTGCCGGGGATATTAAAAGGCTTCTTCTTTGTCTCTTGGTTCCTTTTTTGCAGAATTCCATTTCTTCTCTTCATGATCATTACAGCCGTTCCTTTTCTAGTTATAAATTTAAGCTTATTTTCTTTGTTTGGGTTATAACACGCGAGTTGCTTTTTTGGCATCATGGAGTCTTGCTTAAACTTCCTCGACCCGCCGGCCGTTATCACGCCAGAAGACCTGTCTTTGACGGATGGCGAATCCTTCCCGTCCCACATGCATCCCTATACCAGGGACCGGACATCCCATATGCGCCAGCATCTGTCCTGGATTGAGGATCATGCTAAGGGTCACTATATCCCATGCTCGCCCAACATCCACGCCAACGAGCCCTTCTCGGCCTACAATGCCGGTTGTTTCTCTATGGACTACACGATGAACTTCCCGACGGGTGTCAATAGCATCGCCTACTCGCATTCAGATCGATTCCTGTCGCCGCCGCCATGCACCGGTCATCCGCCGTCGTCTTCGGGGTTGGAAAGTCCCCGTAGTAGTAGCCTTGGTGACATAGGTTGCTATCTTCCGCTATCCTACCCTTCTGGCGATGTCATGTTCCCTCTTAAGAACTATTACCCTTCTCCGCCGGATTTGACGTCGGCCCCGCCGAATGTCTTGCAGATCGAGCCGGATAACTCTTCACACGACCTGTCCATGGGGAATGAAATGATTTTCCCTTTTGACGACGAGAACCTCTGGGGTGATGGCACAGAACACGGCGAACCGTCTCAACAGGATCCATCGGTCTTGGAAGAGACACCAACAACACGCGAGATCATCCCGAGTGGCCGACCCAAGACTCTCCGCAGACCTACGAGTAGCAAAGGGTCGGCTAGCAGAGCGTCGATGCACGGCATTCATAAATCACGCACCAAAACCCGCTCACTATCTACGAAATCACCCCCCAACCGAAAAATCTCAACAACACCCGTCAAGTCAGAGAAATTGATCGTCACCGGCGGACGACAATTCATCTGCAGCCTCGCCCACTACGGATGCACCAGCACCTTCAGCTCCAAGAACGAATGGAAACGACACATCACCTCCCAACACCTCCAACTAGGCACCTACCGCTGCGACATCGGCGATTGCAACCTCCACCGAACATCTTCCTCCCTCGACCTCCCCAAACGAACCCGCCCCAATCACCGCACAACTCCCAGCCAACAAAAAGAGAAAGACTTCAATCGCAAAGATCTCTTCATCCAGCATCTCCGCCGCATGCACACACCGCAATCTGTCAGCAGACACGACCCCTCCACCAAAGAGGAAGAGGCCCTTGCCTCGCAACGCTGCTGGCATCAACAGCGCCAGCCACCGCAGCATAGTCAGTGCGGCTTCTGCAACCAGGAGTTCAATGGAGAGAGAAGCTGGGACGAACGGATGGAGCATGTAGGAAAACATTTCGAGCGAGATGAAAAACTCCCGGAGGCGGAGGTTGAGGATATCTATTTGAGGGACTGGGCGATCCAAGAGGGAATTATTCGGTGGGAACAGGATGGGTTGGTTTTGGCTCGTGTGTAATGTGATCTTGTTGCCTTTTTGTCCTTTTCTTTTTCTTTTTTGTGTTATAATGTTTCATTTAGCTTGTGATACCTGTGTTTTAGTATATTATCATGACCAATAAGAGTTAATTCTACCATGCCATTGAGAGCTTACTATTAATAGTCAACACTACAAACGGACGTACAAACAATGAGGTCCAACATAAAGAAGTACATACTAGATTATTCACTAGGCTATCCCAGCGGTCCCAGAAGCTTTCCTATTTCTCATCTTTTCTTTTCTCATTCCACCTTCCCTCTTCACTTTAACCATTCTACTACATCTAACGAACCCGAAAGTCGCCAAGATGCTGAATTCCCCGTACTTTCCTTGGCGCATTAGATCAAGTTGTATATAAAATCCACTATATATACGCCTAATATCCCTCTACAAGCAGCAAATACTCCACATAACGCATATACGGTATTCTAAATCGCCTACTCCAGCATGAGGGAAAAGTGAGTTCACAGACGGACCCAGTCCTACCTCTATGATACTAACGATAAGCTTGATTACATATAGGTCAAATTATTGGAAAGGTTAGAAGGTCTACTATATAAACTTCGCGTGCTGCCATGCGCTATGAGAATGATCCCGCCAAGCGACTCCGAAAACTCCTAAACCATGTCGGAAAACGCCTCTCCTACTTCGATTACAATCACTAAATAGAACCCGGATGGTCGGAGTCCAGTCCGGAACTATATCGGGATAGAGACATCTGGCTGTATGGCGCATCCGTTACCACGCAAATCGTTATTGAAAATGTCCGAGTCAGACAAGCAGCAAGTTGCTGCGAAGGGAGCATCAATGTGGGCGACGCTCGACAAAGGTGTTTCGAATCGAACATACCGGCTTTTGATTTTCTTCATTAGCACGTGAGCAACTTGTTGTTGCATTTGATGAAAGATAGTCTCTCCCGCACCCAGCAAGACCATAGTTGCCGAGAGCTCTCTCATATAGGGTGCTCTAAGTTGAGCTGTTCGCCATGTTGACTGGTTTTGGAAGCGGACCACGCTCGCCGACTCAGAGGATCGTATGCTCATGTCCTCGCGTTACCTAGAAATGCTCGAATTTTGGCAAAAAATGAAGGAAAGGGGTCTGCAAAGATGACCTAGGACTCTATATTTCAGGGATTAAGAGGTATGTAACAGAATGAGTTTTTCTATGGAGTCTTGAATTTGCTAAAGGCTAACTATTGTGAGATATTTATGATCAGATACCGTGCCCGGATGCGGTTTCAAGCCGCAGGAATGAGCTATTAGGGTATCAGCTCCTTCCGAACTTACCCTAATTTGACATCTACGGCGTGCAAAATGGCAACAATGGTTTCCGGCATAGCATGCAGGGCTAAGCAAATGATCCAGGAGCGCGTTCCCGATCTTCTCGAGGGCCCAAATAGCACCAATTCAAGTGCATTGCACCCTATTGATTTGGTTGGAATGCTGAGGCATCGGGCCCTGTTCGAACTGACCGCTTGGCTCGTTGGCGATAACCAAAATTGGGAGCAAGAAACGCCGTCATAAGCCATTGATCTGGTGACTTTGGCACTCGTATCGTGACACCCGAAATCACATTTCGCGGCCTAGACCGAACTGGGTGTCATTGTTGATGCACACACTGCGTCTGGACCGGCAACTTTTCTACTCAAGCCAGTGACAGGGCTTTCTGAGCACGAAAAGAGGCGATGATTTATCGATGGATATCCATGGGGCTGAATAGCGACAAAGAGCTTTTCGCTAATACATTTTACAAAATGCTAGGCCCCTATTCACTTTGTGGCCGACCCCCCATGGAAATTTGGGAAACATGTCACTTCGCTTATGAGCTCATAGAAGCATCAATGATTGGATCCGACCATTCCACTTATTTTACCATGGTCACAATCAACATCGAACCGTCACTCAGCGAGTGCTTTTCGAGCGAAACGAAGTGCAAAGTTGGTACGAGGGTCCACTCTTGGAGCAAACAATATAATCCATCAAATCCAAAGCATGATCATCTCCGTCATAAAATGATACTGTCTAAGAAGCGCCGGTTAGGGCAATTCATTGGAAGGAGCGATCGGTGTGTGTACAAGCTGGGCCATCTCCATTAGGGCACAGGTCAGCATGAAATGACGATGAGCCAGTAATGGATTCGCGTCAGGATGACTTTGAACAGGCGACATGCCCAATACCTAGTACAGTACGACATGAGATCTCAAGGATGGGGTTTTATATCAGGTGAGATTCCGCAAGTGACATGAGTTTGAGCAAAGAGTTTGCACGCAATGCAGACGAAACTGAGCAATAATCAAGCGGCATTTAGGGACCTAAGTAAACCATCCAATGCGTGACTCTGGACGTACGAAGTCGTACTTTCAGCCAAACATCAGAATGAAGCAATCATTGAAGCCCTTGAGTTGTTAATCTGGATTGCCTATAGCTGTATGGAGCGGGAATTGCTAGATGACCTTGTAGCCATATGGTCAGTTTTGATGGACTCTGCACTACCATGCATCCCTCCCCAGTGAGCCTGGCACCTGGTGAGTGACAGCAAAAAAACAGAAAAGGGCACAATGTCGCAAGGACCGGAGCTGAGTAGGACGAAATTGAATCTGGATAAGGCCAGGTCGAAGGCTAAAGAGGCAGAGGTAAAGAAGCAAATACTCCAGGATTTACAGGTACAGCTTTCTGAGCAATCACAGGACAAATACAAGGACTTGGAGGCGCAGAAGGGCTCCCCTTAAATAGATGCTTGCTTGTGAAGATCGTGCAAGGACTCTACGGATGTCAGTGGAGAAAGGGCCAAGAAGATGGTTTAGGACTTGTTATAGATGCTTTGTTTAATTGAATGTAAAGATAAATATCTCTTCGTCGTCGAATAACATAAGTAAAGACCAATAAACCTCACCCAATCTGGCCTTGGCGGGTGCGGAATAAAGACAGCATCTCCGCTCCGCAATCCAAAATAGCGACTAGGAGATGACATCCATTCATGCAGGCAACTTTACATTCAACTCGACCACTCCTTTTAACACCCGCTACATCTTTTAATGAATGTGGCGATACGAAGTAATCAATAATCCACACCACATCTCCTCTATCAATCGTCAATCGCCATCCTCTCCTCATCGTCGCGATCTCACCACCTATACACACCATGTACGTCTCGTCTCCAATTGCCCAACCAGTCTGCGCGCGCAAATACTAACAAAATCAGGACCGTCTACTCCCTCATCATAATCAACAAGGCCGGTGGTCTAGTCTATCAGCGCGAATTCCACTCCGGCCTGCACAAGTTATCCACAAACGACTATCTCGTTCTCGCGGGGACGTTTCACGGGTACATCTCCCCGGTCACTGTACCAAATACATCAAGGCTAACAGATATGATCGAACAGCGTCCACGCAATCACCCGCTCCATAACCCCCCGTTTTCCCCTCGCCTCCACAGCAACAAATCAAACAACAGCATCACACTCAGCAACAGCCTCCCTCTCCCTAACCTCCCCCTCCGGCACAACAACCCCGACAACATCAACACCAACAGCACCCAACAACCCCAACAACCCAGCGCCGTCCTCCTCCTCCACCTACTCCTACCCGAACCCCTCCGTGCCCGCGTCCGGGCTGGAGTTCCTCGAGACGGACAAGTTCCGGCTCACGTGTTTCCAGACGCAGACAGGGACCAAGTTCTTGTTGTTTACGGATCCGTTTATGGCGAATATAGATGTGGTTATGAAGAAGATTTATGAGTTGTATGCGGATTTTGTGATGAAGAATCCGTTTTATCAGTTGGAGATGCCGGTGAGGTGTGAGTCGTTTGATCGGCATTTGGGGAGTTGGTTGAGGGGGAGGATTTGATCGTTCTGTTCATATTAGGGTTCCGGTTTCTGGCATTACGGACTGGCATTACGGAGTAATAGAATCCCATCGGAAAAGCGCTGGGCGCCTTTAGATATTACATGTGTACCAAGGAGTTAGAGAGAAAAACGTATAAAAACGCCGGGTATGCATCAAATCATCCTCAAAGATACACAAAAAAGAAAGATTATCTTCGGTCCCTTTACGCAGTATCCATCTTGTCTCCATCGTCCTTCTTGTCTCCGCTTGACCCCTCCTCGGGAATGTTGTCCAAGTTGGCCTTGCCTTCTTGTTGCTCGCGCTCCTGTTTCTCCTTCTCCTGCCTGTTCTTCTCCTCCTCGAGCGATAACCGTAGGGCAAACGCCAACTCGGGGTCGTTCTCGGCGGCATCCTCAAATCCAAAGCCACCCTCACCACCTTCCTCTGCACCAGCACCGGAGCCATCGCCTCCCAAGATGGGACTAACCTGGAGCTCCTCACTCAGAAGGTTCGGGCCAGGCGGGATGATTGCCAGGTTAGAGCCGTCACCTCCCTTGACATTCTCCACGAACGCTTCCAGCTTCTTTGTCTGGTCGGATTCCAAATCTCCAAAGGCAATCACGTCAATCGACACGTTAATCTTCTTCATCTTCTTGGCCAACTTGACTAGCGTCTTCTCGTCTTCTTCGATCGGGGAACAGGAGAATACGACGATGCGTTGTCTCTGGGACTTTTCGGAACGGTGCTTCAGAGCAAGCTGTTGTAACACATCATGCGTCAGCATTTATCCTCAATGTAGATAGATAAGGGAGTACACATACAGCAGCCACTTGTATGCTCGAGCTCAGATGAGGAGTACCGTAGATTTTTGTACGGTGCAGACCCGACAGAATCCCGCCAAACTCCGATGTGAATGTCGACAGAACCTCGGGGCCCTTTCCACCCATGCTCATAAGACCAACAGCCGACTGGGGGTGTGCGCGCATCTTAGCACTGTGGATGACGCTAACGGCGTCGACCTGTGCTTGCCATCGTGTCGAGCTAATATCGTCAGTTAGGGGGGTCAGTCGGATTGGAGTTGGATCAAAACCCACGTATAATCTCCGTTTCTGCTACTTTCGCTGTTGTCGACACTGTAGAATTCCGTTAGTTGACTGTATCAAGCCGTAGGTGGGTTCTGGTAGACCAACATGACCATGGTTGCTTCGAGCGACATCTTGGCGGGGATTCCTCTGGAATAAAGGAGGGACAGGTAGAGTGTTCAACGAAGAGAAGATACAAAGGATTAGAAGAGTTAGAGCGTTGATGAGAGCAATGACGAAGGAGGTGAGGCGATGGCGGTGGTGGATTGGAGCTGTGGTTGCTGTCACTCGCCGCGGCCGATCGCCAAGCCAAGGATTAAGTCAGCGCTTGTTTATTCCCCCATCGTCACCACTCACCACCGTCTCTCTCCCCTCTGCCTCGCCAACACCACCTTACTCGACACCACTCACTACTTGTTCGGGCGGTTTTTGAATTGATCCTAATTTATATCGCCTGAATTATCCCCCGCTATACCAATTGCCATGGCTTCCTCAACACTCAAGCGCAAGTCCTCCGAGATGGACGACGCGTATCCCAACGACAACGACGGAATGCAAACGCCCACAGGCAGTCCTTCCAGAAAGAAGATGCGACTTACGCGGAAACAAAAGCAAGCTCTCATTGATAACCTGCAACTCGAGAGTACGTCTATCCCCTGGAAGCGACTATTTTTTTTGTTCCGCACTAACAATTGAATAGTCACCGAACGAGCCCGCAAACTTCGTGCCCAGTATGCCCTTCAAACCCACGATCTTCGAGCACGGATTGAACGACGCGTGAACCGTATCCCGGTGGCCCTGCGCAAGGCGAAAATGGGCGATTTATTGGAGAAGCACAACGCCACGCTCCGCGCGCACCACTCGCCGAGGAAAGTGACGAGCCCAGCCAAGAGAAATATCACCAACACGACCGCTGGAGCAAATGTCCGACGGGTCAGGAAACTTAGGTAGGCTTTTCTCATGTTATACTGGTCAATTGCGTCTGACAATTACTAGTCCCGAAGGCCCGTACTTCGATAAGGAAAACGCACCTGCAGGAGAACCGCTCGACGTGCTGAACAACCCCAAGAAACGCAGCAAGCCTGCTGCCGCTGGCGGTCCTTCGCGCGTGGTCTCGCAGGAGATCAGGGGCGCCGACTACAGAATCTTGTCTCCGAAATCCTTGAACTCCAGAACCTACCCCCAGTCTCCATTCCGTGCCTCTCCCGAGAAACCACAACAACCCAGCTATCTCTCAAAGCCCATGTCACCCCTGAAACGATCCAGCCCGCTCAGAGCCGCGGCTAGCTCGTCCGGGGCAAACGGCGCGACCACGAAAGATGGCAGACTCACATCGCAGACAGCGCGACCGGCCAGCAAAGCCGCGCCAGGGACCAAAGGCATCCGTTCCCCGCTCCCACGACCAGCAACCCGCCAGCGCGAACGAAGGAATAGCGCCTCTTCCAACGCGTCGTCCGGGACAACCATCGTCAAACCAACCAAAACCGGCACCGGTGCCCGTAAGGCCACAAATACATCCTCTACCTCCACCACCGCCGCAGCCAAGAAGACGGCAGCAGCACGAAACCAAGTGCCTTCGTCCACTACCAAGAAGACTACCACCGCCACTGCTACCGCCGGAAAGAGAGCCCCTACTCCAGCCGGCGAGGCGCAGGCCGCAGGCCGCAGAGCCTTGCGCAAGCGAGTATAAGTCGGATCGTGAGATTTCGTTTCATTGGCGTGCTATTTATTATCTTCTGGAGTTTTCTGGTGCTACTTGGGATTGGGAACTGGATCAATGGCGTAAAGGGGGTCGACAGCAAAATAACCATTTGGGATCGAGGGAGTTATAACAGCATATTTATCTTTTCTGGGTTTTGTCCATTTTTGCGCTATCATTCGATTTTCATTTTGCATTGATACTTGTCTTGTTGTATTCTATTGGAAGTCAAAAGTCAACCTTGGTTTGGGTTGTCTCTTTTTGCACTGTTTCAGTATCGAGGATATTGCTTTTTTTTTTTGTTTTTTTTTTT